GAAGGCCTAGCAATACCATCTGAGATCAACAAGTATCAGAGAAAGATTGGATCCTTGCTATTTGCTGCAGTCACTACTAGACCAGACATTGTCTTTGCAACTTCCAGACTGGCCCACTTCCTAATGAACCCAGGATAGGAATACCAAAATAGAGCAGACCGCATCCTTCTGCACCTCCTTGATACAAAGAACCTTGGTCTCAAGATGGGAGGAGGTGATTCCTTGGAAGTTGCAAGTAATGCATCATTTGCAGACAATACACTAGACAGGAAGAGTTCCCAAGGATACACAATCAAACTGTTCAATGGCCTCATTGCATGGAAGGCAAACAAGCAAGACATAGTCACCACATCTACCACTGAAGCTGAACTGCTTACACTCTTATAGGTGGCAAAGGAAGCCATGTTTATTTCAAGACTCCTCAAGGAACTGGAGGTTCCACTCCTAGAGCAGACAATAACCATCCACTGTGACAATCAACAAACCATCAGGCTCCTCAAAGCGGAGATCTCAAGGTTGTAGACTAAGCTCAGACATATGGACATTCACAATCACTGGCTGAGGCAAGAGATATCATCTGGGATCATCAGGATTGAGTATCTGCAATCAGAAAAGATGCTGGCTGATGGGTTTACAAAGATATTGCCTAGGAACAAGTGGAACAGGTTCTTAGATCAATTGGGACTGGAAAGAGTGAAGAACTCAAATGCCCTGAAGGAGATAGACTTGGATGAAGTACAAGGCAAGTTGGAAGACATGCTACTCTGAAGAGAAGATGCTGTTAGGTCCAGCTTGCAATGGGTTCCAAGCTGAGTGGGTGTGTTAGATGGTAAGCCAGTTTATGGACATCCTATCTGGGACTAGAGAGGAGGAGTGGGAGAAGATGGCTGTTCCAGTACTGTCTGAGGACATGTGGCTAGTGATTCTGTAGTGGCTAGTGCCTTGCACAGCCTTGGTGCCCAGAGAAGGAATATCAAAACCGGTGTCAGGTCCTAGCCTTACATACATACAAGCATACACCAGAATATAATCAGTCAATCCATCCTTATTCAATCTTTCTATCACCGTGACATCTTCAGATATCATCAAATCTGACACCTAGATAGGATGTCTATAAACTAGCTTACTATCTAATATAAGTCATCTCTCTTACTTTCTAGGCAGGCAGCTATCCTAGCTATATTCTTCTCTTTAGCTCTTATATAGGCCTTGCTAAGCTGTATATTTGTACTTATCTAGGCTTTGCGCTTAAATCGTTGCTTGTAGGATATTATCTCTATCTGCTTCCTTGTACAGACAGAGTGCTTGTTTGTACTATATTTATATTCCTGCTTTTTTTTCTAGGGACTCTTTAGTTTGCTAGCACTAGGAGACTCTATAATAGCGGTAATTGTACTAGTAATTGCTTAGATATATCGTCGTCGCGGAAAAAGTAGCTGAATAGGTGCGAAATTGAGGTGTTGAGACTGAAAGTGAAGTGAAGTGAAGTGAAGTGAGTGAGTGAGATGGCGTAACTGGCGATCACCCGCGATTAGTGCTTACTACGCGCTAAGCAAGAGTTACGTGCAATGGAACAAGGTTAATCCGACCACTGACATCTTGCAGTCAAGCTTCTCCATGACGACAATGGCCGACTTCTGCCCACCAACATCTTTGAACGTTCTTCAGCTCCTACCTTGAATTCTGAAATCTTCTGAAATTGGGTCCCAGGTGATATTTGATATCTCTTGTACTCATCAGCGTCTCTTCCATCCCGCCCTAGAGACACACTTAGTCCAGAGCCGCAATATATCGGAGCTGTGGAAGCTCCGGTAAAGCCATGGTACGATGGTCACGATTATTCAATACGGACGGCCATGACAGGCGTCACAGAATACAAGATGAAATACGGCAATGTATGTTTCGGTGCACATCAGTAACTACTTAACTTCTGCTGACGCTTCCAAGTGCTTCCAACGCGCCGTGAACATGCCCCTCCTCCACCTATACCCGCCAAAGAAGTTACCAAGATAGCACTCCGCCTTAAGCACCAACTTGAACAAGTTATACCCTGCGAGATGGAGGAGGAACAGATCACAAAACCTCACAGTCCAATTCTTACAGACGCCGTCATCGAAACCGCGAAGCAGGCCGGTGGTGAAGAGCATAAGGCCTGTACCGTGTACTGCTTGCTTGTAGTCATGAAGTGGTTCAAAAGACAAGCTATTACCGAGCTCTGGGATGCGGAACTGCATAATGTGCGCGCCGTGGCCGCTGAGATACTCGCGAAACGCATAATCGAAGCAGAAGAGGACATCGACTACTTACTGGGGGAGGTCCTGCTCAAGCGGTACTCAATCCTCGTCAACGGGGAGGCTACGGTGCCGACCAATGTGATTGAGCTTTCCGTTGACCTGCATGCTCTCACCGTTATCGGGTCCTCCGGCTACCAAAAATGCATCTCGTACCTCTGGCGTGGCTGGCTTGTACAGGATGACGACGACCCCTCACGCTTTGTCGACTACGAGAACAAGACCAATACCAACTACTGGGCGCACTTGGATCCTGATCGTATGCGCGTACCGCTGTACCAGAACGCAGTGCAAATTGCCATGTCTGTCATTTACCTTGCCCTGTTCACAGGCGCGATAAACACCATCAACCCATCTGGCGACCTTGACGTTGTTGAAGGCCTACTTTACATCTTCACCTTCGGGTTTGTCTGCGACGAGATTGCCAAATTCTGGAAGGTTGGTCGCTTCTATCTCGGTTTCTGGAATGTTTTCAACTCAACTCTTTACGCCTTACTTACAATATCCTTCGTGTTACGCCTGGTCGCCCTAGTCCATCCGGCACAGTCTGGACAACGCGCGCATTTCAACGAACTTAGCTACCACTTTCTTGCCTTCACTGCCCCAATGTTCTGGATGCGCCTGCTCCTGTATCTGGACACATTCCGATTCTTCGGTGCCATGTTCGTCGTCCTGAAGGTTATGATGAGAGAATCGTTCATATTCTTTGCGCTCCTCTTCGTCGTCCTCATTGGCTTTTTGCAGGCCTTTGTAGGCTTGGATCTTTCGGACTCGAGTCTCGAATCATCTGGATTCGTTGTTCAAGCAATGTTGAACGCTGTCATGCAGAGTCCCGATTTCGGTGGCTTTGACAACTTTGCCGTGAGTCTTTTGGTAGAAATATCGACTGAATAATGTACTAATGACTCACAGCCGCCATTCGGCATAGTACTCTACTATATTTTCACCTTTGTGGTCATGGTCATACTTCTCAATATACTCATCGCCCTGTACAACTCCGCCTACGAAGACATCACGGAGAACGCCATCGACGAATACATGGCCCTGTTCTCGCAAAGAACTATGCAATTCGTTCGCGCTCCAGATGAGAATGTCTTCATTGCGCCTCTCAACCTTATTGAGCTCTTCTTCTTGGTCTTACCATTCGAATGGTGGCTCCCCAAGGCCAAATACGAACGCCTCAACGACATCGTCATGGGCATCATTTATTCTCCACTCCTGGTCATCACAGCCTTCCTGGAGACCCGCCAAGCGCACAAAGTCTCGTATAATCGGCGCAGAGGAGAAGATGACGACGATGTCGTGGAGGAGTGGGAGCAGGTGCTTCATGAGTGCGACTTCGAGGCCGACGGTTGGAATAAGAAGGTACAGGCGACGAAGCCGAATGTACAGTTCGATACGGCAGTGTTGGAGATCAGAAAATTGCAAGAGGAAGTTAATTTGCTGAAGGAGGCGCTGATCGAGCTCAAAGATAAGGCGAGTTGGGGCAGTGATACTTTGAAAGAGAGCAAGATGGATGACAAGCTAGGTGCGAGTAGTGAGAGCGTGCAGCGCGATGAGTAAGGATTGGGGAAACGAAGATGGCATGAAGATTGAGGACCTTCATGGCCAAACTCAGTTCAACTTTCCTCCCACTTCGATTGCTTCGTATGGGATTGAAAGAATAGTATTGGCAGGCGCCTGGAACATACTCTATACGTTCCTAACCTATCACACTAATTCTAGTTTCTCGAAATATCCGAGCGCAAATGTCCATAGCTATGGTCATGCCCGAGGCATCGGTATGGCCTTTCCTGATCACAGAAACGTACGCTATAATCGTGGTGCTTGTTAGCATAAATGGCTACGACCTCTTATCGTCGAAGGCCTGACCCAAAGACGAAAAAGCAGTCTTGAGTTTGATAGCAGCTTTCTTTGCCGGCGACTCTTCAGCACCTTTCTCGATCTCTTTCGGACGCTTCTTCCCAGACTCTGTCATGTGCTCGTCATGCGCGACAGCGCCCCCATACTCATCATTCCTCTGTTGAACCTCCAGAGTGCGGAACTTCTTCGAATCCCTCATCGCTTTCCGCGCCTCCGCCTTCTCGATACCTAATTCTAGCGCATCGCCCGCTAGACTTAGCAAAGCAAGAAATGGGAACGTGAGGACGTGTCGGAGTTTGACCTCCACTTGTCGCCTCACAATCCTCTTGTTCACATCAATCTCCAGACGGTTCCCTTTTCCTCCCCCGGCTTCACATGACCCTTGCCCTGTCTTTTCGTCATTCGACCCTGAGTCTCCCTCTTGGGCCGTTCCACCGGTAGCACATTCTTCGAATGTTCCACCCTTCACCCGCCACTCCTCCAATATCACCTTATCTAGATTTCTCCTCCCAACGCTTTTCACCGGAATCCTCAACGCCTGGATCAAGGGTCTCGCATGCAGGACGTTGAACTCCAGCGGCGGTGTAAAAGCGTTTCGGTGCGTGAGCCACCATCTGATAGCGACTGTGAAATCCCGTGCTGCGAGGCCAGTGGGGAGATTCGCCAGCGAAGATGTTAGCGCTGTGAACTTGGGTGGTGTGAGGGTCGCGGTTGGCGGCAGGGGAGACGTAGAGAGGGCTTCTGTACGTAAGTCCGACGTTGCTTTTATCTTCCCCTTGGATACTTCTCTCTCGAGAGTGCGGTAGTGTTTCAGAAATCGCTGTAAGGCTTCGCCGTCCTTCTCGTGTTTGACGGCTGGGTGGAAGAAGTCTATCATCCCCGTGAGGTCTTCAGAGGTATACCCGTTCCCAGCTAGGCGTCTCGCGACGCCGTCCCAGAGGACGTGGTTTGGATAGAAGGCGAGGAGTTCTGGAGCGGAGAGGCGAATCCCAGGCGGGACGAGGGCGTCTATGGGGACCGCGGAGGGGAAGAGGGTCCAGTGGGCTGGTAGCGGTCGATGTGGGTTGCGCGTGCTGGCGTGTCGGATGGTATGTGAAGAGGGGGAGGGAGCGTATGTGTTATCCATCCATGGTCTCTTGTAAGGAGAGGTGTGGTTGTGAGTCTTTGATGGTGGAGGGGGAGGCGTAGGCGAGAGGATAGTCAGCGGAGTGAAGCCGTCGGTATTCGATGCGGGAGAGGGAGAGAAGATGACGGCGCTGGTGGTGCTACTTGTTCGTGTTCGAAACGTCTTGATTGAGCTGGGTGAGTCGGTGGTACTGGGAACTTCTGTCGCTCTCGGTGCGGTTTGTGGCGCTGGAGTGGTTTGGCGGTCGGGGAGACGCGACTTGTTTGCCGATGGCTTTGGGAGGCGTAGGTGTACGATAAGGGCGGTTGGTTCATATTCGTTGTTTGTGGCACTCGTGGTGTTGGAGTTCTGGGAAATGGGAGCGAAACACTTTATGGATATCGGCCGTGAGATCATCCTTCCCATGACTGTGGTACTGGTTCCGTACTCATCTTCACCTCCTTCGTGAGCCGTCGCCGCATAACCCACGCCATTACCTTCCCCTTCCTCGACCTTGTTTCCAGCCTGTGTGGTATCCACCGTCCATCCCTTCCGTCTTTTCCTTTCCTTTCTCCTCCTCTTCCTCCTAGCACCACAAGCATCCTCATCCAACATATCCCAAACCGTCTGGTCGCCTGGAGTATCCGTGAAGTCCTCATGCCGATATACGCCTGTGACGTAGCGCCAGTCGCGCTTTGGTGGTAGGTACGTGGAGTGGTACTGCGGACGGGAAGAGCGGTGGAGGATATCTGCTGGTGTGCGGATGGGGACGTTGATGGGGTGGATTGGCATGGCGAGGGTAAGAATGGGAGGGTTGTTTGGTAAGAATGGGTGGAACTGCTTGTAAGAATGGGTTGTACTGCTTTTAGGAATGGGTATTACTGTTTGTAAGAATCAGGGAAGTAAGAGTGTGCCTGTGTTTGTGGTTGTGGCTGTGTTGAGGTTGTGGCCGTCGCTAAATGGACGTGGTGAGGTGGAGGACTGCGATACTTGGGCTCCACCACTGGAGATCGGATCTCCCATGGCAACGAGCTGGTTTAAGTATGTGTATATGCGTGTTTCCATGGGTGGAGATTTTTGGTTCGTGATAGTGCAAGCGCAACGAGATGTACTGGGCCTTCATGATGGGGGAGAGAGCATTACGGAAATGGCAAAACATGGCAGAAGCGGTGTGTTGGGCAGGAAATTGAACGTGAAGTAAGATAAGCCCTTGTCGTAACATCATTGCTCACTTCACCTTTATCTTATAGATGGCTTTTCGTCTGGTGTTGTTGCGTCGGTGAAAGAGTCGGGTCGCTTGGGGCCTTACAGTGGTGAGGCAATTTTGAGGCTGCCAAGCTGTCCATGCTGGTCCGCCTGGTCTAAGGTGTTTAGGAATCATTAATAGAGTCTGCTGGACTACAGAGGAATGGAATCATTGCCACTAATTTTGGGTGGGAAAGTGCGAAAGCAGCCCAACACGCTTCAATGGACGATGTCAATTGAGCAAAACATGAAGCCAACTTCAATTCGGCTACCGTGGGATACAAATTGAATGCAAGTTGAACATGAATGAAAGTTTTTGGCATGGATTTGGTGCATGATTTCACGAATATACTAAATTTGGTTTCGCCCGCTTCTATGACTGAGCCTTCAGTTTATATAAGACGATGAGTTCAGGAGATCTTGTAAGGTATAAACAAATATAACCGACTGCGAAAGGGGTTGGTTGGCATAAATACCAAGAATACAAGTACTCTAGCAACAAGTGCAGTCTGCGACTGACTGAATCTGTCATAAGCTTTGAGACCATATCAAGTAAAAGAGAACGAAGGTATACTAGTTAACCTCGACTCTGATTAGTCGAGGCATAAAAGGATAAAACAAGCGAGAAAGAACAATTATTGAAGGATATTGATGACATTACTTTCAACCTGAACGTCTTGGGACGCTCGACGCGCTTATGAGAAGCCGGAGTGAAAGGTCGTTATACGGAATAAGGCGACGGTCTTACTTCAGGGACCAAGGATAACACAACACACTAAACTATTGTATAATTCCGCACCTCAAGCTATATTCTATTCGATATTTCGTTGCCTAATATTGATAGCACATGGCACCCGTCACATTGGCGGGATGATTGCCAAGCCACTAGTCCGTAAAGGTGACGCGTATCCCTGCACCCATTCATTCCCATTTCAACACTCTTCTTCCAGCTCTTCAGTCACTCCTTGGCTTTTACTGTCCTTACATTCCCTGACGTCTCTCCTTATACCATGGCCGGGTCTGCTTTATCTCCAGAATCTCCCACCGAAGAATTCGACTCCTTAAGTGATGACGACAGCAACTTCCTTGGTATGTTTACATATGCATCCCCTGACGTCTCTCCTTAGACTATGGCCGGGTCTCCTTTATCTCCAAAATATCCCACCGAAGAATTCGACTCCTCAAGTGATGACGAAAGCAGCATCTTTGATATGTGCGTGGATGATGACGAAAGCAACTTCCTTGATATGTGGGTGAAGCCGGAACTGCTTGACGCGCTGAGGGACGTTGAGGAGGCCAAAGGCGCGGATTTTGGTATTCATGCGGCACCGAAATTTGTTGACCCACAGATCCGAGTTCATGGACGCGACATTAGCATTCCTTTGTCGCAGGAAGATGGCGACTACTGTATGAGAAGAGGAAGATTCGACCCGTCTATCGTTCGTGATGATCTGCGAACAGCGCAAAGAACGTACACATTGTGGCCGGGGGAGGATTTCGCCATACAAAGTGTGCAATGGGAGTCATACATGGAGCAGGTCAAGCGTAAAGTGGCGAAGGACATGAAACTGGATAAAAACAATCCCGGGTTTTATTTGGCCCTGGACGGCATGGTTTTGTCTGAGGGAGGCGGGATCTATAAAATGGAGGACAAGTAAGAAGCTCATATTCACGGCCATGGCATTCTCTCATCGGATGACAGACGAAGCACGCACCCCGATTGTCTGGGGACTCTGCTCGTCCATTTACCCTCGACATATTCAGGTGGCTCCATTCAACTCTGCAAGGAAGGGCGCCAACTCAACTTCCTTGACACTTGGAAGAGGACGAATCAGTTCCTTTGGTGGTAAGTGACAGATAAAGCAGAAAGAAGATGGCACTCAAAGCTGTTACAGGTCGTCTAACGTAGAGGTCCTGGTCCGTATCATAGACCGCAATCTTTCAATATATCCATCCTACTGACTACGAGCAGCATTTTCCCATCAAATCCGGAATGCGATGGGCCTTATCTTACAGGTTAATGCGCGACAACTCTAACGGTATACTGCCAGTGCTGGTACCGGATACTTCCAACATACAACGTATCCTTGACGAATACAACCACGAAAGGGAGGACCTGGAAGACGTCGAAGTCACACCTGGAGTTATCATCCTCCGCTTGTCACATGAGTACGCTCAGGCCAATCTGCGGCTTCCCTCTCTAAAAGGAGGAGATTTGAAAAAGGTTGTTGCTTTACATCATGCCTGTGCCAAACGCAAATGCTACCTCTTTCTGGCCTTCATGGAACTGAAGCGTGTCGGGCGGACCATGAATACGGAAGATGTGCCGTTTCTGACTCACCCGTTGAATCACATTGAGAAGGAGGAGATACATCTTACTGACATCTGCGATGTGGAAGGAAACCCGCTACGGCAGAGAAGATGGGTGGACAAGACAGAGTTGGTTGAATGGGACAAGACAAAGGTGCTTAAATATGTACTCTTCGATGGGCTCGATCCTGACCAAGAAGACTGGATGGGTAGCCCTGAACAAGGGGCCACAACCCAGTTTGACGGTATTGGGAGCGTCATTGGGGAGGTTGACACCAGGAAGATAACCCATTGGTATCGAAGGCCCGTAAGTCAGTCGCCTTACGTTGACGTTAGAAGAGAACTGAGTCCGTTTAGGTATCCGTCATTGTGGCGGAAGCAGAACTCATGGAGTTCCTCGGTCTAGACGGAAACTTGGATGTGTCCAATCCTCCCCTGCGGGCGTGCCGCCATGTGGTTAGAACGATCATGCGTGGTACTGCCCCCGAGATCTATCGCAAGGGTCTGGAAAAGTTTTGTAAACGGGTGATAACGCATAACAAATCATGCATAGCTACAACCGCACCGAAGGAGAACACCATCTTTGACAGCAGCCTTCTTCAAGATCTTGTTCTTGCTGCAGGTGTATTGGAAAACAAAGAGTTATGTGTGAGTGTCCTGGACGCTTTCCCTGTTTGGGATGACGCTAGCCTCACCCTCGTTGGCAACATGATTGCGCAGTACAGTACTGGCCCTTTCTTGGACACGTAAGTGGCCTCTAGATTTTTCGGCTAGCTTTACTGAATAACTCAGGCTCGAGAAGCATTTTGCTAGGGAACACGACCTAGGTGCCCTCACACGCCGGTTCACAATCCTTCTGACTCAGGATATAACGGCGTGTCTGGAAGGGGATGAGTTGATAGAGGTCGGGAGGCGCCCTGGCCTTGTATATTGGATGACAGATGTTCTTGGCCGACGGCTTCAACAGTTGATAAAATCTAGGACGGCACTCGAGTATGGCCATGTCGATGCCGTGGACTTGTTTTACCGCTTCGTCGACAAAGAGGACACCGCTGATCTGTGGCGTAAAAGGTGAGATTTTTTTTCTTTTTGTTCGAAATGCATGTGAACTAATCAAGGCTAGAATACTTAAACTTCTGAATCAGAACGTGTCCAAGACGTTGCTTGTCGCATGTATCATCGATCGGCTATATTCAACCCTTCGGTACAGTCATGGCAATCATATCGAGGTTGCGTCCGACTGGTTCAAGGGGCTCATCATTTCCATGGCAGAAGGGGTCAATCCATTAAACGGTTTCCGAGACCTAGCCCAACGCATAGCCGACGAGAGATATTTTCGTCCAGGAAAGCAATACGGAGATTTCTTGATCCTATGCCGCCAGATGGGCCTTTCGACACCATACCAGAAGTTCCTCTTCGCCTTGGAAGGACTGGCTATGTCGGCGGATCCCGTGGATCTCAAGGCCTTCTATGTTCCGTGCATGTTTTCGCTAACGGATGGCGATATAAATCCCAGAGCCTTCGAGAAAGACGAATACCGGGATGTATTCTGCAGTGTCTTGCGTTCGTTTGTGCGGATATGCGTAGGAAACAAACCGCATGACGACCCGGACTTCTGGCAGCGCGACACGTTACCATGTAACTGTAAACTCTGCGTTAGATTGAGCAAGTTTTTGCGCCACCGGGAAAGACAGACTAGAAAGTTTCTTGGCGTTTCACCAGCGTCTTTGAACCATTTTGTCCTTGTGGCAGCGGGGGTTGAGGGAATTTCCTACAACATACATCGCAGGAACAGGGAATGTACGCTAGAGATCACGAAGAAAGAGTTGCCAGGACAATCTCTGCTCGCGAGCTGGCAAAGCAGAAAGCAGAGCGCGAGGTCAGAGCTGTACAGGAACTTCGACAACGATACGTTGGAGGACCTGCTGGGCGATTCTTACGAGGACATTGTCAAAATGCGCATGCTCGAGACCCCTCCCGAGGAAGGCATCAAGACTCGCTCTACACCTGCCCTATCGGCGTCGTCGGAACCTTCGGGAAGTGTGGCGCGTTCGTTATTTGGTTCCACAGCTCGGAAGCGAAAGGCTTCTGAGGTGGGACTTGACGATCTTGAGTGATTATTTCGCTGCATAGACAATCAAGATCTCCAGAAGATGCTGCCCGGTTGGTTATAATGCGCCTAGAGGACCTGTCCCGAAGGCGGGCGGTGAGAGAGAATGCAGATTATGCGCTTCTCATTTGTACGACCAATATAAATAAGCAGGGATAACACGGGGCATAAATCTTTCAGCGGTGCGGCAAACTAAAGTGAGCAATACACGTGCGTTATCTAAAGAGAGACCCTCTTGCCCTTGTACATGGAAATAAAGCCGATCTGACAGCGCCAATCATAGCCCTTCCTCTTCTCCAATTCTTGTCTTCTATTTATCAAAATCCGCGACGTCAAAACTGTGTCCGTCTACACCCACCCAGCCTACAACGACCCCAAAACGTGCCCCATGCGATCCGCCTACTATTACGACACGGTTTTGCACGGAACAGGGTCGCGGTGGGAATCTCGAAGGGGTTATAGGGGAGCACTCCCTCCATGTACATGTGCTTTTAAAAAAAATCACTGTAAAATGTACTTCTTCGTTTCCCTTTCTCTTCTCTTCTCTCCTAGGCAGAGGTTGCCAGTGCAAAAAGATAAGTAGACCTACCTGTGATTAACAAAAGCAGAAGCAGGGAGGGGATTCTGCAGCAGAAGAAATCAATATACAGTGGCCAAACAACCCCTTCTCTCGTTATAGACAGCAACGCCGCGTAAATCTAATTCATGTAAACACACTACACAATGTGCTGGTGCGCTTTGGCAGTCTCGTTTCACGGTTTGAAGGTGGTGTCACATGACAGGTCGGCGCAGTTTTGCAAACCGCACGCAACTTTGCTCTCTTTAGATGTTATCAAAATGCTATAAATTAGAAACACTTCTAGACTGGTATTTCTGGTGTTGATTTAAGCAAAATGGCTGGTCGTGCCATGCTATCAGGAGCCGTTGTTGTGATGAGCAGCCACTACCTCACTGTCCCGGGATAATACTTTTGCTCCTCTTGTGTAGATGCATCCCATCTATCTCAAGAACTCAAACGTTAACGTAACAGAGAAAATCAGGCGGACAGGCCAGATTATACATGAGACTGAGTCCACGAGCTCAAGAACGCGGCTGGTGGAGTCATCGCAACCTTCACGTCAAATCAATAACCTCCACCTCACCAATCTTCCTCTTGACCCCAGTCTGAGCCATCATCCCACCCCTCCCCCCATGCAAATTCACCCTCGACGTCTCCGCCTCCACCAACGGTCCGGTCCCCTCCGCTCTCCTAACCAGCCTCGCCTTAACGAATTCCTCATACCGCTCACCCATCAGCCTTTCCAAAGTACGGGGATGAAAAGACGCCAGTATAGCCTTAACCTCCCTCCTCTTCGCCTCCCACAACTCATGCTTCTCCTGCCCCGACACCTTCATCTTCCGCACGACCAGCGTGTTGCCAAACCCACTTCTATCCGTCTGATGCGTATATCGAACGACCGCGTCTTCGATCTCACGGTGCATGTGATGACGCTCCCGTACAGCACCCGTGAAGCGTCCAGTCTCGAGACACGCATTCTGCAAGAAGCGGTTTATCGGGGTGCAGATACGGCAGGAGCAATCTAGTGTATTCCTCGCCCAACCTACACCTTCAGCGGGTCGGGGACCGAGGTACTTGGATATGAAGTTGGAGATGATGGAGGCGGCGAAGGTTTGGTAGGGCTCGGTGGTGTACGGGATGTCCCATTTGGATATGTAGAGAACGAGGGATTGAAGGCAGGGGATGAAGACGAGTTTTAGTTCCCCGGCCATGAATTTGTGCGCTTGGAGGGAGGCGGAGCGGATGATGTTCTCGGTGAGGGTGCGGTAGCCTAGGGTGTGGCAGTGGTCGAGGAAGAGGGCTAGGTCTTTGCCCTGAGATAGTGCCACCTTTACAGTATTTTGCTGGCTTTGAGCATTGGATGCGCTGTGTGTGAGCGGTTCCATGTAGTACATGTCTTTCCGGTCGAAGTTATTGGACATCGCGGGGGCGAGTTCTTCGAATCATTGGCGAACTTTGTCGTGGTGGTCGCTGCCGGTGGTGGCATAGTTGTCCCAGATGCCATTGAGCACTCGTACCAGGAAAAACGTTCTCGTTACTTTATGACTGAGCATATTATAGATCCTAAAACGTGTCAGTAAAAAGTATTGGAGAAAGAGTAGATGACGCACATTCTGCGTTTGGCACCATCTGCGTCCTCTGCCTCCAGCATGGAATAGAATTTGACTGTTTCATCCGCATCTTCCATGTACCGATGCACATAGTTGAGGAACGATGGGGTAAGCGTGGCAACCACCCATCCGAGGAGATCTGACCTTCTCCCCTTTTCAAGGATCTGCTGAGCTGTATCACCGTTTGCGCAGCCAGCGAGCAGAATGTTAAGGGAACGGGACAATGGACCAAGCCATGTCTCCTTGGCAAAGTGACTTTGAACTCTGTGAATGCGTCAGTAAGCAGACGCGAGGAAACGGCAGTGGGACCCACATGGATTGGCAAAACGAGAATCCTTTCTTTTGGATTCTGGTTCCAAGAATGGCAAGGGCGCGGTCATCCCACTTGGGGAATGCGTTCAGAGCCCGCAGAGCTAAGTCGTTCTTGTTCATTATGAACGAAACATAGATAACGTCGGCAAGGAGGCTGCTGGAGAAGTCTCCAGTATCGACAGCAGTGTTTTTGGCTCTTTCCGACTCATTATGCTCGACCATACGTCTGCACAGCTTGAACAGAGTATCATGATAAGCGGATCTCGACTTGTCGGTCTGCTGAACTCGATGGAGAAGATAGAGGAATTTCCTCTTCGTGGGTTTGCAGTTGCTCGGACGGTTTCCGGCCATGCCTAGGAATTCGAGCACATCCGTGTCTGGGACAAGGATGGCAACCTATAACGATTCATTGGGGGGCACCACCGGACGAAGGGAGTTCTTACAGCCTTTCGATACCAATGAGTTGCCTCGCAACCCCAATTCCCCTGATACCCCTCATAGTCTTCGCTATCTTGATCATAGCCGTCAAAAGGATCGTCCTCTAGGAAATCCTCATTTTCCACCTTCTTTTTATCCAATAGTCGAAGGCCCCTCAGGTCAAACACAGCAGTCAAATACGTCTCCTCTTCCAAGATTTCTTCGATGCTGTGCATGCCGCCTGGGTTATCATCGTAATCATATTCTCCTGTAGGGCCCCACCTTCTATGCTCAAGTGTGCCTAAGAAGACATGGCAGTTTGTCTCCTCACATGCCCGCTCTAAAGCTAGAACATATTCGAGGTCCTGGTCTTTGAGGAGGGCGAGCTTGAGGTTCGCCTCCGTGTATTCGTGCTGTAGCATGACGAGGAGGTTGGAACTCAAACCGGCTTCCTTGTTAATCCTTTGGTGATAGTACCCCTTAAGTACCCGCTGGAGATTGGTGGTGTCTGGGATGAACTCGCGCAGCGGGGTGTCGGGGTCATCTCGCACGAGGTTAAAAGTGAGCACCCAGCGGATTCCGGACTCAACAGGGAGAATCTCGTGGCTCATGTCCGAATACCACCAGACATACGAATACTCTGTCAAAGACGTATCGAGATACCCATCGCGAAACCCGTCCCGCCGCATCCGCACAGATGCACCAGTATGCGGCGACGGCAATTGAACGACGAGCGTCGCAAACATACCCGGCACCTTCTCCGTATCTTGATGTGCCTTGAACATCGCACCCCGCTCATACAGCAGCATCTTATACAACTCCGCATGGAAGCCCGGACGTTTAGGATTAAGCGCCATGTCCTTAGCCACCTGCTTGACAATCCCACCCCAATGTACACCCTTTCCCACTTTTTATTTCTAATCTGAAACTCCCCGGGATCCAGTTCCCATGTCCTTCGCACGCTCGAATCGACGATGGTAGCATCTTTCTTCCCGAAGGGCGCCGGATGTCCCGCTTGAATACACCGTCGGACATCTTCTGCAGAAAGTGGGAAATCAATTCGGTGCCCGTTAACGTGGATTTCGGGGTCGATGAATCTTTCAGGTAGCCCAATGCCGTAGACGTCGCCGGGCTCGCATTCAAGTCCCTCCAGTGCTAAATTGAGCTGGGCTTTGACGTCCATGTTTGTCAGACTCTTCTCCTCGGCGGAATCAATGCTGGCGTCGCTTTCTGTGGAACCGAGGTCGATGATTTCAGTAGGTGGCATTGTATATAGGAGGGCAAATGCGGAAAATTAGATTGTTACATGAAAATGATTTAAAATAAATCTGTTGGAACGTTGGAAATCAGAATCAGGAGAGTGCACGCAAGGCGCAACGGGGGTGTCCAAGAAGCAAATTGAATCGTTACCATCCGAAGTTGAAGATTCCCCTTTCAAACGCGTGCAAGGGTCACACGTGTCGCGCAGTCACCTGGGCACGCGAAATCATGGTTCGTCGAATCTATCCGGCTAGCGGCTTGGCTATTCACTACATCTCATCCATACCTGGCCACGCTCAGTGTATTCCCTTCCCCTGCTACCGAACCCTTTACATCCTCATTCTCCCCCTTCCTCACCCAACCCACACCTTGTATCAGAACCTAAATTAGGTTCAACATCATCTCTCTTCCTTCCTATTCATCGTTCCCTATCCATATCCTCCGACTTCCTCTTTAATACCCCCAATACCCGGAAAGCCATTGACTTATGCACCATCTCGTACCGGACGGGATAGGTTCTAGTTTCCTCTTTGACCCGGGCGTTCTTAGACAGGAAAAATGAAGGGCCGAGAAGACGACGACATGCAAATCCTATGCTACAGAACCCGAACGGTATAGATATGCTAGAGATCCACATGACTGCATGAGGAGAAAATAATACATGCATTCATGCCGCCGAATCCAAAACGTGCAGAAACGCCTTATCCGGCCAGGTTATGCAAACACGAAGCCGCCTCTTCATCCACTTTTTCCTTAAACGCCCTGAATCCCCAACGACACTAAACACTCGAGCCCAGCAACCCCTCACTAGCACCACTCCCCTCCTTCCCGCCCCTCCTCTTCGCACCGCCCGCACTCCCCTTCCCCCTCTTCCTCGCACCCATCTCCACTGGCGACGTATTCCCCGTAGTCCTCACCCCTCCCCCTCCCCGACTACTCCTCCCATCCGCACTCCCCTTCTTCAACCCCTTAACCTCCCTCAATACATCCCTAAACCCTTCCTCCAAGGTCGTCATCCTAGCCAACATAATCCTACTCATACGACTAGACTCGTCGTCATCGCTCCGGTTCAACCCTCCCATTCCCACTCTCCCCCCTCTGGCCGCCATTGCAAACTGCGTTGTGAACGACGCAGGGAGGCCGCCTAGGGCGCCAAAGTCGGGGACGTGGCGATTATCGCCAAGGTCGGAGGCGAGATCCAATGCAACGGTGTTGAAGGAGGTCTGTCGTTCGGGTTCACGGCGGCGATAATAGTCATGGTCGAGAGAGGAGAACCCTGCAATGTTGGAAGCCGAGCGGCTGAAGGTGGAATCTTTGGGCGGTAGGATGGCGCGGGGTCGGCTAGGTGGATCATCAATGAGAGTGTGGCGTTTTGGGGTGCGATGACCGTCGGGGAAAGCACGCCTCGGAGTGTTCTTACCACTGCGGTTGGCGGTGGAGGGGCGAAGAGGGGGCGACGAGGAGAAGGAGGAGCCGTGGTCTGTATCCTTGATTGGGCTGAAGAGAACTGTGTTGGATGTGTTCGTCGACAAGTTGCGGGAATGGCTGATATTGGGTCTGCTCTGTTCCCTACTTGGCGAGATATCTCTTGCGCCATCCACATCATAGGAGGAAGGTGAACTGACAAGAGCCATTGACCGCGGTCTCACGGTCATGGGAGTGCGAAAGAACTCTTCCTCTGAAGAGTGGTCGTCTGCTCTTTGCTTGCCCGTGTCTCTTTCCTTCCGGTCTTTCCTTCTTCTGCTCGACGACTGAGATGTCCTCCCGTTGTCTTCCGAGTTGGTCACTAATTCATCGTCACCATCGGCGTCCGTCTGCTGGGGTAGGTCCTCCATGCTCATATCTGGCTCTTCCTCTTCAGCAATCGGCCGGTCGTATTGCATCAGACTCTGATCCGGGTCAGAGGCTACACTCCTGTGCGCACTGAGGAGTTGCTTCCGTCTCTTGGGTACGTATCCACCGGTTTTGGTACGCCTGAACACTGGCCGGCTGCGAGCTTCCAGTCGATCGAGAACGGATCTGGTATCCTCCTGCGGTGGAAACGCATCCTGGTTGTTCCCCATGCCTCGCATCCAGTCCGTTACCAAATTGCTCGATTTTCTCCTTCCTGGAAGCCGACTACCCGATGCTTGGACGCTGGTTTCCCTGAACGGCCTGCGGAATACCTCCTCCAGGGCGCGATCCTTGCGGAACGTCGTAATAGAAGGCTCGCGAAGGCGCGCACTGGGGCTGAATAGGTCCGCAGCCGCACCTCTGATACTGAAGGTAGGGACGCCAGCATAGGATTTTGGTCTGCCGCGCTGCTCAACCATATCAGTAGGTTCGTACGCCAGGTTAGACAGCAAAACCCGCTCGTAGACGAAGATGGAGAAAAGGATGGGAACATGTGTGATCTTGATGATGAGGCGATTCATGCGAATGAACCGCCGGAACGGCATGCAATAGCGGAGAGGGATGACGAGCCAGCCGATGATGTTGGTAGGAGCGATGTAGGCGAAGAGAGCATCGGACTTGACCATGGAGATAGTATTGACCGCAAACAGGAACTGATGTTCTTCGTTCGCATTTTGAACAATGGCCATGAAGCTGTTGGTGAGAACAGTGATCAGGATTGTCACAATGAGAAAGTGACAGATGAACAGGAACAGAGTAAGAAGGGCTTTCCCTAGAGGATTGAACCCTCCCCATAGTTCCCATGCAGCTGGAGTGAAACCCATCAACATCTGAAAGAGCGCATATGCGGCATCTGGTGCCGTAAATCCTTTACCGAATGCGAGGGTAAATGCAACGAAGAAACCGCTGCAAGCAATGATGATGAGCACCATGACAGCAATGAGGTCCAAGGCCATCATGCGGAAGGCAATCAGAAGCTGTGAGAAATAACGGGCATGGTCGAGTGCGGAGAAGAGTCGAGGGAAGAGTAGGACAGCAGTGGCGCCGAGGACATCATAGGCCATGCGGGCGATCGAGTGACGCTCCGCGTCCGTGATTAGTATGCCGTAAAGGCGCAGCACATAGTAAACCATGAACATGAACAGGATGCCAAGGTCAAAAGCGTTCCAAACGCTCATGATGTAGAGTCCAAAGCCCTGCTCTGACCAGCCGACGATCTCATCGAGCATATACCCGGCGCTCCAAAACCAGAATAGGACCTCCAAGCCCGTGATGTCGTCCGATTTCTCGAAGAGAACGGCTACGAAGAGGACAAGCATGATAGCGAAAGATAATGTCGAAAACAAGCTCCGATAACGAGGAACACGAAGTCGGGACAGCTTGAAGAGGGACGCGTCATGCGGATCGTAAAGAGTTACAGAGCGCCTAACATTGCTCACCCGCGGAGACGGGCTCTGGAGGGGTTCCATGGACTGTTGGGGTTGCTTCCCACGAGGTGACACGTCTCGGCCGGTACCGTACCATTGAGCGGATCGAGATGCACTGGCTGGCCTCTGTTCTGTACTGCGGTGTAAGTTATCAGCGGATGAGTGAAAGACTATGGTGCCCGCCCAGATAGCTTCAAGGTGGTGCACCACCAAGGGGTGGGCCAGGAACTTCTTCGCCTGTGCTTTGATAGCCACCTCGAGGGCACTCGAGCGTGCAGACAGCGGAGTTCGCCTCTGGCGCAGCCATTGGCCTCCAGGAGAAGCCGAGCCAGTGAAGGCCGGCAGCGCCATGCCTTGTAAAGGGTCGAAGTCGTACGAGAGAGCATCAATCAGTTCGCGGGTAGAAAACTCCTTGAGCAGCCGCATAGCGAGAAGCTCACATATGAGGGCGCGGGTCCTGCTCACCCCTTCATTGGCCGGGTAGTCGCTCGCCTCCTTCCGGAACTGAAGACAGTTTACCAGTAAACAGTATATGGAGCCCCTGGAGAGTTGTTCGGCAAGGATGCGCTGCTGGATGGGTTTGACGAGGAACTGTGACACCTGGGGCGAGCGGAGCTGGTCCCAGCAAAGGGTGGTTTCGCATCTTTGTATGACGAGGATACGAATGGCGTGGGTGGTCGAATAGATGGGAAGCTGGTCTGAAGTGGCAGTTAGCATGTCGGGCTGAGACAGTGAATGGAGAGGGACAGTCGACGAACCCAGAGTCTCGGAGAAGACGGGTAGCAGGGGCCCGTCTCGACGGCCCCGGTTCGCCCCTTCATCGTCCTCGTCCTCGCCATAGTAGCGGGCGGTATCCTCGTGGTCATGGTCCTCGGACGCGCTGTGGTCTGGGTTGTGGTGTTGACGCGAGAGGTGGTTGAGCCAGGAAGAGAGCAGCGGGGTGCGCTCGGAATGGCGGCCTTTTCGCGTGCCGAGGAGTGAGGAGAACATGGGATTCGCCTCTACGCTCCGCCCTCAATCGTCGTCGTCAATAAGGCAGCATGTGGTGAGAGTCGCGAGAGGAGTAAGGAGTTGGAGTGGTCTGGGGCGGGACAGACAAAACTAAACCGGGGGGGCCGTCCAAAGCGGTGCAGGTGGAGACAGGAAGTCATGAACAGGATGCTAGGCCTACCCCCCAAACTGTACGACGCACCATGTCGGACTGCCTAGGCATTCACCGCTCGGCGGACTGCACTGCAAAAACCCAGCGGGTGGGCGGTGGTGATCATGAGGGAAGATGCACGCCATCTTTCTTATCATCCATGCACGTGTAGGAGCGCGTCGTAGCCAATCAGAACGGCGCGTTCGTCGCCGGTCCGCATCTTGGACATGCTGGTCATGACCCTTGGAAGCGTCCACGGTACTCCGTAAGAAGGGTGGAATCGTCGACCGGGAGAGGCGAGGATTGCAGGCGTGAGCGATGGGGTATGCGCTTGGGGAGATTTGTCCGATTGTGGGGGAGTGAAAAAAGTTGTGGGGAGTATACTGTAACAACATGGAATGCGTGTACGATGACGGAGGTGCCTTATCGGCCTCGTCTATCGTCCAAGTTGCCCCGCTGATCTTATCTTATCGATATGCTGGAAAAGTATGAGACACTATGCTCCAGGACATATTATTACAAGTATACCATGATGTTTCCGAAAGATGTGCATAGTTGTCTGTCGTTCTCTACTCGGTACAGCTCTTTGCGTGTAGTGTAGAACTGGTGTTCGCATTAACACTGGTTACACTGCATGGCCAATATTGTCTATGTAACACAGTACTCGACTTGCCGCGCCTGGCCGACCCCGCCATCTCAGACGGAATGTGCCCACGTGAAGTCTAGCCATCTCCTCCAGGGCTGGCAGGCCTACCGAAGTACTCTCACCGCTCTCGTCGGGAAAATATTTCGCGAATTCACACTTTCCCAAGAACTCCGCCCTCATAGACGACCATCGTGAGAAAATCGCAGAGAAATGGAAAAGGTGGGTTGTCACTCTCAGGCTCCCATTGATTGCTGGCAGGGATCTGCATCAGGTTCTCGATCTTCTCGATGTGCACGGACGAATCACAGCCGGACCCCGCCGCCTAGTGCGCCCCACCCTCTGTGAAATTTGTTGACCTTTTGCAACACCTCTTTTTTTTCTTTCCTATCCTTCCTGCTGCTCGTCCAGCACCCTTCCCTCGCTTCCACCCTTCTTTCACATCTCCTTCATAGGCAGACTCGACTGGGACGGCTTTTACACGGGCCTCGAGCTGTCGACGCATCCGTCACCATGGCCCAATTGAGCGCCGAGCACCAGAACATGGCTCTGGAGTTGCAGGACGGCTACGTCTGCTTTGGCCAGAGCTTTGGTGCTGAGAAGAGCATCGCCGGCGAATTGGTCTTCCAGACGGGCATGGTGGGCTATCCCGAGTCCATCACTGACCCCTCGTATCGTGGTCAGATTCTCGTCATCACTTTCCCTCTGGTCGGCAACTATGGCGTCCCCGACCGCAACGAGATGGACGCCCTCCTCAAAGATGTCCCCGCATCCTTTGAGGCAAAAGAAATACACATTGCGGGTCTGGTCGTCGCCACGTATGCCGGCGAGAACTACTCACACCATCTGGCCAAATCCTCGCTGGGCACATGGCTAAAGGAGCAGGGCGTGCCTGCCATAACCGGCGTCGACACTCGAGCCCTCACAAAGCGTATCCGAGAAGAGGGTAGCATGCTTGGCCGCATGCTGCTCAGAACCAGTTCTCCGTACTCCTCGGTGTCGTTGACCGACGGTCTTGTTCACACCGAAACCCTGACCAACGGAATTCCTGACGAAGATTGGAGGAGTGATTTCGAGCAGGTCGAGTGGTCGGATCCCAACAAGAAAAATCTCGTCGCTGAAGGTGAGAGATGCATACCTGCCCTAGCCTTCCAACCTTCCTCTAATGTAGCCCCCAGTCTCGATCAAATCCCCTAAGATCTACTCTCCCGATCCCTCAAACGCACTCAAGCATCCCTCCGGCCGCCCCGTTCGGGTAGTATGTGTCGACGTCGGCCTGAAGTATAATCAGTTGCGATGCCTTGTCAAGAGAGGCGTCGAAGTCGAGGTGGTTCCCTGGGACTATGATTTCCCTCAACTGGCGGGCAAGGACTACGATGGCCTCTTCATCTCCAACGGCCCGGGTGACCCTGCCATGATGGAAGCCACAGTTAAGCACATCAGGAAAGCCATGGACGAAGCCAGAACTCCCATCTTCGGCATCTGCCTTGGTCACCAGCTACTCGCTAGGGCTGCCGGTGCCGACACGCTGAAGATGAAGTTCGGTAACCGTGGCCACAACATTCCCTGTACCAGCATGATCTCTGGTCGTTGCTACATCACCTCACAGAATCATGGTTATGCCGTTGATGCAAAGACGCTTCCTCGCAACTGGGAAGAACTTTTCGTCAACGCCAACGATGGCAGCAACGAGGGTATTCGTCATGTGAGCCGCCCGTACTTCAGCGTTCAGTTCCACCCTGAGCATACTCCCGGTCCTCGCGACACTGAGTTCCTCTTCGACGTCTTCATAGAGACCATCATGAAGGCCATCGACTCTCCTGAGGTTCTTTCTAAACCCGTCGAGTTCCCCGGAGGTACTCTGGAAGAGAACAAGAAGCTGGCGCCCAGAGTCAACGTCAAGAAGGTTCTCGTGCTCGGTAGTGGTGGCCTCAGTATCGGCCAGGCTGGAGAATTCGATTACTCCGGTAGTCAGGCCATCAAGGCACTCAAGGAGGAAGGCATCTATACAGTTCTCATCAATCCCAACATCGCTACGATCCAGACCTCCAAGGGCCTCGCCGACAAGGTTTACTTCCTTCCGGTAAATGCGGACTTTGTGCGCAAGGTCATCCAGAAGGAGCGCCCTGACGGCATCTATGTCACCTTCGGAGGACAGACTGCCCTCCAGGTCGGTATCCAGCTCAAAGACGAGTTCGAAGGTCTTGGTGTCAAGGTTCTGGGAACGCCTATTGACACCATCATCACCACCGAAGACCGCGAGCTCTTCGCCAGGAGCATGGAGTCTATCGGTGAGAAGTGCGCCAAGTCCGCGTCCGCAAACACCGTCGAAGAGGCTATGCGCGTCGTCAAGGACATTGGTTTCCCTGTCATTGTGCGTGCAGCATACGCCCTTGGTGGTTTGGGAAGTGGGTTTGCAGAGGACGAGTCCCAATTGCTCGACCTGTGTAACAAGGCTTTCGCCGCCAGTCCTCAAGTGCTCATCGAGCGCAGTATGAAGGGCTGGAAGGAGATCGAGTACGAAGTCGTCCGTGACTGCCGTGATAACTGTATTACCGTTTGCAACATGGAGAACTTCGATCCTCTGGGTATCCATACCGGCGACTCCATTGTTATTGCTCCGTCGCAGACCCTGTCCGACGAAGACTACAACATGCTCAGGACGACTGCCGTCAACGTCATCCGCCACCTCGGCGTTGTCGGAGAGTGCAACATTCAATACGCCCTTAACCCCTTTTCCAAGGAGTACTGCATCATCGAAGTCAACGCCCGCCTTTCTCGATCCTCGGCATTGGCATCCAAGGCTACCGGCTACCCATTGGCCTTCGTTGCTGCCAAACTGGGTTTGGGCATTCCTCTCAACGACATCTCCAACTCCGTCACTCGCGTGACGTGCGCATGCTTCGAGCCTTCCCTGGACTATGTCGTTATCAAGATTCCCAGATGGGACTTGAAGAAGTTCCTCCGCGTCTCCACCCTCCTGGGCTCCTCCATGAAGAGTGTCGGCGAAGTCATGGCCATCGGGAGAACTTTTGAAGAGGCAATACAAAAAGCCATCCGGTCTATTGACGTCAGTAACCTTGGCTTCAATGAGACTTCGGCTCTCATGAAGATCGATCAAGAACTCCAGACGCCTTCAGATCAGCGCTTATTTGCGATTGCCAATGCCATGAAGGCTGGTTACAGTGTGGACAAGATCTGGGAGATGACCAAGATTGACAAGTGGTTCTTGAGCCGACTCAAGGGTCTCAGTGACTTCGAAAAGCTCATGCAAGGGTACTCCACGACGAGCATCACGAAGCCTCTGATGCAGAAGGCCAAGCAGCTCGGCTACTCCGATCGTCAGCTCGCCAAATTCTGGGGATCAAACGAACTTGCTGTGCGTCGTGCTCGTATCGATGCTGGAATCACGCCCGTTGTGAAGCAGATTGATACCGTTGCCGCAGAGTTCCCAAGCGTGACGAATTATCTCTACCTCACCTACAATGGGACCGAGCATGACATCTCCTTCAATGACCACGGTATCATGGTCCTTGGTTCTGGCGTTTACCGAATCGGTTCTTCCGTCGAATTCGATTGGTGTTCCGTCCGGGCAATCCGAACATTGCGCGAGCAAGGCTTCAAGACAGTCATGGTGAATTACAATCCGGAGACCGTGAGTACTGACTACGACGAGGCCGACCGCCTGTACTTCGAAAACATCAGTCTGGAGACTGTTTTGGATATCTATGGCATGGAGGGCTCCAGCGGAGTGGTCATCTCCATGGGTGGCCAGACGCCGAACAACATCGCGCTTCCCCTTCATCGTATGAATGTCAAGGTCTTGGGCACCTCACCGGAAATGATTGACACGGCAGAGAATCGCTACAAGTTTTCGCGCATGCTTGACCGCATTTCGGTCGATCAGCCTCAATGGAAGGAGCTGACCAGCTTGGAAGAGGCTACCCAATTCTGCAACAAGGTCTCCTATCCAGTGCTTGTTCGTCCATCCTATGTGCTGTCTGGCGCCGCCATGAACACCGTCTACTCCGAGGATGACTTGGCCAACTATCTCAAGCAAGCGGCCGATGTTTCCAAGGAGCATCCAGTTGTTATCACCAAGTACATCGAGAACGCCAAGGAAATTGAGATGGATGCTGTCGCCCTCAACGGTACGATGATCGGCCATTTCATCTCTGAGCACGTTGAGAACGCTGGTGTCCACTCCGGTGACGCCACGCTCATCCTTCCTCCTCAGGATCTGGATCCCGAAACGGTTCGTCGCATCGAAGATGCAACCCGCAAGATCGGTAATGCCCTAAACGTCACTGGTCCTTTCAACATCCAGTTCATTGCCAAGGACAATGATATCAAGGTCATTGAATGCAACGTTCGAGCGTCCAGATCTTTCCCCTTCGTCTCCAAGGTCATGGGTGTTGACCTCATCGAAATGGCGACCAAGGCTATGGCCGGCCTCCCGGTAACTGAGTATCCCCATATCAACATCCCTCCGGATTATGTCGGCGTCAAGGTACCTCAGTTCTCATTCTCACGTCTCTCTGGCGCAGACCCAGTCCTTGGTGTCGAAATGGCGTCGACGGGTGAGGTGGCTTGCTTCGGTCGAACCAAGTACGAGGCTTACATGAAGGGCCTCATTGCAACTGGTTTCAGGCTCCCCAAGAAGAATATCCTGCTATCTATCGGTTCGTTCAAGGATAAACTGGAGATGTTACCTTCCATCCAGACACTGCACAAGCTGGGTTTCAATCTGTTTGCAACTGCGGGTACTGCCGACTACATCAGGGAGCATGGAATCCCTGTCAAGTTTCTGGAAGTGCTGCCTGGTGCCGATGTGGACGAGCAGAAGCCCGAGTATTCTCTTACTCAACATCTGTCCAACAACATGATTGATCTGTACATCAATCTGCCTTCGAACAACCGCTTCCGCAGGCCCGCCAACTACATGAGCCGAGGCTACCGAACCAGACGTCTGGCCGTTGACTTCCAAACCCCTTTGGTTACCAATGTCAAGAACGCGAAGCTCTTGATCGAGGCCATCGCCCGCCACTATGACCTCGAAGTCAGCAAGGTTGACTACCAAGAGTTCGTTCCTGCCCCAGGATCACATCCTGAGCAGAATCTTCTCTCTACGGTTAACGGATCCATGTCCCTGCACCAGATGCTGGCAAGGTCGCCCTTCAAGAGAAAGCATATCGTATCCGTCCAGCAGTTTACCCGCGCCGACCTACACCTTATCTTCACTGTCGCTCAAGAGATGCGGCTTGGCGCTCAGCGACACGGCTGCTTGGATATCCTCAAGGGCAAGGTGCTCTGTACCGTGTTCTGTGAGCCTTCAACTCGCACATCGGCCTCCTTTGATGCTGCGATGAAGCGCCTTGGAGGGGAGACGGTGGTGATTACGGAGACCGTGTCCTCGACCCAGAAAGGCGAGTCCATCGGTGATACCATCCGCACTTTGGGATGCTATGGAGATGCTATTGTCCTTCGCCACCCGTCGGAAGAGTCCATCGATATTGCAGCCAAATTCTCCAGTGTCCCGGTAATCAACGCAGGAAATGGCAGCCGCGAACATCCTACCCAAGCTCTCCTGGACATCTTCACTATTCGTGAGGAACTGGGTACCGTCAATGGCCTCACCATCACCTTCGTTGGCGACCTCAAGTACGGCCGCACAGTCCACTCGCTTTGCGAGCTCCTCAAGCACTACGAGGTAACCATTCAGCTCGTGTCCCCCGAGACTCTTGCCATGCCTGCAGCGGTTCTTGAGGCACTGCAGTCTCGTGGCCAGCTCAAAGTGGTTTCGCATGAGCTTACGCCGGAGATCGTTGCCAACAGCGATGTGCTCTACTGCACACGGGTACAGAAGGAACGGTTCCCAGACTTGGCTCACTACGAACGGGTCAAGGATGCATTTGTTATCGACAATGCGGTCATGAAGAATGCGAAGGCGAACATGGTGGTTATGCATCCGCTGCCCAGGAATAATGAGATTCATGAAGAGGTGGACTTTGATCCGAGGGCAGCATACTTCAGACAGGTGAGTTTATCGCTTCTCCTCCCTTGACTATATGTTTTCTGACAGATCTCTAGATGAGGTACGGACTGTATACGCGCATGGCATTGTTGGCACTCGTCATGGCCCCATGAGGAGGATGTCGAGTGCTATGTTCCCCTGTTCGGCGTTTCGGTCTTTTCCCCAAAGTATAAAAGTACCAGCGTGCGTTTCGGTTTACCCCTTCGACTTAGCATATAGAGCTGCCGTCTTCCTCCGTAGACAGCTTTCGAATAGCGTTTAGACATTGCATGTATGATTGATGATTGGAGTGAGTGGCGGTTTACATTTTTTTGTATATTCCGGGTTAAGGGGGAACCCCTTTCAATTTTTCTTGAACGCGTAACTGTATATTTTGGTGTTTTTGGGTATGCGGGGAGGTCATTTCAATTTTTTCTGATGGCATAACCGCATATTTTGGTGTGTACGGGGGAAGGTCATTTCAATTTTTCTTGAACGGGTTTCTGCATTTTCTGGCGACGGTTGGGCATGGAAGGGTCTTTTTTGGGTTTGGGTGTTTGATTTTGGGCGGCATTTTTACTGATTCAGAGCATGGATAGGGTTCAGAAAGGGTTGTTGGTGTTGGGTTGTAGGTATGGGCCACGGACATGTTTTGCACCCTAGGGTAACGAAGCACTAGCACTGGCACTGGGGGTATATATGCTGTGCTTGCCATTGCATTGGGAGGGCGTTCTAATTTACGATTAATATATATATGAATTGGTTTGCTGATTGTCATTCAGAGAAGGGTATTTGACCACTACATCCTAAGTTCCACGATCGGCAAGAAAGATGCGTTTGCTCGCAGTCTTCTTCTTGGACAGAAAGTAGAAAGTAATTCGCTTTCCTTGGCATTGGCATTGGCATTTGCAGTGCGGACCAGTGAATAGGAACCGTTTGGAAAGGAGGGAAAAGGAAATGCAAGAGGTATCCAACTCCGTATAAAAACCCCTATTACTCCCAAGCTTGTGCCGTCTCAAACAGAACACCCATACGCCAATTCTTCCCGGTGGTCCATGCCCATTACACCCCTCCACACCACACCGACATTACCACCACCACCATCACCTCAATGTCTCAAACACCGTCCCCAAGCCGGCAACCCACACCCGAACCCGACAAAGAGGTACACCAAAAACACGCACACCAGCACCAACAGCACCATCAACTTGACATTCTTCCACCACATCCGCCTCCTGAGCCCCCGACTCCTGACGCGGAAATCCCTCGCATTCGAACCCAACCGATCCGTCTTGTCGACGAGCAAATCGATGCGCTCCCCGCGCTCCAGCACGCGCTCGATATTCTCCGTCATAATCTCCCTTACATTGTCAATCTCCGCCTGCGCCGCGTGCAGCGCGTCGTTCTGCCCGGCCTGCGTCCCGCCCTGGTGCTGCATCAACTGCCGCAGCGTGGCGTTGAAGCTCGCGCAGCCGTACGCCGGCAGCGACGCGAAGTCCGTCGATTCGGGGGGGTACGTGTCGAAGAATTTCTTCTGGAGGGTCACGAGGAAGCCGAAGGGGATGCGTCGGCCGAGACTCGTGTCGGCGATGGCGAGGAAGGTCAGGCCCCCCGCGGAGGGGGCCGAGGGGCCGAATTCCGAGGGCGCGCACGCCATGTAGTGGATGTAGAAGTTGGAGTGCGTGTAGGTGAGTTTTTGCGGGGTTGCGTGCGTGATTTTGGGGAGGATGAGGGCGGGGAGGCTCGAGGTTGCGGACGAGGCGGACGTGGTGTGTTCGGTCAGGATGGTCGTGTTGTGCGATATGCATGCGCTGGGGTGGGTTAGTAGGTGGGAGGGCAGATGGGGCCGCACGGAGCAGGGAGTGTGCGAAGGGACGTACTATAGCAGCGACGTGGAGCTGGATGAGGACGCCATTGTGTTGGTTGGTGTCGTGGGTGTGATGGTGGGACCGGAGCTCGAAGATGGGTAGGTTAAGCCTGGACGTGAGCGCGATGGGAGAGTCTTCCGGTAAAGAGCAGTAGTTCAGCAAAAAGGGTTGGCGGGGACGTTAGCGATTCGGAGAATGTTGGCGGATATAGACGTCGTGTTGAGGATGGTAGATAATAAGGAGCAGAGGAGGTTGACTCGGACAGGAACAATGCACGTCACCGAGCAGCGCCAAGCCAAACGATGTTTTGCCAAGAGCGGTTTAGCGTTGTTTTTGGGCCGTGCTTGTGCAGCTGCCGACAGGAACTTCAGAGTCCACAAGCAATATGGGTGCATATATGTTGCTGAGTCTATGATAGGCGCTCAGTTGATGTTTCCCTATAAAGTCGGAAAGCAATCGAGCTCGTGGACTGCCCCAATCACTACTACAGGAGAACTTTCCAGGTTGAAATAATATTGAACCGCTAGGCTCTACTCCAGGGTGTCTTGCAATCCTGCGCTACAGACTCCTAAAAAGACAGCTTCCCTCCTGCGGTTTACATCATGGTTCGAATCAAAAACCGATATCTCGTTGTAAACTACCTCTACCCACATGGGAATGGTCAATCCAACAACAAGGACCTACCCGGAGCCCTGGAATTCCACCAACCCACGCCGGATGACTTTCACGAAGGAAGACTGATCACTGCAATCCGGAATGGCGTGACAGAGCTATTTGGAGACTATGGACTGGGCATGGTGTCGACGAGCTTGAAGGGTGAGTCGAACCACGAAAGCATTAAGGGTCGGATGCACATATAGATGTTGATGCTAACGCAGCCCAGTGAACTATCACTCTACCGCAACTTCAACCTCAATCATCCGCTGTCCACAAAAACATTTCGAGATGGTCTGGGCTGCACTCACCTTCATGACCAGGTTGCCGAAGCCCATCGACGTCCCAGTCGTCATCAAGGTAGTCCGTGTCTCAGGCACGATTAGAAAAGCGGAAGAGGACGTTATCAGGCGAGCTAAAGAGCTAGTTCTAAGGGCCAAGACGGGGGACAGTAGGCCCGGCGATGACCAGATCCTCAGAGATGTAGTAAAGACTGTCGCAAAGAGAAGGGAAAATGAGGTGCTCCTCGGTGATGAAGAGGAAGAAGCCGAAGAGAGCGAGAGCGATTGAGTCTGCAGGTCGACTCTCGATTTGACTTACACCTAGATTGTGGGAGCTAGCTCTCAATTGCCCTTGGTGGAGCTTGGGAGGAAGCATTGCAGCTTCATCGCCACCTTTGTGCTCCAACAAAGGGCACCCGCTCCGGATTACCCCACAACTCCAGTGGAACCCCATAAAGAAACGATACCCCGCGATACAGTTCGGATCTTTAAATCATCGTTGTTTGGACCGTCGAAGAATCATATACATGTCCCACAACATGACATCCCACTCACCTCAGCCTGTGCATACACCGGATCCGGCATCGCCCTTCCACATCCTCGACGCGCAATGGGGCATCATCCATCAATATCTGTACAACCTTCCCCAATCCGGCGCACAATCCGCATCCAGAGACTGGCTCAACGGTATCAACCGCAATGTGCTCCTCACCGCCCTCGCGAAGAAACGCGCAGAGATCGAAAACCTTTGGACGGAAGCAAACCAAGCCGAATCAAGCTCACTCCGCCACTCGAAGATCGAAATCAATTTCCCTAATTACGAAGCCGGAACTCCTCCGTTTACGCCGCCTCCGTCCGTTTCCACCATGTCGCCACCGTCTCCAGCTATCACTTTGCCACACGATAGATACACCGGCAGTACGGGAGTCGGGTATGCGTCTGCTGAACACGTTGATCGGCTATCGCCCCTGTCTCCCACTTTTGGCCCTCGTCGTTTCGATCTTTTCTCCGGTACTGTCTCCAGACGACGCTCACTACCGCCCAGCTCTTCGCGTGCATTTTCAAACTCGAGCAGTGCGGATAACAGAAAAGGAACGGACGAGAGGAAATCACTCTTGAAGGACTGGGAGCGAAGGATTCTGTGGGAGGCGGCTTGGAAGGAGATTGAGAGAAATCTCGATCGCTATGTTGACAGGTTTGCTGGTACTGGGGACGGTAAGGAGACAGTGCGGCGGAATAACGAAGATATATGGGAAGAGTTAGTGGATTTGAAGGTGGAGGCCGAACTGCTCGAGGGAAGGATAAGGAGTGCCAGAGTGACTATGCGGGATCAACAATGACGTCTCACTTGTGCGTTCGAATAGCAAGCAGTTTGAAAATCCCAAGCTGATCGTCAGCCTTTCGGTAGATACAGTATAAGACTCAAATACAGATACTACGCTCCATAAGCAGTAGCATTTCCCTATACCAAAACCAGTTAGATGATTTAATGTCGCAAAATAAATCTTGACCTGTACACGAACCGCAGGCTTTAAAAGACCCGTCTACCTAGACTTTGCAGTACCTCCCTTTGCGCCCAACACCGTAAGCCGTCCTCACGCATGACATATCCTCACTTTTTCTTTCCTTGGGCCTCGCCATCAGCGAGTTCTCTTATGAAGACTTTGATGGCTCCTTCTGGGATATCGTCCTGGCCATCCTCAAACCCGGGACTCACACCAACTGCCAGATATTTCCCATCCCCACTGAATGCAAGCGATGACACCGAAGAAGGGAAGCGCTGATACTGCCGTATCCTTCTCTTGTTAATACCATCCCACAACGCAACAACACCATCGCCACCTCCAGATGCAAACGTGCCATGCACAGGATGGAAAGCAAGCGCATGCACCGGATACACAACATCCTGGCCATCCACGGCTTGACGATGGCACTTGAACGCGTACTTCCGCTTCTGCGACTCCTCGCTCGGATCGAACCATTCCACAGCCACACGTCCCTCAATTGACGAACTCGCATATCCCGCATCATTCGGCATGCATGCAACAGCGCGCGTCATATACTTCATAGAGCTTTCTCTTCTTTGCCAGGGCTCCACATTGACCACTCCACCCTTGCCAGTGGCACTCGCCAGCGCATCCAACTCGTAGATATTCACGCCGCGATTCGCCATAGCGACAACCAGCTTCGTGGGACTAACGGATAGCGAGAACGGCTTCGATTCGAGCTGCACCGTCGAGAACTCTCCCGGCTGATCAACATTGTGCAGGTGTAGCGTAGAATCCCACGATCCGGACACCAGCAGCCTGTGCTTCGGCGCATAAATCACACTTCTCACACCCTGATCATGTGTCGACAGAATCGTCTGCTCTCCGCTTTGGAGGTTTATCCTCCTGACTTCCCAATCCAGACCGCACGAGAAGGCTTCGTTGTCGTCCCGGCCGAAACATACGTCCAGAACCGGAGCCGGGTGTTCGTACTTCTGAATCATTTTACCGCCAGGTCCATCTTGCGTGTCGTATAGGTAGACATTCTTGTCCCAGGAGGAGACGAGCAGGCGTGTGGGTGTGTAGGGGGAGAAGGTTACGGCGGAGATTACGTCGGTCGGGTTCTGCGCGAGCTCAAATTGGGAACTCATAATGAGGAATTCGGACCCCTCTGGGCTGCGACGGGGTGTAGGTGAAAGTGGAGAGGTGCGCGTGGGGTGGGTTGGTCCTCGAACAGCTTCCACTAAAACAAACAGTTCGGCGAAAGGTTGTTCCGTGCCCCTCTTCTCAAAGTGCAAGCTCCCTTGTTCCTCGCCTTGCTCCGCGACTAACATCTCAGCATTAGCACAGCATGCCTTTCGCACAATTGGTGATAGGGCCGCCTGGCTCTGGAAAGTCGACATACTGCGACGGAATGCACCAGTTCATGACGGCCATCGAGCGCAAGTGCTCTGTAGTGAATCTCGATCCCGCAAACGACCGTACTTCATATCCATGCGCCCTTGATGTCAGAGATCTGGTGACAATAGACGAAATAATGGAGCAGGAGGACCTGGGCCCGAATGGAGGTGTGCTTTACGCCTTGGAGGAGCTCGAACATAACTTCGAGTGGCTAGAGGAGGGATTGAAGGCGCTCGGAGGTCCGCAATTCACACTCGGCCATGTCAACGATGGACATAGCTGACACGGAAATCAGATGATTATATTCTCTTTGACTGCCCTGGACAAGTAGAACTGTTCACACACCACTCCTCCCTACGCAATATATTCTTCCGCCTCCAAAAACTCGGGTATAGAGTACTCTCCACCCCTCACCTTCCTCTATGAGGTCTCTAACGATTCAACAGTTAGTGGTCGTACACCTGACCGACTCGATCGTAATATCAAGGCCTTCATTATACGTATCATCACTACTGCTAGCATTGCGCAGTATGCTGCAGATGGACCTTCCGCATCTGAACGTCCTTACAAAGATTGACAATCTGAAGAACTTCCCAGACCTGCCCTTCAACCTGGATTTCTATACAGAGGTACAGGATTTGAATTACCTGTTACCTTATCTGAATAAGGAGCAAACGTCCGGCATACCAGGTCCGCGCACGACGAAGACGTCGAGGGAAGAGGACGATGACATGGACGCGGATCAGCCGACGTCCAAATATGCGGCACTCAATCAAGCTATTGTGGAGCTGGTGGAAGACTTCGCACTCGTCGGCTTTGAGACATTGGCCGTGGAGGACAAGAAGAGCATGTTGACGTTATTGCGTGCCATAGATCGTGCAGGAGGATATGCTTTTGGAGGGATCGAAGGAGCGAACGACACTGTGTGGCAAATGGCCATGAGATCGGATGCTGTGACCATGGATGCAAGAGATGTGCAAGAGCGGTGGTTGGATCGGAGAGAAGAGATGGATGAGGAGGAAAGGAAGGAGTGGGAGAAGGAGGCGGGAATTTCGCCGGCTGCGCAACCGGTTCCCAGTGCTGCCAATGTCTCAAACCTGGTTGAGAGACCTTCGAAGCAACCGGAGGATCCGCGGTCTGAACAGACAAGACCAGAAGCGGCGGGAGATGACGAAGATATGGAAGATCTCGAAGAGATGCGCAAGTTCATGGAAAGTAAACAGAAAGACAGCGGGATCAAGGTCGTTCGCAGATAGACATGGGAAATGAAGCTTACTATGCTTGGAACATGCTGGAGACTTTTGTTGTGAAACTTTCAATGTCAGCTGGCATCATTGCTCCGGTCCGAGTTCGACCCGCTAGTGAAAGACTAACACAACAGGCAGACGTGTTTCTGAATGCTGCGGGGGAACGAAGGTGTTCAACTGCCGCTCCTCATATATACTATGCGGAATTCTCCGCAGATCACCAACTACAGAGCCTCTTGTGCAAACTCCTGTCATTCACCATTAAACATTCATCAACCCCCTGTCTGATGGTAAAGCGAAAGTGGCCTAGCGTCGAGCCTAACGAGGACCCCGGCTCGTCTCCTGCCTCCCGGGCCAGTGTTTACGAAACCCCGTCATTGCGCATGACGAAGCGATTGTTCCGCCCTCCCTCCTCCGACTCCAACAGGCCTTTCGCTGGCCCCACACGGACACCCACGATGAGCGAGTTGCTCCAGTTCATCCTGCAGCATGAAGAAGCTTTCAAGAGCAGGAACCGTTTGGCCTCGTTGTACGCCGACTTTCGTACGCAGTTGAATACGAATCCCGATGGGTACCACGCGAATATTTCGGCCTGGAAGAAGGCGCTGGCGGATGCGGCGAGGCATGGAGTCATTCCTGCTCCGGGAGGAATACATCATTCGATGAAGATTAGGACGGGGGAAGAGCTTCTGAGGGCGTTGCAGCACCCAACGTACGGCAGGCCGACGTGTTTATCTGCTGTCTTCCAGGATGCCGTCTCGAAGAAAGAATTCCTTCCTTTGCACGAGTTTCTACACGCTACAACGAGTATATATAAGCACTCCTGGGTGCCATCTCCGCTGGCGGTGGTCAAGTGGGGCCTCCGACATATTGGCGTACTCGGACAACCGGGTTTGGGAGACAAGCTCGGCATAGGAGAGTTTGTGGTCTTGAGCAATGTAGAAGTTGCCGCTACAGAGATCATAACCCGCATGAAGTCGCATACATTTGCCGTCGATCGAATTATGTCACGGGCGGACTTTCACAGGCGGTTTGCGGATGCTTTGGATGGCAGGTATGGCGCGATGTTAAGCGACCAGGATTTGGATGTGATATTGGTGTTTCTGGCTCGGGACAAACAAGCAATAGCATACGACGGCACGACGATCAAGTTCAAGGCAAGCACCGAGGCGCTCCCGACACCGATCGCCCAGGAAGATGAAGCAATCGCAAAACTTCGAGACACACTCCACAAGATCAACGCCCAGTTACAGCCGTTGCAACAAAGAGTAGAAGAGGCCGACGCAACAGTACGAGAGGCTGTAAAGACCAACCAATTGGTGAAAGCGAAGGTGGCACTTCGGTCGAAGAAGCTGGCGGAGGCAGCGTTGCAGCAGCGCACAGACGTCGCGCTGCAGCTCGAAGCCGTTTACTCTCAACTGCAGCATGCGGCAGACCACGTTGAGGTTGTTGAGGCAATGAAACAAGGTGCCGTTGCTCTCAAGGCTCTCAACTTGAAGGTCGGAGGCGCAGAGGGCGTGGCGGCTGTTGTGGACACATTGAACGAGGAGATGGCTACAACAGATGAGATTTCTGCCATCATCAACGAGACTGGTGCGCCTCTGGACGAGGGAGAGATCGATGACGAGCTGGAAGCCCTGGAGACCGCAGAGAGGGAGAAGCGCGAGCAGGAGGAGAAGGCCGAGAGGGAGAGGAAAGAGCGGGAAGAGGCTGCCGAGAGGGAGAAAAGGGAACAGGCTGAGGCTGCCGAGACCGCTGCAAAGTTAGCCGAGCTTGAGCAGTATGAGAAGGAAGTGAAGGAGAAGGCTCAGGAGAATGCGGCGGCGAGGCACGAGGATATGGAACAGACCATCGAAGGCGCTTCGCAAGATATGTCACGGTTGTCATTTCACCAGGAGGTCGATGAAGACGAGGAAGCCGCCGAGCAAGAAAGAGTTCCCGTCCCTGCATAGAGAGGCGCGGTTTTGTTCAGGGGAATCAGCGGCCTATACGTCTTTTGGATACCCATTCTCAGGCATCGGGTATGGCGTCCAGGTTCTTCTATTATGGTCATATACATTCCCAGGGGAGGTATATATCTTGGGGACACATAGGCTGAAAGCAACCGAAGTATTCCGGTAGCGGGTATAACATGCATTATTCCCAACTTCTCAGCCTCTTGTCCTCGTTCCATCATCTACTGTATTGTCGTTACTATTCGTGCGCCCCAGCCGCTAAGCCGTTTCAAGCTCCACGTATGCCAAGCCTTGGACTCACCTCAACCTCAACCTCAACCTCAACCTCGCGCCATCTCCAACTCAACAGCACCACCAGCGCCCGCCACGCCGCACGCACGTCCCTGTGCGTTATCGTAACTCCGCCACTTCCCTATTGCGCCTGCGCAAGCTCGCGCACATCAATTGACCGCCATGTCACCGCTACTGCGCAGCCGTGCGACCGCCCTCGCCCTCCAGCGACCCACCCTTCTATACCCCATCACCTTCCGGAGCAGCGCCGCCGCCCGCCTGCTGTCCCAGACCGCCGTCGTAAATGGAGGCGGAGCCCACGGAAACCATTATGATCCCCCTACCGGATGGCTGTGGGGCGAGGAGCCCACGCCGGGCAAGAAGAAGGAGCGCGAAGATTGGGAATTGATTTGGTATTTTGGCTTTTTCGGTAGTCTGGGACTGGCGACGATTGCGTATGCTTTTAAGCCTGATACGAGGTATGTCGGATTTCGTGGGAGGGGAGGGGAAGGGTAGCAGAGTGGGGAAGAGACTAATGGCTTGATAGTATACAAACGTGGGCTCTTGAGGAAGCTCGTCGACGGCTGGAGAAGGAGGGTATTCTGCCTGATCCGGATGATGTTAAGAAGGAGTAGACTTGCGATGGACGGTGGACGGTTTCGGCGGATGGTTTTTTCACACGCGAGCCGTGCTCGAGGTGGGCCCCATGGGGAGAAGGAGACCGGCGTGGCTGTACATATGATGGCAGCGAGACGGTACCGAATTTTTTGCTTTGTTTTTCTGGCACCGTCTCACATATTAGAACACCGGAAATGGCTTTGTTGCCAGTGCACGGGGCAATGGAATCATATTCACTTTTTGAGTGATGGGTTGTGTACATCGATGGTGCGTGGAGTGATGCTTGTGTTGCAAGTACATGCTTTAACGAAAGTAGGTATGTATGACAACGCAGAGTTTTCCAACGGGGATAGCGTGTACGAGGGACTGATGCAGGAAATAGGGGTTTGTGTCCATCTCGAGCGCTTATCGTCGAAGTAGAGGCTCATGTCACACCTTCGATGTTTGAAAGGGAAACTTCCAAGAAGCGACACGCTCCAGTAAAACTCTTCCTCACGAACAGGGCAGTATATCAAACGTTGACTATAAGACAGTTTTTCACAGTTCAAATATTTACATTTAACTGTCCTACGTCATGTGCAACAAGCGAACAAAGAAGAAGTGTAAAAGATATGTGCAAGAAGCGAAGTCTCCCCAACAAGTCACAGTTCCGACCCCCAGCTCTCACTCAATATCCCTCTCCCCATCATCACCGCCTTTCTCGTTACCCATCTACGGGCCGTAGACGGTGATGGTGGCGCTGCCGGAGCTGAAGTAACCCTCGGTAGCGACGATCTGGTAGTTGTGGGTACCAAGGCGCATGCCAGCCTGGGCCCAAGCGTTGAAGTGAGCGCCCATGTTGACGGAGCCACCGGTGCGCTTGTTCTGGCGGACGGACCAGTACTGGTTGAAGGTCCGGGTGCCCTCGATGGAGGGGGCATTGTAGCGGGTGCTCTGGAGGAGCTGATAGTTGCCGCCGTCGACGTTGAGGCTGCCCTTGTTCTGGGCACCCGTCGAGGGGTTGTACGTGCCGAAGTTCTCGACGACGTAGTACTCGACCAAGGGGTTGGTGGTCCAGCCGTAGACGGCCAGGTACGAGTTGCCGTTGGGGTTGTACTGGCCCGAGTAGTTGATGGTGCTGTAGAAGAATTTGTCAGCATTTGGTTCTCCTTGTTTTCACTCTTGCGCATTGAGAAGAAGAGTACTTGTACTTACCGGGCGCTTCCGGGGTTCCATCCCTTACCACCGACGAAGTTGCCGCCAGAGCCCCACTGGATGCTGTACTGGCCGCCGGGTCCGTTGGTGTAGGTCACTTGGGAGCCACCGTCGGTCCACCAGGAGTAGTAGAAGCCGTTGTGCCAGCCAGTGGAGCTGGGGGTTCCGGCACGGACGGCGAGGGTGTGCTCATCGCGCTTGGCGAGGTCGGTGGTGGTGGGAGCAGCGAAGGCACCGGCGACAGCGGAGGCCGCGACGAAGAGAGTGTTGAAGTTGACCATTTTGACGGTTGGGAGGTGGTGGTACTGCAGACCTGGGAAGGGATGGACGTGTGGAAGATACAACGAAGGGATGCTCGATGAGGGAGTGGTCGATCGATGATGATGATCAGTTCGGTAGCGAGAAGACGTGCTTTTATATCTTGACGGGTTCTTGGGTTTGGGTAGCCATGGTGATGTCCAGGCTTATGGCATACCCACGGTTGAGCATCCCGTCGGTGCAGTAACCCAGAATGTAGGATTAAGGGAGGCGTTAAGGTGAGCACAAGCCTGTCGATGAGGCGACTTAATAGCTAGCGCTTGGCTGTCTACGTCCTAAGGGAATCAGGAACATCTCGAGCGGACGAATCAAAGGCGGGTTTTGGAGAATATTAGGACGGTGAATTGCCGGATTGGGACAATTGCATGAAAATGATAGAAGCTATTGGTGAAAAAGCATGAAACAGGTAGTCGCGCACAAGCCCGTGTAGTGATTAACATAGACTGCTTCAATATACCATGGTGGAGACTGCGCTGGGCCTTCGACAGGCTCTGTCCGCCGAATGCCACACCATCACCACACTACCCCGACTTTTGGCTCCCGTTGACGCTACTGTGCATCTGGAAGTCGATTTTACCATCGGTTAAAGGCTCGCTTGGCGGTCGATTAAGCTTTAGATCAGATCGTGGAGGATCGGTTTTGGCTTGGTAGGTTACGCTCAAGCTTTCTAAAATGGGATCATTAACCTATGGAATTGAACGTGACCATCACCTCCTTGTCAGGACGGTCACGGTTGCTGAACGGATAGAAGGAAGTCTTCGTTTGGAGGATCTCTGGTTCATGATTCTAGAAACAAGCAGATCCACCTCCAGCTGAAGTTTCAAACATTGGGCACGTCTCCCACCAATCCTTTCATCTTCCAGAAACAACTAGCGGTTACAGCCTCGCCCACGCATGGACACGCACCCACGTCTTCCCTGGGGACTGATTATCCAGACCTTTTCGTTCTCGCCCTACCACGACTTGTAAGCGAGCATTGAATAGATTATCCTTATGCCATTATTGCCACCGTCACGATGCAAGAATTGTACCCTAGGGTTGTTCTGCCACTCCCGACTTCAACATCCGACGAAGTCGCTAAGAAGTTTACCCCGGATTCTGACAAGACGCCGACCAGGTTTTGCTCTAGACTTTCAGAACAAGAAACGGCCTCGGTGCTCTCCCGTTTACTAGTGCATACTTGTAGCCACGATCCCCCTAGGCTATACTTGTAGTGTAACCGGGTTTGCGATGGCCACGCTTGTAGGAACCAGGACTGGCGTCGTCACCGGATGCCGCTGCCCAGGAAATTCCCATATCTGCTCATCTATCCTCTCACGCTGTTTACCAATCACCGTCGCAAGTATCCAAACAACCAGGGAACCCACGCATCAGCGCCCAACATGCTCCCCCAAGGACCAATCTTTCAACCTCACGATGCGCCGCGGTCCAAATAAAACCCACCACGCCACCTATACGAGCCCGCAGTCCCGGAGAAAACAATGCACAACGTGCCCTGCTTGTATCCGGGGTATGCGGAGAGGACCAATAACCATGCATCTCGTAGATGGGGCACATGAAAACAGCCGCCTGTACCCCGGATTTGGCATCACACTTGGCGGTACATTTGGCATCGCTGGGCAGGGCTTGTCCCGGTGGAACTTGAGATTTAATTTGGAGGCGGCTTTTTGAGGTGGAGGCGTGATGCTGGGTCATGGGTGGTGGTGGGCCGCGGGCGGGATGGGACTTTTCTAGCGGGTCCGGGGGTGGCTGCGGTTTTGGCGTGTTTTGGGGGGCAGCGTTTGCGGTAGGGTTGTTTGGTACCGAGATTTTGCCGGTGAGGTAGGGTGGTGGGTGAATTGCTTGTCACGTGGGCTTCTCCCCTTGGCAGGTGGTGAGGGTAATGAGATGGGGGAACGGAGGGTACGTAAGACCGGAGTACCGGTGGGAGAAAAGAATTGGTGATGAGAATGAGCAGAATTGCGTTGCGCACCCCGGTATTCGGGCTTCGACAATGTTCCGCGGGTTGACGGTGGAGGGTAGAGTTCGTATACGGAGATTCAGGAGGATGCCGTCCCCGTGAGATGATCTCTAGCACCTTTGCGAGAATGTCTGAGTAGATGGCGCCATGGTGGAGAGAACTGTGATCCAGTTCTCTCCGTCTCGTTCGATCACAGCGGACGCCAGCGCAGTCCTGACACTGACTTGAATTGGTTCGCAGACGTATCCCTAGCAAGTGAAACGCTGCTTGGTCTTTCCTCACATCTTTTTGTCTCTGTTGTCGAGTATGTCCTGCGTGAAACGAATACCGTTTGACCACAGAACCATGCAAACAAGCTCCAATTCCCGTACGCTCAAGCAACGAGAACTCCTTTCAATCAACCATTGAGAGTCGGCAAAGTCATTGCAATACGCAGGTAAAGCCAACGACCTGCAAGGTTTTCCCATCCCGCGAGAACAGTTGACTCGCTGGAGTTCGCACAATTGAAAGGAGAACAGAGTGACAGTCTCTTCGACCGTGTGCATCATTCGAAACGCCTCACGCTGAGAAGGAGTTGTAGAGATACGCGACGGAGAGGAAATCGTTTGAGGCAAGACACACAGTCTACCCGACTTTGACTCACCGGTAGCTGAGTCTGTAGGCACTGGGAAGTGCTTGGATATTGCGAATCGCTGACTCCTTACACAGGTTTGGCACCGTGACAGGATGTATACGAGAACTGATCGCTGGTATGGTGCGGGTGTGCAGAAGAAGCTCCCTGGCGGTGCAAGTTTAACGCATCTATCACACTCATTGCGAGTACCCGCTGGTCACTGGACAGAACCTGCAAGATATATCGGACTAGATGCAATATGATTCACTGAAATAAGGTGCGAGCAGTCGTTTTCCACAATCAAGAGTCGGGCGTGCCTTGCCTACTGTCCTTCCATTCTCCGGTAGGAAACCCCTCGAACCTGTGATACCCAGTTGCTAATCAATCGTATAAGCGGCATCAGCCACCGCGCAGGTCAACAAGATTTTCTACCAATCCGTCTCAATATCTCTGGCTGACCGAATCGGCTATCCCGTATTTGCGACCTACCAATGCGGCTACGCCCGGCTGTGCGCCGCATCATCCGCATTGCGATTCCTTCCCTATTACTGTGCAACCCTTCATCACTACTTGATATCAAGAGAGAGACCGTATTCTGACTGGCGTGCATGACAACGTTGGTATATGTTTGGATCGCGCGCTAACGAAACAGTGCTTGGGATATCGGCTACTTATTCTGCAACTTCAAAAACTCAGTCCAACTGCTGAATCCGACACATTCATCAAATTCCCACAGATCCAGCGATCTCATTGAGTCAGGTCGGGATAGTCATAATTGTGGCTCCTGTTGGCATCGAATATAAAACGCCGTTCCGTAGGGTAGTTAGCACTCGCCGTTGTCATATTTTACCTTCAAAATCCAGGCTAATATGCACAAGAGAAGCAAAAACTCTATAAGCTTATTCAATCTTCTCGTCCGGACCACTAGCTATACAACTCAAACTCATCCCTCTTGCGCATACGACCGTTGCACATGACCCCATTATACACTGCGCAGAAGAACGCTACACATTCTTCCTTCATCTACAACCAAAATGTGCACACGTTGGGACGCATTACATGCCTGTGGACATGCTTACTGGCACAGCCACCGCTATACCTATTGTAAATATGCACAGGACACAGCCATCCGACAGACCTGTAAGAATGTGGGGACTAAGGATAAACATGTTCATAGGCTGTGCGAGAAGTGCGAAAGACAACAGGGCCCATCGAAGAAAGACCCTCATACGCAAGATAGGAATCCCGATGGGAAAGGTCGACGCAAACTGGACGACGTTTATGTAGATCGACATGGTTATTTACGGTGGCTTAAGACATATCCAGCTTGATCCATGGTGTTGTAGGTGAGAGAGGTCAATGTGCATGTAGTAGCAACCCTCAGTGTATCGGTGAAGGTAAAGGAGAGTTGCAATTAACATGGGAGGTACTTGTTTATCTAAGGCTAGCGTAAGTAAAATCAGAGCAAAGCACCAAGCGGTGAAGGCAGGGGAATGCAAGTAACCCGGAAAGCACGGTTGTTGGATTTCAGATGTCATTTCTTTCGGCAACACTCGCTCTTCCCTCGCTTCAGTCTTCTCTTGCTGCGGCCTCACTCGCGTACAGTGATTCCATTTCGCTCTCCATTGCCCATCCTCAAAACCTCAAACGGATCATCTGAGCCACTGACTCGCCTGTCCTCGATCTCGGGAAGAATTTCGACCTCAGGCAAGGACAGTCTGGAAAAATCTGGATAAAAAGCTGACAGGATCTGCATTCTTAGGTGAAGTGGATATCCAAAATGGAACCTGAAACGGACAGTGCTGCTGTAGCAAAGCGCCATACCTATACATCCATTACAAAAGCGATAACCGATAGTGAGACAATCTGGACGAATTTCCAATATCTGCCCACTGCAGACCAGCTCAAGTTTCAGGAGCTACCGAAGTTGGAGCCCTCACCGAAGTACACGCAGCCTCTGGGAAAAAGGCTCTTCGTGGGCAGATATAGATATGTCATTTACATAGGATATCAAATGCACGTATCGGAGGGGACTGTCTGGGCATACGTGCATAAGAGCAAGATGGAAAAATATCCCAACCTAAATCAAGTCAGCTTTTGGCGCGAGAACGGCCAAAGTCTCACCACATTCCTGCTAACGGGCTGGAATACGTCACCTTCATATACCCGTTCGACATCCTCAGAAAACACCGGACAGAAATATTTAAAGATATTGCCCGCTTCTTCGTTCTTTTCTATTTCTTAGAAAAGGGCGAGTTGTACGAATTTGGGGATTTCGGTCGCGGCTTCAATAACTTAACCGCAGGATGCTATACTATTGCGAGAGCTGCAACTGAGTCCGGGAGACAACCGATCCGGACAACAAAACTTGCCTTGAAAGAAGTTCACAGCACGGGCTTGGTCAGTGTCAGCAGTGGAGCCCTCTGCTCCACCAAGGGACAGGCTGTGATTGCAGAAAAGCATTCGGCTCCGTTGATGAACCCAGCTCATCCCGCCCCACCTGCAAATGCACCAGTTCCTCGAAAGATTGAATCTCCACCACGATCGACCAAAAGGCCTATGGAAAACAGTGAGCATGAGGCAGGTAATGCTGCGAAGAGACCAGCCGTTAAGGATGCCGTAGGTATTTCTTGTCCGTCGAGAAGGCTTGCTGACGTGGCTAGGCATATCATATCGGAAAAGCCGTGGATATCATACAAACCGAGAAACTGGACAAAGTGGCCGCGGAATCTCGGGCTTTGATGTCGAAAATCAATGAATTGGAGAGCTCACTCGCGACAGTTAAGAAGGAGCCGGAGGCAGAACGCCAATCTCACAAGAGACAAACACAACAGATCACCCAACAGCTCACCCAACAGTACGAGAAACAGCTTACAACAGTCCGCTTAGAACATGGCAAAGCCTTGAAGGAGCTCGAGACCGGGAAAGGAGACATGGGAAGGCTGCGAAAGCTAGCAGAGGACGAGTCTGCGGGCAAGAAAAAGCGGAAGTCGAGATCAAAAGCTTGCAGCAAAAGATCCAAGGGCTGAAAGCAGAATTCTTGAAGTTCAGTTCAAAGTTCTGAGGAGGACATAAGGTGGATGGACAAAATGTACTATGCGACAGTGCACTGAATTTGATTTGCTGAACTTGATCACGGTGAGGCGTGGCCGTCACTCGCCATAACATTTCCTGGCACTTATTATTGAGCATAGTCCTCTAGTGGCAGTAACATAAGGGTGGATCAGCGCCACACCTTCTATATGTCAGCTCTTTCTTAGTGTCCACTTTCTTGCTTATTGGGGAATATGTTTATAGTTCACAAGAACCCTTTCTCTTCCCTTACTTACTTGTCCTGGCACTACCTTTTGCCTGTTTAATCCGATGTTCACTTGAACTATTCGCATGCCTCAACCCGATCTTGATATCTGAAGCAGCGAGGACTCTCAAGCATTGAGACACTTGCTCAGCATAGCGAGAGTAAATCTCTGTTACCTGGTAGCGGTGAGCGTGCCGGGATGCCCCTGTAAGTGTGCGCCGTGATGGTTAAGGACTTCGACTGACTGTTTCTGGAACACTCTCTAATTCTCTCACCTTGACTTCACGGAACAGGTTCCGATTTACCTCTTATCCTTTCGCCTTAAACTTAAACGTACACCTGCGTGCACTGCGACGGAAGGAGCACGTCGCTGCTCTGAACCAACTATCCCACACCGCATCACAAGGAAAAGACACCGATTCTACACGACTCGAATCGTCACCGGAGAATAACAGGAGCATAATCCAAAATGGCAGATACGTCTAAGGAGGGAGAACTTACATACGAGTTCATTATTGGCGCCGTAGCAAGCACGACAAACAAAGATTGGAAGACCAACTTTCGACTGCTTCCTCCTGCTAGCAGTCAGATTTTCGTACCCAGTGCGACCGAAGTACCTACTGGAGCTCCAAAGCGGCTGCATCCTAGAAAAGTCCAAGTTGGGTCCTCCAAGGGCAAGCCAGTCTTTGCATACGTTTACCACTACGGAAGTGATCCCAAACCGAACAGATGGCAAATAGGTCTCGGCACAGAAGGCTGTCCCTTTAACAATCCTAGTCTCTACAAACACACGCAGTTCATTTATCCTTTTAATGCTATAGAGTACCACGCTTCAACGGTAAAAGAGAAATTCCGATTCCTTGTACTCTTTTACTATCTGGAGAAAGGCTACATACATGCTTTCAAGAGGTTCGGGCAATTATCACAGTTCCAAGGAATTTGCCGAGAGGTTCAACAAAAAGCATGCCGAGTTGCACAGGGTCGATGTCCGGTTCCAGTTCGTGACGAACCTACCGTACCCTTACGAAGCCAACTTGCTCAAATGCCCAAAATATCTCCAACGGGAACAAACAGAGGTGTATCAAACGGATTTCTAGGAACGGAATTCAAAAAAGCTTCTCATTCTGGTCTCACTACACCAACCGGCGTGACACCTAAAGAAGTTGGACATATCCAGCCCGGAAGGAAAGAGGTTACGGAGCCGAGTGGTCCAAGGGGGACCGGAGGAACCAAAATGATGCAATCACCAGCTCGAACCGGACCTCTTGTCCATGAGTCAAGTGCTACGCCAGTTCTTGAAGGAGGGGGCAATTGTATCAAAGGCGTTCCTCCGTCAGGAAACACGGCCTCTCTACCGGCGAAGAGGGAGAGGGAGGATGAGGACGACGCTGGAAATTCGTCGAAGAAAGTTGCTACTGAGGAGGGTGTACGTATACTAATTCTGACAAATACATATACGTAGCTAACCGCACTAGTCATACTATTTCCAAATGTTCGTCCAGAACATAAAGGAGGAGGAATCCCGGAAGATGAAGGCAGAGAGCGAGAGGCTGCACCACCGCATTAAGGAATTGGAAGATGCCCTGGCAACATTGAAAAAGGAGCGTGAGACTGAGAAGAAAGATAACGCACAACGCAGGGCTGAGTTGCAGGATGCCAGAAACCGAGCAGCACAATTGGAAAAGCAGGTAAATGAGGCGGCTGAGCTCAAAAGAAAGGCAGAAGCAGAAGTTGAGAGCCTCCAGCTTAGGATCACCTCATTGCGGAGTGACGTTTTTGATCTGGTATTGAAGTATTGAGGTTGTTCAAAGGGCGGCCGCATATTTCCTATGTGCATACCAATCATATGACGCCTTCAAGATGAGGGAGTTTATTTGGTTGGGTCCGCATGCGACGGCTTGTGTCCGCTGGAAACAAGGAGTCAGGTCTTACCTACAGCTACTTAGGGTTTTATGTATATTATCATATTTCATATTTTCGAGAGCTGTCCCCTCCAAAGGACTCCATTAGGACCTTGATTTCTAAGGGGCAATTACAGGAGACAGGCCTCGTTTCCACCTTCCTTCTTCAGGGGTTGCGACTGTCCTGAACTTGATGTACATTAAATAATTAGGGTCGAACTCCTCGTTCAACTATATGTCCTGTCGTGCATCGCTCTGTGATCCTGTGTCCTTTAACCCAACTGGTCCGGCAACGCAAGTAAAGGTGAGATACTGCCCAGCCACCTACTCTGCAATTGACCGAGTTGGAGGACGTAAGAGAGTTGCCATGTGGTGAGGAGGGAATCGTATCAATCACATGAACGTGAGAGTGTGCCAAAGCAACCCGTTTATCGCACTTCCGCGATCTCTTAAAGCTACACCTACGATCTCTCCGCAACCTCTACTCTTACATCCCACTCGACACCATTTTCAGACCCAACTTTACGTGGTACGATTTTCCAGCAGCTCTGGCTTGCCACTACTTGTCCATCCTTGTCCAAGTGAGTGACCATCAACCAACTAGCAGCCCGTCCTCACATTATATCTCTTCTAGATGGCGCCTAGCACCGAGACCGCACAAAATAACCCCACCTCCTCCGCGACGAAAACTGCCAATAACGTCACCTACGAGACCTTGATGCGCGCTGTCAAAGAGGATGTCCAACTCCGTGACGATTTCCGCTACGTTGCTCCTGCAGACCGCCTCGATTTCTCTCCTGCGCCACCCCCCAAGGCACTGAAAGACTACCTGCCAACCAGACTTCGCGTTGGCGAGTCGTACAGCTACGAGAGTGACGTCTATGCCTATGTTCATCGGAGTCGCAAAAAGCAGCAAACATCTTCGCCGAATTACAATGGCGTTACTTACGTCCTGGGGTGGGGAGAGACAGTTAATCCGGAAGCCGTGGTATTCTCGGATCATTTTGCGAACGTCTGGTCGCGTGCCGAAATCATGCCCGCATACTTCGACCGGATAAGGTTCATGATCCTCTTCTATTACTTAGAAAAAGGGCACTTGGGAAGCTTTCCTGAGTTCAAAGGCCATGGTATCGGGAAATTCAAGAAATGCTGCGATTCAATTGCGGGCATTGCGCGACATACACACCAACCTGCTTATCGTTCTGATATCACGATGCAAGCAAACAACATGGTGGACCAAACCTCATCGGCCCATACCACGGCACCCCTTCAGGAGACAGATACCACTGGATCTGCGCATCCGGGCACTGATCGAACGCTTCTGGCTGGAGCACCTGAGCACTCTGTCGTAACACCTGCAGCAGACAAAGTATCGAAGACCCGGACTCCTTCAACGTCAATTGATATCGCAAAAGACGTCAACACAAGCTCCGAGGGAGAGATTGGGACTGCGTCTGAACAGAATACGACTCCGTCAAGCCAAAACCCTCCTGCCGGTGTCCAGGACCAGAGCACCATCGCACAAGCCCCACCCGCTTCGCCCTCTCCCTCATCAAAGAAGAGGTCGCGAGAAACGATGGAGGATATTATTCATGATGGAACAATAACAATGGAAGGCGGCCACAGCGTAAGTGTCATCCATGCGTATATATGCAATTGCTAACGAATCGCAGTTGCACTATCTTCGCCAATTCGTGGATGCCCTCAGAGAGGAAGCATGCAAAAAAGTGAAGACGGAAACCGAGAGTCTCCATAGCAAAATTCATGAATTGGAGGTAGCTTGTGCAACTGCTGTCACCGGAAAAGCTAAAGCGGAAGAGAAGTCTAAGGAAATGGCGAATGACACGCAGAGGTACTGCACTCTCATCAACGACCTCGAAAAGGAAAAGAACAAAGAGCGAAGCGACAGAATCGATACAGAATTTAGACTCTACGACCTCAAGGTACGCCGTGATCTGGTTCTCAAGGAATCCAACGGTGAAATCGAGAAACTGCGGACGCAGGTAGCAAAGCTAGACGAGGAGAAGCAAGTTGCGGAATTGGAGCTGCAGAGACTCCGTGCTCTGGAAGGAGAGACAGCGAAGATGCTGGAAGAGAAAAAGATTGCTGAAACGGAGAACCAGAAACTTCAGGAGGAATTGAAAGGGCTTAGAGAATTCAAGGCCGCGGTCCTTGCAGTAACATCAAACCAGTAAGGAGAGCGAATTTGAACCTGCCAGCACCCTGCCGGAAACGGCACACTGGGATTTTGCTTTAGGCGGCAGTATTGGGCGCATACTCTTATTGCCGTATTCTATTCACCTTTGACATCCCAGAAGTGCCATGCTGCGCAGTGTAAAGGGACGATCGTTGGATCCTTCATCTTTGCACCTGACTGCATCCACGAGAGAGAGAGTTTCATTGTAACTAGTTTAGAATTAGCACCATCTCATCTTCCCTACCACTACTATGTACTTACGCGAATCACATGCATTGATATGTAACCATTCAAGTCCCTAGAGGTCTTACTGCGTCCAATGATTCGACTCCGTCAATACAACAATGACTGCATCTAGGCTAACCCGTAAAACTTCTCTTCGACTTCAGTGTTCGTTTACAGCTGGCATCAACCGAAAAACGCAATGTAATCCTGCTGAAGAGATGATGGTTCTGCAACTCACTGTTCACATCCGCTCCTTCATATTCCAAAGCTGTTTCAAAAAATACTCTCCTAAGTATATCTCCCACGACACCGAAGCTAGGTAGGCACTGCGACGAGCATTCACCCCAGTATTGAGCCAAGTCAAAGCTCTTCGCATTCAATTTCCATACGAGGAATGGTCTATGGCGAGTCGCGTCCCAAGCACATGACTACGCGATGCCCAGCTCCGATCACGGAAGGCGCGACTTCTTTCAACCTCCTCCACCTCACCTCTTCACATCACGAACAATACTCTCATACGCACCTCATCGGGAACGAAGCAGACGACTTTCGATGCTGCGAGGCATCTGACCAACGTTGGGACGACTCCCTAGCAGAACTCGACGATGACGCACGGGCATGTGGAGACGGATTACACCTGTATAACATCGCCGGCAACGGATTCACCTGCCCAGGAGGAGACATGAGAGCCGGATTAGAGACACATGGCCACGGAGAAGGGCCAACGGCAAAGAGATACGAAGGAATGGTGATGACAGGATTATTGAAAGAGTCACCCAGACAACCAATCCCACCGACCGCAGCCACGACTTGACTGCTCCATCACGCAATAGCTCCTGCCGATGACTGAAGCCCCTTAAGCAGTGCAAAGAAGAGTTATTGTCGTGAGCAGGATCAAGCCCGATCGAGACCCGACCCCTGCTTTATCTATTCCCGACAATGGAAACACTCCTTGATTTTCGCAAGAACAGGACGACTCCTATCAATGGCGACGAAACTCTTTGTCCGCAGAGGCCTACTGGAGCATGCTTCTGGGTAATGAACGGCGACGGCAAAGAACAACATCAGAAGAAATGAACCTGCGAGCCCTCAGCATATTGCCCGGAGGTTGGAGGAGCCCAACTGTAATACAAAGGACTTCTATGGTGCTGACATGCCCACAGCACACTTCTCGATGAGGGAACTGCGAATGTATCTCAGCTGACTCAATTTCGCGAACTTGCCACAATGAGAAGCAAGGGCGGAGGGTCAATAATGCAGGGATAACCGTCTATACGAACTCCGGCCTGCCTCGACGCCGAATCTTCTCCTACAGTAAGCAGCACAGGAGAAAGAGCAAGAATCCGGGTTCAACGCAAGGTCGGAGATATCCTCATTGTGGATAGGTTGCGCTTGCGCTCTGGCTCGAGTCCACCGGCACGTCCAACCGTCTTACCTCGGCTGTTTTTGATGACAATCTCGACCGTCAGCATTCTCCGTGCGACTGATGAAGGGCCCACGCCGCTGCTACTCTTCCATGGATGGATTGCCTCGGAAGCGAACGGTCCTTGGACGCATTCACGGAGCCAATCCACTAACAAAAGGTGCGATAACGGTCCAAATGGCTGGTTTTGACTTTGTGGTAAAACCTGCTTTCTCTTCAGGGTACCGAACGTTCCCCTTGGTGGCGTTTACTTGTACTTGCAGCGGTGCACCATCCCTAGGATGTTTGGCGGAATCTTAGCGCTGCACGTGAGCTTAACCCGTCACCTTCTGTCAGGGGGGGTAATATCAAGATCCATCGTGTCGGTCCATGTCACGAAAACAGCCATTCGCTTATGATCGCGGATCAAATAATGACTGGACGAGCATCGCATTGAACCTGGAGCTAATCCGCGTGAGGAAGGTGATAGCTGACGCTTTTTCCAACGTTTGTTGGATGTCCTGTGCAGTGACGCATCCACTATGTTCAATGTTGATGTATGGTGCGCAAGAGGCATTTGCCTACCGTGCAATGTTTCCAGGCAACGGGTACGACTACAAATACGAGGGAGGAAAGCGCTGCGATGCCTTTCGTGTCGTCTCCGTCCCGCTGCTACTCCTCTCACGCTCGGTTCTTTGGGCGGGAGTCCGGTAACCGTAGTACGACCAAGATAAACGCCTCCAAATTCGACTCGGAATTGGACCGCAGCTACCATGGCGCGTTATCTTGGCCTTGCCATGGCATTGGCTAGTCATGGCGCCTTCGCCGTTCTGACTCCAGAGTGCGTTATGATGGCTTCCCTCTACGGCTATTAGCGGTGGTTCTAACAAGAGCAAGGCTTGTATGGAGCGCACCACAGAGAGGTGTAGCAACACCAAATCCGACCGGAGATCTCGCGATATTCTCTGTATCAGAATATTCGTTCGAAAACCAGTCAACTTCAGCCGCGTGGCAGTTGCTTGATCTCAAGACTGGAAAAATCAGTGATGCGGGACTGAGCGCCGCCGAAGTGAATGAGATTGCCTGGATACCTGGTACAGAGACGGGGATCCTGTATATCAATGCCACCAATGAGAAAGTGCCTGGAGGGGTGACGTTGTGGATCGGAGACATCAAAAAGCCTTCAGAGAGGTACGTATTGCACACCCTTTCGAAATGAAGAGGACTAACGGCCTCCAGCAAACTGGTAGCTTCGTTGGAGGCTCCGTTTTCCGGATTGAAGGTTGCAAAAACCTCTACTGGGGATTTGCATTTCCTTGTCAACTCCTTGGCGTATCAGAATGGAACCGCTTTCAATCCTGAGCTCGCGCCCAAGCCACGACACACCGGAAGACTCTACGAGAACATCTATCCACGTCACTGGGACCGGTGGTTGACCAAGGAGAGATACGCCGTTTTTGGTGGCAGACTCCTCGTGAATTCCAGCTACTCCCTGGCGCAACCGGGTGTGCGCAACTTCCTTCAGGGGGTTGAGTTCAACATAACGAGACCCGAGTCACCTGTGCAACCCTTCGGTGGCAGTGACGACTATGATATCAGTGCGGATGGCAAGCTCTTTGCCTTCCTGAGCAAGGCTCCGCATCTGAACAAGGCGGAGTTCACTGCGAGCTACATCTATGTTGGACCTTTTGATGGATCCCAGGTCGCTAAGGCTATCAACGGGCCAAGTAGCGAAGCAGATGCCGCCGGCCACAAAGGTGCATCTGGACTGCCGACCTTCTCTCCCGACTCTTGCAAGCTCGCGTTTATCCAGCAGGACGGGGATTACTACGAGTCGGATCGATGGCAGCTGTACGTTGTTGATATCTCCAAGGGCGCAGACGGTGTTACAACCAGCAATTACAAACCGCTCACTGCCAAATGGGATCGATGGGTGGCCGCCATCAAGTGGGCGCCTCGGGGTGAATCCATCTACGTGGCTGCGGAAGACTACGCCATCAACCGGATCTTCAACATCCCCACCTCGGCGGACGGGGACTTCGTACCCAAGAACCAGACGTCGGTCACGTCGGTTGCAGGGTTTTATGTTCTCCCGGATTCCTCTTTACTCGTATCGGCCACTGCAGTGTGGAGCACCCGGGATTTCTACACTCTAAGGAACGGAACTCAGAAAGTCCTGTTCTCCTCCACCAAGGTGGATCAGCAATTGGCTGGTCTTGGGCCGCACACATACTCGGAGATCTTCTTCACCGGCTCTGCGGGCTTGGAACAGAAACTGCACGCGTTAGTCGTTAAGCCCAGCAATTTCGTTGCCAACAAGACGTACCCGTTGGCGTACATCATTCACGGTGGGCCGCAGAGTGCGCATCTCAACGCCTGGAGTAACAGGTGGAACTACCAAATCTGGGCCGACCAAGGTTATATTGTCGTGGCGCCCAACCCTACTGGTAGCACTGGGTTCGGCCAGCAGCTCATCGATGCGATTCAGGGTGACTGGGGAGGTGCTCCGTACGAGGATCTGGTCCTGGGCTGGGAGTACGTCAAGGAAAATCTTCCTTTTGTCGACACGGACAACGGCATCGCTGCCGGCGCAAGCTTTGGTGGCTTTATGACCAACTGGATCCAAGGTCACGACCTGGGACGGAAGTTCAAGGCGCTCGTCACCCACGACGGCATCTCTCAGACGCTTGCGTCATATGCGACGGACGAGTTGTGGTTCATGCGCCACGATTTCAACGGCACCATATACGAGTCGTTGGACGTGTATGAACGCTGGAACCCCATGAACCACGTTGCCAACTGGAGCACGCCGCAGTTCATCATCCACAACACGCTGGACTACCGGCTGCCCGAGAGCGATGGGCTTTCACTGTTCAACATTTTGCAGTCCAAGGGAGTGCCGTCGCGGTTCTTGAACTTCCCGGACGAACACCACCAGATGCGGACGCCTGAGAATGGGCGCTTCTGGTACGAGGAAGTGTTCAACTGGGTCAACCACTGGTCCAAGGGAGTGCCGCTGGATAAGGAGGCGATTGGAGAATGACGGCGAGAGGACGGGACGATGCGACGATTTCAAGCTGGAAACGATTGTTGTCGGCTGAAACAAGCACCACCATACTCTCTCGATCATAAAGGTGAGGCAGCTCCCAGGCAGCCCGACCATATGGCATATATATAGCGCGGCCGCAGCAAGCTGCCAATCATATATAATATTATTCAAATCCCTCTGTGTTGGACAGCGACCCACCCCTTTCTTAATGCAGTCAGTCTACAGCACCACCTTTCCAGGTTTCCCCAGTTCGCCAGTTCCCCAGTTCACGGCGGGGCAGTGTTCAACAGGTCCCACTACCAGGTCGGTGGGCTGGTTGAGCCTGGATCAAGGGACTGGGTTCTGATCGCTTGGAAACCCCCTTCTTTTGTGAGCGGGGAAAAAGTATGGAGATGCCTCAAAATCACTGGCTCCTCGAGGCAGGAGACGGCGGCGGTGATGGTGGGTGTGAACGGTTCTGGCGCCGTCCCCACGCTAAACGCCAGTGTTACCACAGCATGCAACCTCGGCGTGGATGATGGTACAAAGACTGCGCTCATCTGCGAGTGGCAAAAGTTGACGACTGCTGCAGGTACCCCGAGTACACAGTACACAGTCCACAGTCCACAGTACAGGCGATGTCAGCCGCCGTTGCCGAACTGCCCTTTCTGGACAACCATAAGGAGCAGGCGATAACGTCAAAATCCGCGTTCCTGACGCCACTTTGGCGCATAGAATCGGCACAGGCACAGTACCTTCTTACAGTGGGTCGTAGGGAGTGGTGCAAAGAAGAAATGTCAAGCAAACGCCACGGGCCCCACAGTGCTGCCGTTGACGCGCCATGGCTGTTAACCCAAATCGGCACCGACGCCGCACCCGCGACCGGACTCTCTTGGCATCAAGCATGGGAAAAGCAGGTGATAACACAGCAGGCATGGAGGCTGGAGCGGGCCCGTGTTTTTCTCGAAGTCATCCAGAAGGATTCAAGGGCATGGTGGATGGTGATTGGATCCGAGGTCCCAAAGGAAAAGTGCCGCGGTTTGACCACCTTCCTGTTGGGCGATAGTGCGCAGATACGAATATCAGATCAGCAACTCTTTCCAAAGGACCAGCATATCCCACAAGGACCGGTTATTGCACCAACCATCCGTCAGCGATTAGAAGGGTTGGATTTCGACTCGTCGAAGGCTCGGGGGTGACGGCTGCTGATTTGAGTATGAGAATGTTGTAGCAACGAAGAGTATTCCAATATCAAATCAGTCCGCCAAGCACTCTCCGCAAGTTGATATCAACAAGAGCATGGGGGCAGCGGCGGATCTAATGCAGAAACAGAAGAACCATCCGAGGATTTGGCCAGAACTGATGGACATCCCAGACTGCCGCACGTGAAGCCTTTCCCGGTCCAGCGAGGTACGACCGTACCTAGCACCGTGCAAGCGGGGCCGGCTGGAGATCGAGATAAAGGTGGGACAAGGCGATGGCGATTGCGTTACAGTACAGTGTGCAATCATCATCGCACGCTGTACTGTTACACCTGGGTGGCGAAGAGATAGGGACCTCGGGAAGAGCCTTGGATGGCACTCTGCTCATCAGTTGCGTCTGCTGCCGATGGAGGCGATAGAGAGAGGAAAACAGGGAGCGGTGAGTGGCGGTGGCTGCCGTGCGGGTGAATGTTGTTGGTGGAGGGCGGGCTTCTGCTGCCCCTGGAGTGCCCAGTCCAACACCAAGCTTGGCGCCAAGGTGGATCGTTGGCATCGCCGTCCCCCGTTCACCACAAGACAGCCCACTAGGCCAGAGTTGGACATGGGACAGATAATGGAGAGGCATGGGGAGACCGGGGATTGCAACCTCGCACTGGGCGACCAACACTTTCACCTGCTCAAAAGGGCCATCGTCGAACATCGACAACGCCGAAGTCACGGCGGGCCTGTTTGAAAGCCTCGAGGCCGTCAAACACCCTCACGCCTATAGGCGGTCCCCCCCTCACCCTCACCCCGGCCATATTAATTGCAGCTCCCTCCCCCTCCCCCGTCGGCCCTCTCTTTCACCTGCTGGCCCCGCTCCCACCCACTTTCCATACTTGAAGCCCGCCTCGCCCGCGGTTGCTCTCGCTCTCGCTCTCGCCCTCGTCCCGTCCTCGCCCTTACGTGTGTGACTTGCCCTGCACTCGAGGACCATCCGGAGCCTGCCGCACACACTCACCATGGCTGCCGCTGCTGCTCAGAACCAGGTCGATATGGCCATGAGCCACGAGCCCAAGGTCGCCGTCGCCACTCCCATGTACGAGCTGGACGAGAAGAAGGCCCTCGACACGCGCCATAGCACCACCGACAGCCTCGGTCCGCCCGTCGAGTTCGAGGAGGACCTGGAGGGCGAGGAGCCCACCGAGGAGGACCTCGCGACCCTCCCTCGTATCTCGGGCAAGATTCCCTGGATCGCCTTCACCGTTGGCTTTGTCGAGTTGTGCGAGCGCTTCGGCTACTATGGCTGCCAGGTCGTCTGTAAGTCTTGTGCCATCTCCCTTTCTTGAACCCCTCGAGGCTAATGCGCTTTGCTTCAAAACAGACACCAACTTCATCCAGCGTGCTCGTCCTGAGGGTTCGCGCGCGGGAAGCGACCCCTCCAAGGAGGGCAAGCCCGGTGCGCTGGGAATGGGTCAGCGCGCCGCCTTCGGTATCACTACCTGTAAGTCCAGTCTTCGCCGCGTCTGTTTATCTCGTGACCAAATACCAATTCACGTCTGTCTAGTCAACTCCTTCTGGGCCTACACCACTCCCATCATTGGCGCCATCATTGCCGACGAGTACCTGGGCCGCTTCAACACCATCTTCCTCGCCATTGGCTTCTCCATCGTTGGCCATATCCTCTTGATCATCTCTGCCCTGCCCACGGTTCTCGACAGCGGAAAGGCCATTGCGCCCTTCATGCTCGGCGTCATCATCCTCGGTTTCGGAACGGGCGCCTTCAAGTCCAACATCTCGCCCCTGATTGCCGAGCAGTACAGGCAGACCAAGCTCCGCGTCGTCATCGACCCCAAGACGGGCCAGCGCGCCATCTCGGACCCCAGCATCACCGTCTCGCGCATCTTCCTCTACTTCTACATGTTCATCAACGTCGGCTCGCTCACCGGCCAGATCAGCATGGTTTATGTCGAGAAGTATGTCGGTTTCTGGCTGTCATTCCTGCTGCCCACCATCATGTTCTGCTTCTGCCCGGCCGTCCTCTGGTTCTGCCGGAACAAGTACCACAAGAGCCCTCCCACGGGCTCGGTTCTGCTCCGTGCCTGGAAGCTCTGGACCTTTGCGCAGAAGGGCAAGTGGTCCATCAACCCGGTCCAGACCCGCAAGAACTTCAAGTCGGACAACTTCTGGGAGGATGTCAAGCCCAGCAAGCTCGGCGACCGCAAGCCCGCGTGGATGCAGTTCGACGATGCTTGGGTTGACCAGGTTGCGCGTGGTCTGCGTGCCTGTTCTTGCTTTGGCTGGATTCCGCTGTACTGGCTCTCGTACAACCAGATGAACAACAACCTCACCTCGCAGGCCAACACCATGACGCTCAACGGTGTGCCCAACGACGTCATCACCAACCTGAACCCCATCTCCCTCGTCATCTTCATCCCCCTCGTCGACAACTTCTTGTACCCTGCGCTCCGCAAGGCCGGTATCCGCTTCACCCCGATCAAGCGAATGGCCACCGGTTTCGCCCTCGCCTCGCTTGCCATGGTGGGCGCCACTGTCATCCAGTACTACATCTACAAGCTCGGCCCGTGCGGCAAGTACATGAACCAGTGCGAAGACAACCCGGCGCCCTTCACCGTCTGGGTGCAGGCGGTCCCCTACGTGCTCATCGGCTTCTCCGAGATCTTCACCTCCATCACCGGCCTCGAGTATGCCTTCACCAAGGCGCCCAAGAACATGCGGTCGCTCGTGACTTCGTACTGGCACTTCCAGACTGCCTTCTCCAACGCCATTGGCCAGGCCTTCACCGGTCTGTCTGAGGATCCGCTGCTCGTCTGGCTGTACGCTTCGATTGCCATCATCGCTGCCATCGGTGGCGTTCTCTTCTGGATCCACCAGCGCCCGACGGATAAGCAGGAGGATCACCTCAACATGCTGGCGGATTCCACCTACATTGGCCGTGACAAGAAGCACGGCTATGAGGACGAGAATGGCCGTCACGCCTAGGTGCGTGTGGTAGAGGCGTTCATGCGTTGCTCGACGGGTCGGCGGTCTCGGCGTCGTGCTTGGCATGCGATTCTTTGGATCGATGCGGGGTTTTTCCTTCTTCTTTCTCTTAATGTAATGCGAGTGATGGATGGAGGGATGGAGGGACGAATGGAAGTCACGATTTGCATGACTGCCTGGACTGGAGGGGAAGGGATGATGGATGATGGATGATACCATAGCACCCTGAGATACCAATCCCACCACCACCACGGATTAGCTCTTCCTGTAGATCGGTTGCAGATGAGTGTAATTGGTTCTGCTGGCTGGGTTGCTCTTATTCTGTCTTGTACGTTCTTCGTGATCGATCAGAGAGCTTCTCTGGGCTGTTGTCGGATCCATGGATGGATCGTGAATGCGTCCACGGGTGATGTGTTGCCCTTTGCGCCTTCTCTCTCTCCTTTCTTCGGCCGGCTTCGCGTGGTCTGGTGCTGTTGGACGTTGCCATGATGGTTCCTCGAATATCTCTTTCTCAGCCCAGACTCCACCGGATTTTCCTTTCCATTTGGGTTCTCACGGTCCTGCCGAGGTATGATGATGGGATTGAATCGAATCAAGCGAATGGACGGTCAATGGCGCACGTCTGCAGGCGGCGGATATCGAATTCACATTGCGCCCCGACACGAATGGGATGATGGAGAATAAATGGGGAACATGATGATAATAAGTACAATTGGATTCTGGGTAGGTGGGTTGGTGCCGCTGCGCCTCTACTTATTTATTAAACTGAGTCTAGCTGCGCCACCTGGGATTGGGGTTCCGGTTGCGGCGGCGCTAAAAGGGACGAACCGTGAATGGACTAGCTTTTGAGGGCTAACAGTTTAAGTTAATCGCGCGAAAAGTCGCGACCTCAGACTTGGGGTTCGGGTTGGTGGGGATTGGGGATCGGGGGGATGAGTCAGGTGTCGCGGGGTTTTGTGGGGTGAGGAGGAGGAGGACATGGGCTTCTGGGAGGGAGGTGTTATTAAGGTGGAGATGGGTGCATGGATGGAGGTATGGAGGTGTGACTGCTGTGTATGCGTTGGTTGCTGGTTGGTGTGAGGGAGGGGGGATGGGGCATTAGGGGGATTAGGGGGATTAGGGGGAGTAGGGTGCTGGGGTTTGCGGTACCTAGGTGTACGTACGGTATACGGTATGTATGTGGGGATAGGAGCTGGAGTGCACGCGTTGAAGTGTAAACCGCCTGTGCGACTACTTACATCTCTGCTCTGCTTTTCTATCGCTACTGCACGGGGTAGAACACCTTGGACCTTCGTAGCACCGCCACCAGCGCGAAGATCTCAGACACATGTATGCAACAAGGTAGTGCGAACATCGAAGCGTTGGGAAACGAACGGCTTCAGAGATGGGGAGTTCGACATTGCAAAATTCGCCCTGTAGGAGCGATTTGCTTCCGAAACTAGATTCTTCCTAAACTAACTACTAGCTTGTTCGAGATTGTTATTCTGGTTGCTGGTATTATAGTTCAGCATAGCGCGCCTTCTGACACCCGGTCTTTCACAGCATCGCTGTTTCCACGGCAGGGTTGAAGGATCTACGCCTTTTAGCGATTTTCTTGCTTGATTTATGGATGGTTTAGACGAGGTGGGGGCGGGCTTGAGTTGCGTGCGATGTCGCTGAATCGGTTCTTCGGGGGTATGCTTAGTATGCTGTCTTGCTGGGCTGGGGGTGGCGATGTGTGAGAGGATAGTGAATTTGCTTCAATCTGCTTAACCTCAGTGAATTGGCGAACCCTAAAAGCATTCCTTGACACGAGCGCCGTCTCGAAAGAAAGCAGGATGAAGACTTCGTGAAATTCCTCGGCTCAGGTCTAGGCATGGAGTTCCGCTTTGCTACGTGACTAGGGTGGATATGGTGTCTTTGCGTGCTGCTGGAATGTAGTAGCGGGTCTGCTGGTGTAAGATTCCTGTTGTTTGTAGGTTGGTGTAGAGATACTTTTGCGGTATGAGCGGGGAGACGGAATGTGGTCTTGTGAGGCGGGTTTGGGCGACGAAGTGTTGGGGTGATTCTGGTGGTTTCTAGGTCGGTGTTTGGTCGTTGATCAGTATCGCGATGCTCACTGCAATGTGTGATAGTGAATAGAAGTTGACGAGGCAGCTTCATGGGTTTGGAGGAGCAATTGAACGTCAAGGGTGATGTGAACGCTTGTTACTTGTCTAAATGTATGACTTGGGAATACCCCTTGGGTACAAAACGGATTGCTATCAAATCCAATGTCACAAGAACACTGGCTTATAATGGCTGTATAAATGTCGTAGAAAGGGTGCATGTGTGTGTTCTAATATAGCCTGCACCCATGGTAGCTTGCGTTGGGAGGTGGAATTGGATATATATCTTTCACTGTTTCTGATCCGTATATCACCGTCTTTCACTGACGGAAAAAGCTGCGAGTCCTTCTTCGGCTCGCCTCTCTCGCTGTCCGCTGCTTTAGGCAGTCACGTCTGTTTACACACACAGAGATCACCTGGCTCACAAATTTTTTCGGCACCACGCGTTGGTCGCAGACACCGCTCTCTCATAATCCCAACACCCGCAGCGCCTCTCGCAACCTTCCTCAGCAGCAAGGAAAAGCACAACCTCTTCCTCTCTCGTCCCCTCTTCTAGCTCTTCCTCGCTTTCCTCGTCTACTGCCCGCGTTCTGAGTGGCCGCTTCACTGCCCTCGTCTCATTTCTTGACAGCGACCGTTAACAGATTTGTACGTGACCACTTGAACACCTGCGAGCGACCACTAAAGCTTTTGCCAGCAACCACGACGAAAGTTGTCGGCCACCTTGACCAAGGACTAAAACGTTCGTGAGCGACCACTGAAAAAGCTGTGAGCGACCACTAAAAGTCTTGCCAGCGACCACGCAAAGAGTTGTCGGTAACTGTAGCCGACCACGAAAAGGTTTGTGAGCGACCACTAAAACTTTTGCGAGGGACCACTAAAACTTTTGTCAGTGACCACGAGTGTCGTTGGCGCTTCCTTTCCTCGAAGAGAGCAGTGAACAACCGCCGTCTCTTGTGTCCCCGAAGGCCGTATCGCTGAATCGAAACTCGTCTTTCGGTCGATCCCGCTCTCAAGAGACGCGCTTGATACTCCAGTACTCTGAGCGACCACTACAAGGTTTGTGAGTGACGACTGAAACATTTGTGAGTGACGACTGAAACATTTGTGAGCGACCACTAAATAAGTTGTCAGCGACCAAGACGAGCTTCGCCAGCAATTCCTTTCCTCCTACACACGAGCGAACAGACACACTCTCTCAAGACCACAAAAGCCGATCCCCGAAAGAGCAAGGTCTGTCCCACAGGTCTTCGCGCACGCGTTCGATCGTCCCGCACGTAGAGTCACGATGTCTCGTACACGAAAACCCGGGTCCAACAAGGAGCAAAACCGCGGGGCGGGAGCCCGTCGGGGCACCGAGAAAAAGAAAAGCCTGATCGTGAAGTTGAAACTGAAACCGAAATCGAGGTTGATTATACCAAGGGAACCATCAATCGAGCTCGGCGTTCTGCCATCCAAGGAGATTCCAACACAGCATGAGATGGTGGAGAGGTGTATGCGTGAGGCAGGTGTTCACGCAGACTTCATGCTCTTGCCTGAAGCCAATGATCTCACATTCGAGGATGCGGAAGAGGAGATGAAGCGCCTCGGGTTGTTCACGCGCAAGCTCTTCCTCGGCGGTCGCAAGGCCGAACCGCCCTATGAGGTATGGGCTTACCTCAAGACGTACGAAAGCAAGGCTGGGGAGATATACGTTTACAGGGTTACCAAGAAGAACGGTGAAGAGGTTGAGAGAAAGATGATCGAAGGAGCTTCGTGGGGCGATACTGAGCTGATATACCCGTTCCAAGTGCTCGTCAGGTTGGGTACCGCCGACGCCAGAAAGCAGCTCAACACGCTGATCCAATATGCGTTTCTGGACGCCAAAGAAGTCGATCGCGTATGGGTTGGAGAGGCTAGATACGCTATGACTCTGCTCAAGCGCGCTGTGCGCCATATTGCGAAGGCTTACAAGCTGTACCCTGGGGGTAAGTTGAACTCGCAATGATTTGACAGTACATGCACTAACTGCTCATAGGTGTAGCAGCTGTACCGGACCTCTTCCGCCCGGTTGATCTGTACAAGGACGCTGTTCCGATAACGAACCGAGCTCTTTACACCTTTCGCCATCTCACTGCCCAAATGGAGAGAGTTTCTGTCACACCTTTCCCAGCAGGACCGAATCGCACTGCAGAGGGAGCTGGCGATGAATTAGAGCTGCAGCGGGAGCTTAACCGATTCAATCGCGCTCGGTTGGAGCTCCGTCAGACTGAGGAGAAACGGAAAACCCTGAAGAGGGAGATGGAAGAAGCCAGGGCCAAAGTGGCTGCTATCCTGGTGAGCGGAACGAAGGAGCAGATACAGGCTGGCATTTATAGCTTCATGAATCTGGGCAGTGATATGGAGGATGGAGACAATCAGGAATAGCCTCACTGGCATGGGTCACTGTGGGATTGGTGGTTTCTGATTTCAGGCCCTTTAGAGCCCTTGGCTACCTCTCTATTTGTCTCTAAGTCATACTCATCAGGTGAACTGTGTGACAATTCTCAATTGTGCACGTGGTATAAGAGTATGGCCAACACCTGCAGCAGCAGTAAGGAGGAAGAGAGGGATCAATAGCTTTACGAGCATTAGCTATTGCAAAATACACCAATTCAGAAGACGAACTTCTCTCGAAGGGGTTTCCAACGTTCTCTTGCGTTGTGCTCGCATTAATGCATTCGTCTACCAGCGTTATCACTGAGACATAAAGATAGAGTCTAAGCGTCTATTCTGCTTTCAATAATTTTCTAGCATATTTCCACCGCTTGGCCAATATTGGGGCGAACTTGGCCAAACTCTATCGGGCAGGTATTGTTGCCGATCTGGTGTCGGTCATTTCACCAAGGTGCCATATTTCCAGAGAAAACGGCAGGACGGGAAGATTCACGACGCTACGGAAAATGACAGCAATTACATTACTACTGGGCTAAACGGATTCCCAAGGTGCAAGTCCTGCCATGAGAAAGGATGGTGCCTCGACTATCAATGGGATTGCGGGCCGAGGCGAGCACACCTCCCAGGGGCTGTTGTTCAGGAACACCTCCTATGCCTGGTACGTACTGCAAAGGGGTGGCACTTGCATAATGTCCTGCATACTTGATAGATACCCAGTCTGCTGGGACGCAGTTCACTCAATATATTCCCGCCGGTTTCAGCAGCCCTCGTTACGCCGTGAGCATTGATATCAGAACTTTATCGCTGCTGTGGGCAAAGGGTTTCCGTGGGTCTGTAAACTTTGGCGATGTTCAGCTGGCGCGGACTTCTATGCATCATATTGCCGGTATGGTGGGTTGGTCATTTCCTGAAGTCCAAAAGTGGACAGCACCTCGCAACTGCGCCGCAGCCTTCATGTCTTGAGCGTGACCGCAGTGCTGCCAGGGGACCAATCAGACAGATAACTGGTATGATTCTATCATACTTGGCAAACGGGCGGTCCGTGAGTGACCACGAAAACGAAGGACGGACTGCGACTATGCGGCACATGTTTCCAAGGGGCTTCGAAAGTGCTATTCGTCCAAAAACTTGTCACCCGCTCCTAATGGAAAACGCCACTTCGCTGTCAGCTCTCAAGTTCTGAATTCACGAAAATGTGAATGCAGCCTAGTCACATCTTTGTAGGATCTACTGGTTCTCAAGTAATCTGTCATAGCCGGTTGTAGCAAATCCCAGCTAAACAGCACCACACCCCAGCATAAGGCTGTGCAAGCGAAAGCTGACCACCCTCTATCTCCCAGCAATAGTCTCAATAGCTTTCGGCCCCGTTCGAGTAAGCATTCGCAAATCCAGCGCCATGTGACCGGGAGACCAAATTTACCCTTCCGGAAATACGATGCGAGAATTCCAGGTAGTTGGATATCCTGCGGCGTCCTTTACCAGGAGGCTACCAGATTCGAACAGCATCTGTCAGAATAGGACTGATTTGGAACCAAAAAGCAGGTTGGGCTGGGCATCCCTAACCCCTCCCGGGCGAAACGGGCGAAGGCGACTAAGACGGCTTAGCTACATGTCATCTCGTACGTAAAGATGACATTACCTCTTCACCGTCATAATGCAGGCAAGTCTCACGTTCCCATGTTGGCGAGGTGTGGGAGGCAACGTGTGTGCTACCCTACGCTGTCCCAAAACAAAAGATACTCCGACGGCGAACGCGACAGCTTACGGACCTCAGCAGTGATCCCAGCACCGTGGCAAACTTTTGAGGGTCATGATTATTGTATCCCGGACCTATGAAGTAAACTAACGAGGTTATCGAAGCTCGGCATTCCTTTCTCAGGGGCGAGATTGGTGAATGTCCACCCATCTATCCAATCTGCGTCGGGACGACCCGCTCAAACCCACCATGGGGCACTGTCAATACAGTCAGAAAGTCAGAACCAATCCCTAAGATTATGGCTGCGTGCGGGGCACCGCAAGTATATAAAAGGGGGCATTACGGTGACATCGGTCATATCACGCCCGAGGACGCCCCGAGACATTATTCCCGCACCTTGGTCGTCAGGATAAGCAGCAACGGACGTCACACATCTATGACTTCAGTGACAGCTACGTACTTGTCTCAGTAGCTGTGCACCATGAAGCAACCACCTTCCTATTCACACCTCCTCACGAATAGAGAAGGGTTAGATGAAGACACTTCATACGACAGATGCATAGAGCACCTGCGTAGAGTGGAGTATCCTATGCTGGATGGTATGCCCTACTCGTAATTTTCGGCAAGAGAGAGACTAAACGGACCGCAGGACTCACATACCTCGATCATGCCGGCACTACTCTTCCATCCAGGACGCTCATGATGACATTCAGCCAACACATGCAGACCACTCTCCTTGGCAATCCTCACTCCTCGTCCTCCTCAGCTCCCAATGCCGCGCACCAGATCATCGAAACTACACGCCGGAAGGTGCTTCACATGTTCGGGGCAAGCCCAGATCATTTCGACGTGGTATTCGTCGCCAATGCAACCTCAGGCATAAAGCTCGTTGTGGAAGCATTCAGTGGGTTTGAAGAAGGCTTTGACTACTACTATCACAGGGACTCTCACACGAGTCTCGTCGGTGTCCGTGAACTAGCGGAACGAAGTCGTTGTTTGGCGACCGATGAAGAGGTCGAACACTGGATCTCAAACAGAGAATACAGCGACAATGAACACCCGAAACGCCCAACCCTTTTTGCCTACCCAGCACAGTCCAATATGAACGGTCGTCGCCTTCCTCTCTCGTGGCCTACGCTCCTCCGATGCACGCAAGGCAAGGCGCAAATCTACACTCTCCTGGACATCGCCGCCCTGGTATCCACGTCCCCGATCGACCTTAGCAATCACACCACTGCCCCGGACTTTCTCGTCCTCTCGTTTTACAAGATCTTCGGTTTCCCGGATCTGGGCGCATTGATAGTTCGCAAATCCGCGGGCCACGTCTTTGAAAAGAGGAAGTACTTCGGTGGAGGAACAACAGACATGATCACCTGCACCACCTCGCCTTGGGTTGCGCGCAAGTCTGCCTTGCGTGACCGCCTTGAAGATGGGACGGGAGCGACGCACAGCATCCTTGCTCTGAGCTGTGCCATTGATGCGCACAACCTGCTCTTCGGGGGTCTCAAGCAAGTTTCGCAGCACACTTCCTGGCTATCCGCACGGCTCTATGCTGGGCTTTCGGAATTGCGCCATGCGAATGGAAACCCAGTGTGTAAGATATACAAGGACCCTACCTCCACGTACGGCGAATCACGGACCCAAGGCGCCACTGTCGTCTTCAACATATGTCGAAGCGATGGATCTTGGATCCCGAGCTCTACGGTAGGTAGAGTTGCCGCAGAACATGATATCCTGATCCGCACCGGCGGACTGTGTAACCCGGCGGGTATGTCACAGGCGATTGGTATAGCCGACGAAGACTTGCAAGAGGCCTATATGAGGGGATTTAGATGTGGTACGGAAGAGCATGCTTTGGGCAACAGGGATCTGCCCAACGGAATGGTCAGAGCTAGCTTGGGGGCGATTAGTACAACTAAGGATGTCGACATCTTCCTGGATTTCCTAAGGAAGCGCTTCGTTGAGGCCGAGGAGCAGCCAGAGAAGGTCGTGGTGGAAGTTGAAAAGCGGGATGCACAAGAGCTAGCCGGCGTGAAGGCACACGAAACGAGTCCTGCTGGCTTCAAGACGTCGAAGATGGACGTGGATGTGCATGATCCTGTCCAGTACACTGCACGGCGAAGAAGTAACTCCACCCTGTCCCAGTCGTCAGCGTCGCCGAAATCGATGGCCTCGCAGTCATCGAGCAAGCGAAGCGAGATTAAGAGCGAGGAGGAAGAAGGTCATACAACCTTGTCCTCCATTCCTTCTTCATGCGACGAAAAACAACTGAAGCCGATCGCGTCTTGGAAAGTCCATCACAGCGACAACTCCATGGAAATCCGCACCCACGACAGCGAGGAATCGGGTCCACACTCGTCGACCGTGGCACAGTCCCAATTGCGAAATCAGAAGCGTTTGCGGTGGATCCCGCGGAGTATCGTCGAGCTCCGCATGCGCTCGAAGCAACGCACAGGCCGAAGGGTCGTTCCCGGCTCTCAACGAAACTCATGAGTGGCTGGACTGCCAGTGTCGGACGGTATCATAATCGAGGCTCAGCGTGAGAGAATGACTTCTTCGCCACATACTTGAAGACCGGTGAAGAGCGAAATGTTTTACTTGGCTAAAACAAGCGTGTTGTGATTTCAAGCATTTGACTGTGTTGAGAGGCTAATGATGTAACTTCCCGTCGCAGATGTCCGCTCTCTGATTTTGGTTTTGTTTTCGCTGTTCCCCTTGTAAAGAATGATTGTCGATTTTTTTCCTTTGAAGACTCCTAGTTCTAGGCCCGCCACATTTGTATCTATCTGGATAAATTGGGTGCGATGCCCTTCGGACCTGCGCCGTTCTGCACATATTCGACTATACTTGCTGTAACCTAGTTAGCGCGTCATACTGCTTCATCTTGCTCATCATACCATAGCGGAAACAGTCTCTTGGGAAAATAGGCATTATTGCATCGCGCGCTTTTAGATTAATGGGTATAGTCTCAATTTTGACATGTACCAACGAATCGATAAAGCCACCTCGAGAATGGAGACGTTCGTGAATCGTGAGGCCACACCGAACGTTTATTAGGGTCTCGGGGAACCTAGGAAAACCACGGTTTACCCGAACAGGCATGTCCGCCTGCACACCTAAACTTTACCCCAACGCGAGGTACCTAGATTGACTTAGTCACGATTATGCGGTTACACCGCGGGGAAGACTTAGTACGCAGTACACCGATGCCGGCACAATCGATTAATAAACGCCTGTGGCCTCTGTGGCCTCCATAGGTTGAAGAATAGCCTTCCACGAACGTTTCATAGTCCTCAGCCCGCAATCCATCACCGCTGCATCCAATCGAACGAAAACGAGAGCTATTAGATACATCGGAACTTGCAAGAACGACCAAGAGGCTCGATACATCATGGGAAGCATGGCCGTCCCCTCTAAAGACCGAGTCGAGCCCGGCTCAGTCAACATCCCCCCGTTTACCAACTTCCCCACCGCAACCAGCAACCCCGACACCATTGACGCTACCAGAGTCGCCGAAGACCTCATCCGGACCTTCAACACTGCACTAGAGGGAAAGAATTACACTACCATCTCGGACCTCTTCCTTGAAGACAACGGGTTCTGGCGCGACCATCTGGCTCTGACGTGGGAACTTCGCACGCTGCAGGGCCGGGGTAAGATCTTGGAGTGCTTGAAATCGAGCAAGCATCCATTGACGAGGATTGAGATTAACACATCCGCCGCGCATAACAAGCCTCATGTCGAGCCTATAGATGCGTCTGATGACGTCAACGGTGTGCAATTCTTCATTCAATTCGAGACGGACATTGGGCGTGGAGAGGGTGTGGTCAGGCTAGCGGAGGATAACGGGAATTGGCGGATTTTTACGCTGTTCACAGTACTAAAGGAGTTGAAGGGATTTGAGGAGCCAGTGGGGAAAAGGAGGACGAAGGGAGTGCAACATGGTGGGAATCCAGACAGGAAGAATTGGAAGGAGACGAGGGACGCGGAGGCAAACTTCGAGGGCAAAGATCCTACCGTGCTTATTATTGGTGAGCTCCCCATACTTCCGGATACAAGGGGGCATCCACTGATGGATCACAGGTGCAGGACAAGGCGGCCTTACCGTGGCTGCCCGCCTAAAGATGCTCAGTGTTCCCGCGTTGATGATAGACTGCAACGAACGCGTTGGAGACAACTGGCGGAAGCGATACCACCAACTCGTCCTTCACGATGCCGTCTGGTACGATCACATGCCCTATATCCTTTTTCCGCCTCATTGGCCGGTGTTTACTCCCAAAGACAAACTTGCAGAATTCTTCGAAGCCTATGTGAAGCTCCTGGAGCTTAACGTCTGGACATCCACTGAACTGAAATCAACCTCTTGGGACGAATCAAAGAAGATCTGGACTGTCACCGTCGAACGCAGGAAACTTGACGGCACCACCGAAACACGCACTCTGCATCCCCGCCACATCATCCAAGCCACAGGCCACTCAGGCAAGAAGAATCTCCCCGACATTGAAGGCATGCAAGACTTCCGCGGCGATCGTCTGTGCCACAGCTCCGAATTCCCCGGCGCGTCGCCCAACGCCAAGGGCAAGAAAGCCGTTGTGGTCGGGTCTTGCAACTCGGGTCACGACATTGCGCAGGACTTCTACGAGAAGGGATACGATGTTACCATGGTGCAGCGCAGCACAACGTGCGTTATTTCGTCCGAGTCGATTGTGGAGCTTGGGCTGAAGGGTCTGTACGAGGAGGATGGTCCGCCGGTCGAAGACGCTGATGTCCTTAACTGGAGCTGGCCCAGCTCGGTGTTCAAAGCGAAGCAGATGAAGCTGACGCAAAGGCAACATGAGCACGACAAGGAGACGTTGGAGGGACTGCGAAAAGCTGGGTTCCGCTTGGATAGCGGACCGAATGATGCGGGATTGATGATGAAGTACTACCAGCGCGGCGGAGGGTACTATATCGATGTCGGCGCTTCGCAGCTTATCATCGATGGGAAGATCAAGATCAAACAGGGGCAAGAAATCTCCAAGATACTCCCTGACGGAATCGAGTTCGCCGACGGATCAAGGTTGCAGGCCGATGAGATCGTGTTTGCTACAGGCTATCAAAACATGCGCACACAGGCACGTTTGATCTTTGGGGATGATGTTGCGGACCGCGTGGGCGACGTCTGGGGCTTGAATGACGAGGGCGAGTTTAGGACCATATGGCAGAGGACCGGACATCCAGGGTTCTGGTTCATGGGAGGCAACCTGGCTATGTCGAGGTACATGTCCAGGATTCTAGCGCTGCAAATCAAGGCGCAGGAGGAGGGCATATTGTGATGTGAAACATCACATCATCGGTAGAGAAACGACGAATCACGTGAGCTTCGATAGTTAGGGTGTGACTTACCCAGTCAGAGACGACGCTGGATATGATATAGTATGGCTACTGCCCGCGAAGCTGCATTAGTTCAATCTAATTGGGCATGGAGGTTCAAATCCTGGAATGACCCCGCATTGTTGCCGTCATTTCGACTCCTTCAGCAAGGCCTCCGCAGCTGCATCTTTCTGCCCACTGCTACCACTCCGTCCCGCTTCCTGGAGGGCTCCGCCAGGGCCTTCTTTGCCCTCGGCGGCTTTCTTCAGGCGTTCCGTGTCCTCAGCCTTCAGATCCTTCGCCTTCGCATCTTCTTCGTCACTGTCCCCCAAACTGAACGGATCATGGTCATCCGGCTCCGGGTTTGGTGCAACAGACGTCAAGGGCTGCCATTTCTTCCCCCCTGGCTTAGCTGCGGTGCCGGAGCTGTTGATAGGCGATGGATTGCGGTAAAGCGCATCAACCTCATCCACTGGTCCGCTCTGGGGGGGGCCCAGAGGGGTAGGTTTGAATAGGTCAGGATTCGCTTGAGGCCGATTTGGTTTCTGAGGTGGAGGGCCTGTGTAATTGCGTTAGAATCTATTGCTTACCGAATGGGATTCGGTCCTCGGTGTACATACCTTCATCATCTCTGAGTTCCAAGGCCTCAAAATCGTCGCCAAGCACCCGGTTGTCGGTGTCGTAGCGCTCACGATCTGCGGACCGGCGGTGTTCGGTGGACCTCCGACCCACACTTCCGTACTGGTGATCTCGCTGGGGGGAGCCGAAACGTCGTTGTGAGGAAGATGGCACAGGATTGCCGTATTGGTCATACTCCTCAGGTTCGCCATCAAGCTTCTTCATGAGATCACCAACCCATTTATTGACTTTTAATTGAGTTTCACGGAACCCCTGTTCAATGTTTTTCTTGATGATGGGCAGGTCATCTATTCCGGAGAGATCAGTGATTGCTCCAGTGGGTATTCAATGAACGCCTACCTTCAAAGAAACTGTGCTCCTTATCGTAGAGCTCGTTGGGTTTTAAGCCAGTCTCTTTCCGTTGTTGGGGCAGCCGAGGCTCCCTACGCTGGCGACCATATCCTGCGCCTTGGGCCTGCCGCTCCTCCTCCTGCTGTAACTGCTGCGCTAGACGCAAATCGTCATCGTATGTGTAGTCGCGAGGTCCTGTCGGTCGCGGTGGCTTCGGCGGAGGCAGATCATCGGCTTTAAAGCTAGGATCCGACATGCCTAGATCTGTCAGCTTCTTACTTCATTGCGAAAGGTTCCCAAATCGTACTTAGCAGCGCATTGGTAGCTCTTTCTACATCGCCTGCGCTCGCAAGGAGCACGGCCCTCACGACTTTCACATCAACATCCGGAAACATCTCAGCCAGGGCCTTCTGGTCTTCCTCTAGCTTATTCACCGGTCGTGGGGGCTTTGGCGGTGGTATTTCCGTAGTACTTTCTGAAAAGCGGACGCCCGGCTTCGGGGACTTTGAAGGGGGTGGCGGCGAGGTGGCGTTCTCCGCCGTTGAGGGTCCTTCATTGTCATCATCGAAATCGAGTTCTCGTGCAGTGGTAGGAGACTCCGCGCCTGAGCCCGTACTGGCTTTCGTAACCTATGAGATCGGTGAGTGAGCGGGCCGTGGGGAGGGGTTATGGCGGGGTATAGGGAGTACCTTATCTGCTGCAGGCTTTTCGGCCATTGTGAATGGATTTTAGCGTCTGGATGTGCTGGAGAAGTAGGTATCTGTTCACGAAGATATATCCCTTTAGGCGGCGAAGTTCGCCGCATGGAGCGTCGTAAGTGTGTTACGCATGTCGCCAGGAACGTGGCTTGGGCGATTTCATGCGCCACGGCAATGCCTGCCAAGGCCGACCTGGTCCGAGCACGTGACTGAGTCTTCACGCCTTCGTGCCAAGACTCGCCTTTTTGGTTCAGTCAGTGAATAGGGGCCATTTCCATGCGTATAAAGCTTCTGGATTTTGAGCGTTAAGTAGCTGCGACAGAAGCTACGGATGCTGACCTCGTCGTTCGCATTAACTAGACAGAAGGCTGCCGGCACGTTTTCACGGGGCACTGTTTTCATGCCTCCTCGACACTGTTCATAGATGACTACCGCCTATTTCTATGCACATGCTGTCGAAATCACATTATTATTGTATGATACCGACGCCGGAAAATTTCAACTTCATCTTCTGCTAGCTCAACATTCACCAAAATCCGTTATCTTTACGGTCAGACTCGTCGGTCATCGTCAAAGACGGCTTTGCGGAGGTCACTTTGTAATGAGGTATACGTCCTTATTTACCATTCCCAGCAGGGCACAGCATAATGAGGCTACCCCATCTCATGCAATCCGAAACTTCTCGGCGAGTTAAACCTGAGAGCTATTAATGGACGCGAAGTGACCTTTACCATTGGAACCTGGCATTCTAGAACATGATTCGTTGCCATTTCAATGGGTTGTACGGAACGTTAACGACACAAAGGGCATATTGATGCGGGACAAGAACATTCCTAAAAGTGAGCGGCTCGATATGCTGCAGGCAGTGAGCATTTCTGAACACACCGCTGAGAAAAGATAGTCTTTTGGCTGCTTCCCTTGCTACACGAGAAGCTATTTTTCTTCCTTAGGCAGCGTCAGTTATTATAGTGTTCCTATGACTCCACAAGGCATGCTGGCGGCTGGGACTAGTTGGGGGGCTAGGAGAAACAGACATGATGCATCAAGTGAGCGCATTGGGCTTCCCGTGGGGCCAGAAGGCAAGCATTCTAACATTGTCAGAGGTTGGAAACGGTCTAGTCCGCGGAGTTTGAATCTTACAGAAGAAGGGGAGGAAGTGTCTGACGGGGACATGGCAGTGATAGTGCTGGCTAGACATTACAGTATGATCTAGCAGCCCTATACCCGTGGCCCGGTTATAACACGTTCTTGAAAGCTTTTAGGAGGGAGGGGGGCCACATATTTCCGCCTCATAGGGCGGTTTACGAGCATTCGTAGCTTTCCATTGTCCTCAATTTCCCCATCAACATATCTCCTTGGCCATAAGCGTCGGGTAGTTTTGGTGCCTAAAAGTGTTCCGACAGGCAGATGATGATTTGCGGACGCAGCTCCCGAGTACCCTAATTTACCTTGGGGTACTTGCCCTAACACCGATTCCACAGCTGAACCAAATATGCATCTAGCATGCTCTTCGATACGGGAACCCTGAGAAGTTCACTATGGGACTGAACTCGCATCGCTGCGGATCTTCGCCTTTGTGGAACGGAGCCCTCGTTTATGGATGAGAGGGCAGTACGAATACGCATAAACGTAGTAATTGCATGCTTGGACTTCGGCGCTTGCATGCTATTTGAGAGCTGGAGGCTGGTACATGAAAGCAACAACCTGTAGCCCCGAGATATATAAAAGTTATATCTAGCAGATACTCCCTAGAAGCACTAGCTCCTGCTTTTAGAGTCATCGACTCATCATTCAGTTAACGCCATTCTCATATGTGCACTCGAATCTATGTAGGTTACACAGCACCCACGCACAGGCCACCGAAAAAAAAGCATGCAGCAAAGCGGCACAGCGCGTTTAACAACATTTAAACTACTCCGTAGCTGTCCTCGATTGTAGGGGGAGCGTTACAGTAGCACCCTACTTTTAGAGTGCGTTTAATCGGCTCTGAACCCGCTCATCATCCACCAGAGCCACAAGGCGTCTCTGCATGAGAATCTCTTTAATTCTTTAAGCAGCCTTGCTGGTTGACCTTCTCTCGAATACCAGAGTGCTGTAAGTTCTAGAAGTTCTCTTAGCATCATTTCCCGAAGTGTTCGCGTGTTCGAGCCAAAGCGGATGCAAGGCCTCACGAGCACGAAGCGGTCTGACGCTATTAGAAAGGCTACTTATCCCTTAAGAACCCCCCAGGGCGTGCCGAAGAGTTCAGCAGGTACGAGCCTGCTCCACAACGCAGAAGGCTTCTCTTGATAACGGGGAGCGCTCCGCACGAACGAGCGGCCGGTGAAGCGGTACGTGGTTTCCACTCTCAAACGAATGCCCTCCTACGAATAAAGTCAGTGAAGTTGGACATAAACTAACCATACTCTAGGGTACGAAGATTGATGCCATGCGAAGCCCTGCGGACTCCGCAGACTTCGCAGAACTTAGCCGAACAACTGACGATGACTGGGACACGATTGTCGAAGAACTCAAGAAAAGAGACGCAGATCACCTCCTCGGCAAGTTCCCCGATGTCGAAAATCTCGAGTTCGTCGAGCATTGCGACTTCAAAGACAACGAGGGTCGGAACTTCCTCCCGTATAAACTCCGCCTATGGCGAAGCGAAACTGAGTCCAACTGGGTGTACATGAATTACTTCGATAAGAAGGCCGCGACCTTGACTTTCATACAGGAATATGCAAGCGTGGAGGACGGCACTTCCGAGCTTCGACAGGAAATCGTGGAAGGATACGCAGTGGGTGATCTCTCAATGGATGAGCCACTGCGGGCCATTCAGAGAATTGACGATGGGGACGCGCGCAAACAGCCCTTGCGAGCCGTGATCAAAGCGCTGTTCGTAGCCGGGGGAGTCATCACCGCTGAGCGCCTGTTGGAGCATGGATCAGGTCTATTTTACAAGCAGCTCATATCAGGACTAAGAGTTCTAAATGGGCTCCATCCAACGATTGTCGCGGGACGCCGGACTCGGAGGGAGCACGTTGAAGGTACCGACAATAAATGAGCCGTGTCTAGGAGACTAATTCTGAGTGGACAGATGAGAGTCGAACCGAATCCCAGCGGCGGGTTGACAACACAGAAGCAGAAGTTCCCGTGGAATCGATAGACCAGCCAAGGCGTAGTAAAAGAGCCCCGCGGCGCTTTATTGAGACTACTCCTCGCAAATCACGTCTCGTCCGAATAAGGTTGCCGAACGCCGGCGCCACCCGCCTCGAGCGCAACGCTTCGGAAGTTCGAGATACTGAGAGCAGCTACACCGAATCCCTCGGCAACGTAGATCAGAACTCAGAGATGTCCGGTAGTGACAGCTGCGGAAGCGACTTGGTAAACGCCGAAGAAGTCTTGCACGACCTGGAAATAACGATGCGGGAGAACGAAACTAGATTACCAGAGCCGAGAACCAACAATCATCGAAGAGGGGGGCCTCTGCCCGAAGAGGACGACGAGGTGCCCGAGGAACAGTACCAGCATCTGAGAAAGCTGTACTTGAGGAAGCTCGATATCGCCAGAGCCAACAAGAGAATCAAACATCAGTTGAAAATGGCCCAGGAGCAGTCGAAGATCTTGGATGACCTCGAGGCAACCGTTACGGCCGCATTTGACACAGAGTCGAAAGGGCTTAGAGGGTCGCAAATGGTAAAATTCACTTTCCGTCTCAGCAAATCGTCAGGTGATGACGCCACCTCCGTTTGAGGAGCTGTGAATCGGAATCGGGGTGGTGCTTTGGCGGCTTCATTTACCGGGGATATGGCTCTCTATTGTGCATTGTATCAGGTATTCGAAATCCCATCTATTCCTCGCACATGCACCTTGAAAGGTTGCTTACCGTCTACTGAGAGGGATCAAATCCTGTTCCATTCGATGACCACCGGTATTGACACCGTAAGTGAGAAAATATTATGATTATATTGCTATGACCATTGCGCAGACAAGAACAATGTGGTATCTCGCTCCGTGGTGTTCAACTTCGATGAATACCGAGTCCAGTGGGGGTATCTCCCAAGCAATAACGCCAACAAGACAGGAACAGTACTGCCTCTCCATCACTGAATTGGAGACATGAATCGGACGGGACTCCCAAGCAATAACGCCAACAAGACAGGAACAGTACTGCTTCTCCATCACCGAATTGGAGACATGAATCGGACGGGATATCCTTCTCTTGCTACTGGCGCAGGAAACCAACTAGACGCCCTGCATCTGCATTTCAGGAGGAGGTGCGGTGTCACTACGCGCGGTGTTGCGGATATGAAGACCGGCGAAGACAGTGGTGGCCACAAAGGTAAGCCTGATGAAATATTAGTATCTTCTTTCGTTCGTGTCGCTCGCACATCACATACCAAATAAGGGCGCTAAAGACAATTGCAGCAGTTCCAGCACCACAGGGACCTCCAGCGCTTCCGCACCGGATATCGCCCCAGAGAGCGGCGACGGCAACCCATGCCGCGAACCAGAAAATCATAGTCACAGCTTCAACAGCAGTGATCGCATACTTGTGAGCGAGATGGGGTGCCCGAGTCGGCGCGAATATCAAATATCCAACGGCCAGGAGGGTCCATATGGAGCAGAAGAGCATGAAGTCGACACTATCCGGAGAGCCATACCACCAACTGTCAATAACTGATTTCGGAGTGTTAGCAGCAGGTCGACAGTAGGACGTTCATTTAAGGTTATAGGCTTACCATAGGCGGTAAGTCCGAGCACGATTATGGAAAGAACGGCCTGCACGGCTCTTAAGGGCAGAATGAACGCAAACATCTTTTTTTGTTTCTCAGAAGCGATCGCAAAAACGGGCGTATGTCGCAGAAGCGGGCAGAACACTGGTGACACTGAGGAACATGCTGCCCCACGCAGTTAATATACGGGTCTCGGGCTGTGTGAATGACTGCCACGCAATGCGAACAAGGCGACGTCATACGACGTGCCAAAAACTCTTTGGCGGACACAAAACAAGGCCTTGGAAAACAGAAGAAGGGGGTCATGTGAGGTCATTGATTGGCTGGATGGAGCGCTTTAGCTGAACAAGGGTTTGTGGCGTCGGTCACAGCCACCTCGGCATCTTGGGCGGACGAGGAATGTGAAGAGGAGGCTTGGAGAATTCTTTCACCACTCCAGCTGGAGCAAGAGTAAAGCGAGACTACGATGTTGTGCCGAGGGAGATGTCTCTCACGGAGTTTTGAAAAGAGTTTCTGAGCAGTGCGGTCCGATGCTGCCGGCATTCCGACGTTAAGACATGTCCTGAAAAGGTCCTCTGAAACGACCTGCCAACACGAGTTCGGATTTAGAACACTTGCCCATACAATTCACGGCTTGAAACTCAACCGCTTTTCCCATCTACCGCTTCTCGAGTCAACGGAATGATCTTACGCGCATCATCTTATGGGAGTACCGCCCCATGAAAATGGCCGCTATTAAGTTGAAAATTCAGACGCTTTGACAAGAGAATGCTTGGGTGAAGCACTGGGCCGCAACGCTGATTACCACCACACCGTGGCCTCGGACACCAATGTCACGGTTTGGACTTCGAATAGGTCGTCAAAGCATCGCCCATCCGACTGGCTGCAGAGTTGAAATAAAGTTATTTCCTCGACGACCTATAACCCAATTCGAAAAAGAACGGAGTAAGACAAGAGTGCACGCAAACTAAAGACATCTTAGAAAACTGCCGCATACCCCAGGATCGATCCCGACACCCCACGAGTCCCTGCGATTCAATGTTGGACCCGTTCTACCTTTCTACTGGCGGTAATATGAGTCCACTGACAGCCAGCGAGAACACGTTAGACGGTGAGAATATCGAGCACGTGAACTCGGTTCTTCCTTCTTCTAGGATTCTGGTTTCTTTCGGTGTTAACAATTAGAAGAGCAGAACCACTGCAGGGCCATTGCCAATGATGAACGGCATAGACACATGCAACCACCGTCGTTTCTCCATCCGCATTCCTGGCATTCCTCATTCTTTCGGCCCATGGCAACTTTCCTCAATCATTGTACACACACTATATATCTCAATCTCCTGTTCCGCTGTTGTTCGTATGGACGCTACATTGTAGTTTCCTGCGGATGCTGTGTTCACAATGTTGCCATTCGCAATGCCCACTCCTTGTGTTAGCACAATATGGACGCTACACACATTATACACATATTCGACTGAACTATCCCAGAATTTGTACACATACACGATGTGTGCTGCGTCAGTTAAATATTGGGCGTACATCCACCTCTCTGCCGGGCAGAATATTTCACTTCGCAACAACCATACCCTCCAGTTTTCCGAGCGATTGAGATCAGCACAATTCTCTGAATCACAATCATCTGAAAATGTCTTCGTCTCCTTTTTCACGTGGGAGCAGAATTCCCGTGCTGAGGCCCTCAGCCTCAGGGAGCTCTGAGCGAAGCATTTCGCCAGTGAACTGGAGGGCGCAGTACCTGGCCTCGCAGGACGAGGTCAAATTACTGACATCGCGCCTCCGTGAGATGGAAGAGGAGAAGGAGAATTCGCGGGCCACGGCTCGCAAGTTGACTGCTGAGATATCCTCTTTGACACAGCAGCTCCAGAAGGAGGCAGAACTGAGCGGCCACTTCATGGAGGCGTTCCAAGACGCAGAAAAGGAAGCGGAGTCGCTCCGTAGTCAGCTGCGGGAACAGCGGCCGAGTGACGACAGCGTTGAGAAGGCGCTTGAGGCGCAGGTCGCAGAGCAGGATGCCTTGATCGAACAGCTTCAACTGGAAAATGACGAGCTGAATGAGCATCTTGCGCGTGCCGTGACAGTGAGCCGTGGTAAGGATGATCAGATCCTTGTTATGAAGACGAAAATCGCTGATCTTGAGAAGCGTCTTGCGGAAAGGCAGGCGGCTCAGAAGCAAGTGGTAGCCGCATGGAACCCGCACGACAAAGACGCAAGAATCGCCTTGTTGGAAAGGGAGGTCACGGGGCTCCTGGACCAACTTGAAGGAGATCAGGAGGTTACGCCCAAGACCAACACTGTTGACCAGTGTACACAGACTGACGAGGCTGAGCAGACCACCAAGAGTGCCTACTACAGTGTGGGCTCAGAGTATTCCTTCTGCGAGTCCGTGGACGCTGGCCCTCAGAGCACTGCACTTGAAGTTCCTGACAGCAATCCATCCTCTCTCCCGCCTCTGTCCCGCGAGCGCGAGGTCACAACGTTGATCCAGATCCGCCTCGACCCCGCTGACCACAGCAACTGGAACTGGGTCAAGAGGATACGTGCCGTGATTGATCGGCCTCAGCGGATTGAGATGTTCGGTCCGATTGACAGGGTTGAGGAGCTTCAACAGGACATGAACGATCATGTCCGAGAGTACAACAACCTCCGTATGGCGGTTGCCATGCTGGAGTCGACCATTCGCCGTATGGAGAGTGAGGCACTCCAAATCAAGAAGCGTCCCGCTTGTACTGTACGGGGTCACCGAGGTCTGAGGATGCGCTCAAGGCCAGGAATGACCAACTCGCTCTCAACGAGATGATGCTGCGGCAGTTCGGAGAGGAAGTCCGTGACCTTGAGCGGCAACTGCGACTGCGGCGATGAACGCACTCCTGAGACGATCGGAGGCGGTGAGTATTTTTATCAGTGGGTTTGGTCAGAGCTTCTCTATTTGCATATGGTAGGCGCTTATGGTGTTTGTTTCTCTTCTTGTTCTCAATCTGGAGCATACTGATGGAAGGAGAACCAGTGGAATGATTCTTCTTCAAACAAAATGTTATCTTTACATGCAACTCTTTTCCACGTATTCGGTGCTTTTTATAATATCTTGACGGCATTTGTGACTTGCAAGGTGCTCTGGTCGGTCGCGGTGCGGGCGATCTGACTAGGTGAATGTTTTAGTCATGTGACATCCCAGTTTTCCCAAGTGTTTGTTGAACTTTTACTTAAGCAAGACCAACAGGGACTTTATTGAATCGAGCAGTTAGTTTACGGCCAGCTGTTTCGTTTCCGTGTGCGTACCGTGATACCACCATATTTTTGGGCATATGAAAGAACATACATGACGTCATCAAATGAACTGCAAATCGATGCACAACATTCGACAGAATAGGAAACACACTGTTATACAAATCGAAAAGCACTGTGTCTAATCCGGTTCTGACATTTCTGCTCCAAGTCCTCTGCTTTGGAGACAACTCGACTCAGCCGCAGTGGCGCTGCCGCCTACGCCACAAACAGTCGCGTTACGGATAGCCTGGCACCTGTCCGCACACTTCAAGAACCTATAACTTATGGTACAGCCCAGATTGTTTAAAGCTGCGCAGTTCTTCCTCTTAATCGGGTTCCGCCCATCGCTCGCTTTCGCATGTGCAGCTCTGCCTTTTGGACTATCACTAAGTAACATGACAACAAGCCGCGCATCCATGCCTTCCAAGATCAACAGCTCTGCCTTCTTCAGTGAATGGAAGGGCCATCCTATTTCGGACTTGGCCAAGTTCCGCGACACCACTCGCGCCGTCCGACCAGGAAAACCAATAGTATACCTGGCCGGCGACTCCTCTTTAGACAATAAGGCTTGGGTTACAGCATCAGAGCCCATTTCGCCTGCGCAAATATACAAAGAGACTCTTCGAACCTCGTCCTATTCTGGTATCAAACCTGACATTGCATACTGGCTGAATCACTTCCTCGGCGACCGCGCAACATGCATCAATGCCGCCATTGAAGAATCTCTTCTCCGTGAGCGCGACGATCGGCTCCTTGAACACGATCTCTTCATCCGCGACAGCATTACGGCCAACGACATTCTAATAGTCAGCGTCGGCGCAAACGACATTGCACTCCGACCCACCACAAGCACGATGCTTCACATGGCAGACCTTGCTTGGACAACCCGCCGGTCCAGCATCCAAGATGGTTCAGCATCCTCGCTAGTGTACTTCCGCAAAATGTTCAAAGACAAGACGGAGAATTACATCTCGCGCATGCTTGAGAAGCAAAAGCCTCGCGCTGTGATCGTATGCATGATCTACTACCCACTCGAAGCTGATGCGGGCCAAACGGGTTGGGCGGATATGCAGCTGAAAGCGTTGGGTTACAACATGCGGCCAGGGCAGCTTCAGGCTGCCATCAAGCAGATTTACGAGTCTGCGACGAAGAATATAAGGATTGAAGGGACTCAGGTGCTAACTTATCCCTTGTTTGAGGTTCTGGACCCAAGGGACGCGAAAGACTTCACGGCGCGCGTCGAGCCCAGCACTGAAGGTGGCAGGAAGATGGCCCAGAGATTCTCGGAGATGGTTACTTCGATCTTAGGCGATGTGTGACTGGTATTAATAGCTGAAAAGGTTTCAAAGAGACCTTCAAGCGAGGGAACCAATCTGGATAGCCGCAGAAGGATAAATCCACGCGGCCAGATGCATACGCGTCGAAATATGTACATTGTGTTGAAAGGATGTCACTGTTATGTTTCGGCAAGCTACTCAGCGTCTTACGGGTGCACGTCGTGATCGAACATTGTGATGATAGTTTATATTCAGAGGAGAGTGCTTACCGACACTCAGAAGCAATAGAATTGATAGTCCCTGATTCAAGTGCGCTCCGGCGACTCGTGGAGCTAATCATGGCAGCCGTTGGTTTACGCATCTCCAACATGGTTGCAGAGGTCGATGCCTTTGCCGAGCTCCATAGAATGTTTCCGAATTCGGAAGTGTCGTCACACAGTTGCATCATCGACTTCAACCACCTGGGGCACTATAACTCCTTGCCCAGCGACATTACCCGCTTCAATCGCTGGTGGTCAGATTACCTACCACAGTAGAAATAATTTCTCAGGTGATTATTTTTTACTCGAGAGCTTTTGAAGTATTTGTTCGCGGCCGCGAAAGCCAGCCTCATCACAATGGTCAAGGACAAAGAGACAGTCATCCAGTAAGCCATCTCAAAGCCACTTCACAGCCCTCTTCTTTTTGAAGGTTATAACGTTCGCCTCAACTGACACATAAAGGGAATTCAACGAGCTTGTCAACATGACAGCCGATGAGCTCAAGGAGTGGCTGAAAGGCGAAGACTCCACAAGCTCGGGCTGGAAGAAAGATGATGGCTCCAGCGAGACTATAGGCCATGAAAGGTATGGAGTAACTCTTTTATAACGTGGCTTTCATCAATGAGCTGATACCTTTCTCAGTGGCGGAAAAATCGTTCAGATACTGGAGAAGAACCCAAACAAGGATCCAAGCAATTACGATGAGGATGATATCGATCACATGAGGAAGGTTGTTTCGTACTGCAAGCGACATCTTGCGCAGGAGGAGAAGGCAAAGCGGGACACAAACAGCAAATCGTATAAGTAAGCGCCCAAAAAAGTGCAGTGGCTCGACATGCAATTGCTAAAGGATCATTAGGAGCTTGAAAAATTGGGGGCATGATCCTCTGAAGGCTTGAGGCTCGTTAGAAATAAAGTCTCTAGGACTGGGTATATGCCAGGACACATTATCGCATATCATCGCTGGCCGTGTCGCGTTGGCTGACTTCTCAACAAAACATAGAGAATCACAACGTTGAATTCGCGTCCGTCTCCCATATCATCAGCGCAATCACGTCGACAGTTACACCGTGAATGTGAAGCTCCGGCTAGATCGGGGAGAGAATTGGCAAGCTAACGATGACGGCGGCATTTTCTTCAGCAAGATAACGTGACGTTGCTGGAAGAAGCGGCTCGACTGTGCCAGCCCAACGCTATTGATCGCATAGGCTTAAGCCGTACCAAGAATTGTTGCTATCCATATATACCAACTCATTTTCGTTTTTTCTATCTTATCGATTTTTTATATTGTTCCTCATCCCTATTGTGTCCGCCTTCTCTATTGTACGCACAAGCGGAACAATAGAACGAGCGACGCCCCTTGTTCAACAATGCTTCGCAGCTTTTGGTTATTCTGAGTTTGTTCCGTCTTTGTCCCTCTCTTATTGTTGGGACTTCTCATTCTTTGTTTCTTTGATTGCAGACTCCTCCCTTTTCCTTCACCGCAGTCTCCTCCTGGGTGGCAGTTAATATTACCACCTCCCCAAAAGATCAACCGAAAACTTTTCCCTCATCTTTTGCAACGTTTCATACTATTAGTACACAATCAAGAACCATTTGAGAGGGTCCAAACGTTCGCTGAGCTACGATCAAAGTCCAACCGCAGTTTGCTTCGTCCTTCAAGCCCCGTCAAACACTAAACCAGATTCTTCACAACGTACAATCCCTCATCCAGCCGTTCAACCAACAATTCCACGTCTCGTGGAGGCGTAACCTATACTCTCTCAAAACGCACCACGCTCATTTCTTGCCGCTGGCGGCATACTCATCTTTGTTACCAGTAAATCCCACCCAGAACCCACCTCTCAAAGAATAAACCATGGCACCAACATTTACGTGCGACGTCGGATCCACTGCCCAAGCGATGGCTCTGGTATTCATGCACAACGCGCAGATAAACAGCATCCAAAACGCCATCCAGAGCCAAAACCAAAACCCACCACCACCCCAGCACCTGGAAGCCTTCACCCAGCGCTTCCTAGACGAAATCGAGCAGAACCGTGAAAGAGCTGAACAACTAGGCGAGCAACGAGAGAGGGCTCGTTGTCTGCAGGAGAAGAATGCATCCCTTGAGCACACCATTGCGGAGAAAAACGCTACCTTTGAGCAACGTGAAGATCTTGCAAGGAAGCTTAGAGAGCAGATCCGTCAACTCAAGAGTGCTCTCACGCTTCCCGGGGACCAGAATCCGTTGAGTGCACAGGATATCAATGCGATTCTTGGACGGATTAGTGGCTTGCAGACGCTGCTTGATCCCGCTGCTACGGAGCCGGCGACCAGGAATCAAGTCCTCAGTGTTCTCGCACAAGTGACTGATCTTGTTATCAAGGTAATTTACAAACCTTCATGGATTTGGGCAAATCATACTGATCAAACGTATAGGATCTGACTAGACGCCGCAACGAGGGTGATTCCACCGTCAGCAAATCCGAATTCACCACCAAGCTTACGGAACACAATCAGAAACTGGAGAGGGATCGCCATGCAGCCGAGCAGTCGATTAAACAGCTTGAGAAAGAGCGCGACGCGGCCGTCGAATCCGAAAGCGCCATCAGTCATGAAATTCACATTCTGTTGGAAGCATTGAAATCTGCTGCTGTGAGTGCGCAACCCTTGCTTGCGGATCCTGACAGTGTTTCGGCTCTTGAAGGGGAGATTGCTCGCATTCAGAGGGCAAAGAACAAAGGAGGAGATATTGTAGTTGATGGTTTCGAATACCTCCTCCAATTGCTGCAGGTTCTGGATCAACTACTGCGTAACCGTCCTGTTTCCGATGATGCTCCACTGAAAAAATGCCACAACGAGGTCAACGGTCTCAAGTCCGATGTTCGCAAGCTGGAAAAGGAATTGCAAGACACGAAAGTCTCCAAGAAGAAGATCGAGGATGACGTCCAACAAAAGAACGGAGAGATCCGGAGACTGACCAAGAATTTGGCGGATACAACTGCGCAATTCATCAAGGAGCAGGATGAGCATTTCAATACCCGAGCGAAGCTCACTGCGGCTCAGAATGAGATTCAGAATCTCGCCTCCAAACCTGTTGATTCGAGCGAGAGTGCAAAGAACTCGCAAGAGCTAGCGAAGGCCAGGAAAAGAACCAAGGAGCTCGAAGACCAGGCCAAGCAGTCGGCCATGGATCATTCCAATGAGCTGAAAAATGTGCGAACGGCACACCAACAGGACCTTGCACACCTTCAAGCGGCGCGAAAAGATATTCAAAATCTCAAGGCCGACCGAATCGACCCAGCAGAGAATGCAAAGCTGAAGAAGGAACTTTCAGACGTCCAGAAGAAGATCAAGGAGTTCGAGCAAGGTGCACAGAATGACCAACAAAGAATCAAGGAGTTGGAGAAAGGCGTCAAGGACGCCAGTGGAAGGGCTGAATACTTCCAGAAACGTGCCGATGATGCTACCAAGAAGCAATCGGAGACCAATGCCCAGGCACAATCCGAAGTGGGCAAATTCAGGGAGAAACTCTGGGCCTGCGAAATTGAGGTTGAAAGACTCAAGGCAGGCCTCGAGGAAAAGATTGAGGAAGTGGATTCTCTAAGGATGGGCGAGGAGGAAGCCAACCAACGATTGGAGAACCTGCAGCAACGTTTAGAGGGAAGCGAGAAATACGTTGGCCAGCTGGGCACGATATTGACAAAGAAAAGGGCTGAACTCGAAACAGTCAAAGCCCAGCTTACAGCGGCCCAGGGGGAGCTACCCGCAAAGAGAGAACGGCCTCAGCAAGTAGAGGCCGAGTTGAAGGATCTTCGCAAAGACCCTCAACAAAAGAGCGAGGGCCAACAGTCTACCCAGACGGAGCCGAAGGCCAGTGAAGCCGAGGACCCGGCGCCGCCGGAAGTTCCTCCTGAGGCGCCGAAGACGTCGACCGAAGAGTCACGGACAATCGCTGAGCCTGCCGCTGTCGAACAGAATTCAGACACCTCCGACGATTTGTATTCGAATGACTTCCCCAACTTGGAGCGTGACGGACAGACAGCGGCCCAAGAATCAGAGGGGACCGTTTCTGAAACAGCGCAGATAGAAGCGCCTCAACTTGCAACTGGGGATGAAAACAAGACAGATGGTGGAGTGCCGGAGATGACTGTGCCGGAGAAGAGCGGGCAACTTGCAGCAGGCGACCAACCCACAAGCGCCACTATTCGGGAGCAAATTGAACAGCCCTCAGAGGCAGGTGGTGAAAAGCTGAAGGCTTCAGAGTCGGAAAGGGACGAGCAGCTTGCAGCAGATGATAAACCCACAAACGCCACTGTGCCGGAATAAATTGAACAGCCATTGCCTGCCTCAGATGCTCCAGACCGGGATACAAGAGACTGGTCGAAGCACATCTCGCCTGTGGTGGAATGCACTCCTGAAAATAGAGTTCGACGGAACGATATCTTCGAAGCACAAGCGCGCGCCAAAGGAGGCTTACGCATCAGTAAGCATTCCGCACAGGGCCCAGACACAAGAGACTTGTCGAAGCACATCTCGCCTGTGAAGGCATGCGCCCCGGAAGATAGAGTTCGACGGAACGATGTATTCGACGCACAAGCGCGGGCAAAAGGAGGATTAGGCAGTAGTAGATTTGCCTCCGCATCCCAGCCCAAACCAATCCTGGAGGATCTCGAGCTGAAACGTACACGTTCACAACTAATGGCTCCATCCTGGTCTGACCAGGTTGATGCAGAACTTCCCTTGGGGCCTTTCTCAGCTACAATTCCTGGTCCTTCAAGCGGGTGGGGCAAAACACCAACAACCAGCAGTCAACCCCAATCTACACCTGAGAAGTCGAAGTGCACGAAATGTGGGCGGATGGGCCACACAGCGGAGAACTGTTGGCGGTGCACGAAGTGTGACAAGGGTGGCCACAAGACTGAAGATTGCCGGCGGTGCGAAAAGTGTCGCAAGGTTCATGACAAGACAGCAGATTGTCCAGGTCTGAAATCCGCTGCTGCCTCAGGGAGGTCGGCTCCAGTGTCTGACTCTCCCGCAAACGCTGGAACTCATGCCCAGCCACCGGTCACTCGCACTCCGTCTAAACTGAATCCAAATGCCAAATCGTACGAAAAATCAACGTACCCCGAGTGTCCCACCTGCAAAAAAACGAATCATCCAGCGGAGAAATGCTATTTTGCGAAGAAAGGATCCACTGGCTCCTTGATGCCCCCTTCTTCTCAGGGAAAATCCTCAGCGGGCGCTAGCCCACGGCAAGCTTCACCTGCTCCATCTAATACTACGGGTCCAGCTCCAGCACCTCAGAGCACACCGACACCCACTAACGGCCAAGTCGGCCAGGCAGCCGCTCAGCGTCCGCGCGCACCGATAGTGGATACCAACTGGCAAGCGGTTCCTGGGAGTACACCAAAGCCCAAGCCGAAAGCACCGCCCAAAGGAGGAGGCCTAGGCGGAAGCAAGTATTCCAAATGAGCAGTAGGGGTACCAGATACAGGTAGGTAAAGACCGGGTCACCAAGATATTGTTGGCTGGCTTTGGGATAGTTTTTCATTTTAGTGGTAGATGATATTCCCTTTTCGGTCTCATTCGCGTGGGAGGACCCTTGTTTGTTGTTGCGTTCATGTAGTTCGTTATAGTTTGAATCCGGAGCTTTCAGCATTGTGTGACTCAAGTTTATGGTACCTCAATATAGATCAGTGATCTGAGATGGATAATCTGTAGGAGAACGACTTCATGGAAAGGGGATTGTGTGTTACAAGTGGCGCAGTAACCGCCCACTTCAGTGGAGTATTCACAAAAAGAGAACTTAAACCTGAAGTGGTCACCCGCCTGGAGAACATTTCGGATGAGTGCACTGGACAGACGAGCGCGGAAACCCACCGCCTCTGTACACAGCGTGAATGCGTTCTCTGAATACTACTTTGGTGAGTCAGACAGGCCCGTCTAGTGAGCCGCATTCCCGATGATACAATACATTTTCCCTCGTATAGACGGTTTCAATGAATCCCAGAGTTTACACACAATTACCTGAACTACACAGCTGAAGGCCGCCTGGCCCTCAGCCTTCCCAAGGCCTCAACGCTATCGCACACATCCCTGAAGGTATATCTCTGCTCTTCCGTAAGTTCGCCAGTGGTCTCTTCTCCTCCATTATCGAATTGCATATCAGTGGTAAAAGAGAGTCGAGTGTCCAAGCCATAGACGTCCTTGTTAGGGTTGGCAGGAAAGCCGCGCAGCCCGTTCATCATCGCGTAAAGCTCTCGGGAGTCCTCCCTGCAGGGTCGTTAGCAAGGTAAGCAAGAGGCAAAGGGGGAATGAGATGTAAACGTACCTGTCCAAGTGACCCTCGTATACTGTCATATCCTGCATATGTTCCCCACTGCGCTTTGTGACTTTGATTTGAGCATCTCTATTTGGCTCGCCGATGATTTCAATGCGCTTGGAGGGGAAAGTGGCAGCTTGCTAACATTAGCTGACTCGTTTCTTGTGATCACTATAAGTGTTTCTTACCGAATGGTTTCTCTAGAACAACGTTGTACTCGTTATCGATGGTGGGCCGCTGAGGACGGGGAGATGTCGTTCGAGGCATGATTGATGTTCTTTGAGTGGTCTTCAATTCAGTCAAGTTTGATTCTGCCAGGAGATCTGAAAGATGCTATTTGCAGGTATTGCATGTTTATATGGCTCTTACTCGGGATGATATCATCATGGGTGCATTGAGGCGGGGTTTTGGATTCTAGGTGGAGCCGAGTTGCTGTCATTGGCCTACTGTGATAGGGACTGGTACTCTGTACCACCATTCCTTTTACTATTCAAAGCGAACTATTGACCAATCACTGCTCAGACCGGGGTGATGGCTAACTTCACGTGATGTGAGATTCTCTTCTATACATGCTACCATATACTGGCCTACTAGCATCCTTTTGATCCTCAAAACTCGAAAGCAATTTTGTCAGAGAGGATACTGGTGTGGATTCCATCTAAAGTATCAGTTCACTTTCCGGAATTCCCTCTTCGAGCCGCTTACCCGCAACGGCGGATACCCTACTCTCCTGGGATCAGGAAGTTTAGCGTTCTATACAGAGGGAATGGTAATAAAAAGAATCTCACGGGACTCTGAGGTTCTATGGCGTAGAACGCTCATGCGCTGGATACTGTGATTACAGGGTAACCATCTGACGTTGTGCTGGAGGCGATGCGCCAACTTTTCGTACTTAAGGGGTCGACCGCAGCTACACTTAGATTCACCCTTATCTCCATCTTCCCACCACTCCGCTTTCTTCATCCTTTCCCGAAAACCCCAGCTTCCATTCAATCTCTCGCATCATCGCCCGCGCCGATGCCGTCAAATTGGATACGGGAGCGATCGATGCAAAGCCTTGATTAACCGGCAACCGGGTTGTTCGCTCTCTTGGCAGCCATGTCGCGTCGGAAACCACCTGCTCAATGAGGCAGCTCATATGTGCCGTCCCAGTACCCTACTGCCGCTCAATATTCCTACCGGTGTGCGCATAATGATGGCTCCAAGTACTTTAAGGGAACGGTCCGCCATCTGCAGACGCACTGGAGCTCCTTGGTTGCTCTTGTGCAACGTGGTACGTCTTCACTTTCGCACGCGGCGCGCATCGGCTGGGGAAAGATAGATTGGAGCTTGCTTGCTCCCATTTATCTTAAATATCTTTCCATTCCCCCCTCAGCGGCACAGCAACCTTGGGTTTGTGAATTCCCGCGCTGTTCTCGTCATGATGAAATTTCTCACTCTTTTGGCTGCGAGCCTTCCGCTGATTACCGCCATTGACCCTCCACGATTCCCACATCAACCGAAAGGGAATGGGACGAAACGCCTGACGTACAATATTACGACCGACTCACCTGGTCAGTTAACTCCTTCGACGCGCGCCCTTACCTGGATAAGCACGGGCGCGGACGGGGATTATGTCTTCGTTGGCGAGGATGGTTCCTTCATCTTCGAGAACATCGCAACCGGCTCGCAACGGACATTCTTGTCTGCGGATAAGGTACCCGCGGATTACTGGGAGTACTGGATCTCGCCAGACGCCAGCCGCGTGCTCTGGGCTGTGAATTATACGAAGCAGTACCGCCATTCATATTTCGCAGATTACTTGGTCCAAGACGTGGAGACGGGGAACCTGACATCCCTGGTCCCTGGCTCTCAAGGCGACATTCAATATGCAGAATTCAGCCCGGTCTCGTCATCGCAGATTGCATTCGTCCAAGGCAACAACTTGTACGTTTGGAACGATGGACAGATTAAGCAGATCACGAAAAATGGCGGGCCGGATATGTTCAACGCGGTGCCTGACTGGGTGTACGAGGAGGAAACTTTTGGAGACCGCTACACTCTCTGGTATTCTCCTGATGGAAAATACATCGCATTCCTGAGCTTCAATGAGACCGGGGTGGAGACCTTCCGTGTCCCATATTACATGGATGGCAAGAAGGTTGCGCCAGTATACCCACGCGAACTGGAGCTTCGATACCCCAAGGTCGGGACCAAGAATCCTACTGTGCAGTTCAACCTGCTGGATGTTGAGGCTGGTTCGTATGCTACCCTACCAATCGAGGCATTCCCGGAAGACGACCTTGTTGTTGGCGAAGTGGCCTGGGTTACGAAAGAACACGGCAAGGTCCTTTACCGCGCATTCAACCGTGTGCAAGATCACGAAAAGGTGGTCATCGTTGACGTTGCCTCCGGATCCTCCTCTGTTACACGTGAGCGTGACGGCAGCGACGGATGGATCGAAGACAACGTTGTGGTTACTTACATTGGTCCCCTCGGAAACTCGTCCTACAATGGCAACACAGAGTACTACTTGGACCTATCTGACGAAAGCGGGTGGAATCATCTATACCTCTTCCCCGTCAATGGTGGCGAGAAAATTGCTTTGACGTCAGGAGAGTGGGAAGTTTTGTCCATTATTAAGATCGACCGTAAGCGTGGCCTTGTCTACTACACTTCGACCGAGCATCACAGTACGGAGAGCCATCTGTACTCTGTTTCGTTCTCCGGCAAGAAGACACCACTGGTCGATAACACTGTACCAGCTATGTGGACCGCCTCCTTCTCGTCAGGCGGATCGTACTATGTCCTCCGTTACGCTGGTCCGGACGTTCCTTACCAGGAGCTGTACGCCGTAAACTCGACAAAGCCTATTCGCACCATTGTCGATAACAAACGCCTTTACGATACACTCCAGACTTATAACCTGCCCAACATAACCTATCTCGAACTCGCACATCCAGATGGATTCACCCTGGATGCTATGCTGCGCCTCCCACCGGACTTCGACCCCTCCAAGAAGTATCCTATGCTGCTCATTCCCTATGGGGGACCTAACGCTAAGGAAGTCACGAAGACCTTTAGCGCACTGAACTGGAAAGCCTACATTGCGGCAGAACCCGAACTAGAGTACATCACCTTGACCGTCGACAACAGAGGCACTGGGCGCAAAGGCCGCGCTTTCCGCTCAGCGGTTGCATCCAACCTGGGAGATCTTGAAGCGCAGGACCAGATTTGGGCCGCGAAGGAGCTTGCCAAGAATCCTTGGGTGGACAGCAAGCATATTGGAATCTTCGGCTGGTCGTATGGAGGCTATCTCTCCTCCAAGGTCGTGGAGCGCGCTGACCCCATCATCTCGTTCGCTCTCATCACTGCGCCCGTGTCTGACTGGCGCTTTTACGATTCCATCTACACGGAGCGGTACATGAAAACCCCCGATATTAACCCCGAGGGATACAACAAGTCCCGTGTGCACGATACCACGGGTTTCAAGAACATCGCCGGCGGTGTCGTGATCCAGCACGGCACTGGCGACGACAATGTGCACTTCCAGAACTCAGCTGCTCTCGTGGACTTGCTGATGGGAGACCGCGTCACGCCAGAGAAGCTGCAAGCGCAGTGGTTCACTGACTCGGACCACAGCATCGTGTATAACAATGGCGGGAAGTTTCTGTATAGGCAGCTGAGTAAGAAGCTGTACGAGGAGAAGCAGAGGACTGAGGATTCAAGAGGTGGACATCAGTGGAGCAGGAGAGGCGCACATGGTGGTAGCCTTGTGGCGAGGGAAGGGACATGATTGTCGCTTTGATAACGAATGATTTGCTAATATCATAGGTGGCCATGCTGCGATCTTCTGTTGTTCTATTCTAGTAAGCATGCACAGTCGCTGCCAAATAATAAATGTTGGATTCACTCGATACCCTCCGTCCCGCACAATGAAGAGTATGTGCTTTCCGAAGCTTTTGCCTCCCTGGAATGTTGGTCGGTATATGCGAGGTATTACTCTTGCTCAGCAGTGAATTGAAATACACGTGACCGCCATTTCTTGTCCGAGATCATCGAATCGGCCGCATTTACGGATCATTGCTGCTGGAGTATAACTGCGGCGTAGCCCGGCCTTATAGCTACCGGGGAGACGTCGCACTAATTACTGGCGCTCCCACGTCCAAAGACGATAACTGATTGCACTACCTTCCGGATACGGCTAGGAGATTTGCCAAGCCTAGCTTGACTACACCTCAGCCCATACCACAAGGCAAAGACCTCAGTTCTAACATCGCGGAAACAAACCCAATCACCACAATGTCAGGGCCCACGTACAAGTTGTGGATTGGCGGCGAGGAGCGAGAGGGCAATGCAGAGCAGTCAGCTACCCCTCACCACCAACGCATTCGAAGTTATTCCTGATAAGTTACAGAATTCCCATCGAGAATCCCGCAACGGGAGAAATATTTGCACACTGCCATGCGGCCTCCGCCGCCGACGTTGAAGAAGCAGTACAGCTTGCACACAAAACATTCAGATCTGGCGTTTGGTCCAAAGCCCCCCGCCACGTGCGAGCAGATATCCTAGATAAGATTGCTGAGCTTCTGACCGCCAACCTGAAACGGCTCATTGAGCTCGAAGTACGGCAAACGGGCCGGGCCATTCGCGAAATGAATGCTCAGGTGCCCACGTTGGTCAAGTGGTTCAAGTACTACGCCGCGCTCATACGAACGGAAGAGCGTCCTGTGCTACCTACCGTTGGCCAATTACATAATTGGATTGATCGGAAACCTCTCGGAGTCGTTGTCCAGATCACGCCGTTCAATCACCCGCTGCTGATTGCAGTGAAAAAAATAGCACCTGCGCTCGCAGCGGGGAATTCCATCATCTTGAAGCCTAGCGAGCTGACCCCATTGACGTCGTTGGAGCTCGGGAGGTTGATGAAAGAGGCTGGACTGCCGGATGGAGTCTTCTCTGTGTTGCCTGGCTTGGGACCAACGACTGGGAAGGCCCTTGTCGAACATCCCCTCGTGAAGAAAGTGGATGTTACTGGCGGTACTCCAGCAGGAAGAGCCATCGGAGCAATAGCAGGTCGGAATTTGGCTCGCTTTACGGCCGAGCTGGGTGGTAAAGCTCCGCTTCTGGTTTTTGAAAAGGCAAACGTGGATCTCGCTGTCAATGGTATTGCTTTTGGGAGCTTTATCGCTTCTGGTCAAACGTGCGTGGCTGCAACACGCATTATTGTGCAGAATTCTGTACTGGACCAGGTGGTGGAGAAGCTAAAAGCAAAGGCCGAGTCGATTGAGCAACGCATGGGATCTCCAGATAATGCTGAGTCCATGATGGGCCCCTTGGTGTCAGCAAAACAACTGGTGCATGTTCGAGCGTTGGTAGACGATGCGGTCGCCGCGGGAGTAAGAGTTATTACTGGTGGTGCAAGAATGACAGGCTCCTCTCCGCTGGATAGGACCGACTTCTCGAGAGGGTATTACTACCCTCCAACCATTCTCGTTGATGGCCCGTCCGCGAAGATTGTAGATACGCGGCTATGGAAAGAAGAAGCCTTTGGTCCGGTCATCGTTGTAGTTGGGTTTGACGCGGAGGATCAAGCTCTAACGTTGGCAAACGATTCCGAATTCGGTCTCGGTGCGGCCGTTTGGACGCAAGATCTTTCGCAGGCTTTTCGTGTGTCTGAGGGCATCGAAGCCGGAATCTGTTGGGGTATTGTTCAGATCGAAGATGTCTGAGAAGTCTGTCACTGATGATTCACAGTGAATACACACCACAGAAATGATCCGAGTAGCCCATGGGGCGGTCTCAAAAGCTCGGGTGTCGGGAGCGAGAATGGAGTTGGTGAGTCATGATTCGTTGTTCACTGAATGAAACTGACAAGAACCACTCCAGATGCATACCATGCCTACACTACGACGAAGAGCACTATCATCAATTACGCGAGTGCACATGATAGTCTTGCAAGCGATGACTGGTTCAGGGAAGGCTCCGGAACAGTTCGCTACGGGTAAAGCTGGACTGAGAGGGCCATTTCATGGCCTCTCACCAGTATTTGTTAGGTCCAACACGGTTCTGATGTGGCCATGTTCAAGCGAATCTGGCTCTGAATGAGGACTCGGGCTGGGTGGCCTTTACGAAACGTGCTGGGGAGTTGAGTCACGATTTCACCAGTTACGATCTATTAATTGGTTAGTGTCCGTTACGTTAAACCTCTCCCTTCATTTTGTCGGGCGGCCTTTCCGGGGCGTGGCCAAGCACTATAGAGCTTCAATAGAGATCCCGGAAACAATGACAATCTCCCATCTAGCAGGGGGCCGGGGAAGGTCCTTAGTATTGCGTTTGCACCTCGCGCATGTGCGTGGTAGGCATCTGCCCAAGTGATACCTAGGCACCGAAAGGCGGAAGGACCTCCAACGGGCCACCTCATGTTCCTGATTCCCGAGAACTTGAAGTTGGCGGTCACCTCATATTACAAGCACATTCCTTGACCGCTCCAAGCTAGTCCGTTACTTAATACAACCGCAAATGCAAAACCGACCCGCTCCAGCATTCTGTCCAGATCCTTTTATTGTGCAAGTAGCAATGCTTGACACTTCGAGGCCTGACAGTCTCAAATGAGGCCACCGGATCGAGGTTCTGTTTCGCATCACAGGGATTTGACTGCGACTTCTCAAGGCTGTAACTTGCTTCCTTCCCAGAATTTGCTCCTTGGGACGTTCACGTCTTGGGGTTCAGCCCGGTGCCCACTACTCTCATGTTGGGATATCCGGTCGACATCGATCTCACCCTGATGAATATTCCGCCAGTAAGTAGACGGCCCAAAGTACTACACCAGCAGGAGCTAACCGCACATCAAGTGGGTTGCTGGCATTACTCTTGCCATCGCCTTCTGCGTCACCCTCTTCTGCCTCCGCTCCCTCAAGATAGCTCGAAGGCGAAAGGATTTCTACCCTGGGTACCGTAAGAAGGAGATCGGCTCCGGAATCAGAGAGGTGTCCAAGCTCATGGCGGCCCATCACACCCCAGCGAACATTTCATCAACCACCGACGATTCTGGCCCTGGCACCCCACCCTCCTCTATTGAGCCACTTGTCGAACCGCTTTGCTCCAAACCTCTGGTCCACCTGAAAGCCTACTTGGACAAACAAACCCACTTGCACGTTCTCCAACACTTCTGCGGTAAACCGCTACCCCACGCTCCAAGCAACCTCAACGACGCAGTCTTCGTCGGCCTCGGCATGGAGTGGTTCGAGAGAAAGCCCAATCCCATCACTGAAATCGGCCTGGCCGTCATGCCTGCTTCAGCGCTCATCTCGTACTCACAAGCCCCAGAAGGCTTATTCCTCGATCTCCTGCAGCATATTTCAGTGTTTCACTGCCATATAATAGAGACGTGCCATCTCGTCAATCAAATCCTCGCCCCAGATGCGTCGGACAATTTCCAGTTTGGCAAAAGCCGCTACACGACGCACAAGGAAGCGCAGCAGGTGTTGAAATCGATACTTACCAGTCACACTTACCCCGACGGAACCCCACGCCCCGTCATCCTCCTCGGCCACGGCCTGCGCGAGGACAAAGCTAAGCTGAGGAAGGAAATGGGCATCGATGTGGACACACTTGAGAATGTGGTCTTCATCATGGAGACCCGACCTCTCGCCGTGGAGGCGAACTTGATCGAGAATAATGGAGGGAAGCTCAGTGATTTGGTCACGGGGTTTGGCATTACACCGGTGCATCTCCACAACGCGTGGAATGACATCGCCAATGCTACAATTCTCGCACTCCTCATCGGCTTCAAGGAGAGACTGTTTCCGGAACCACGATGGAAACAGTGGTTGCCAGTGAGACCTCTGCTCTCTCTCCTTGCCAAATTCAAGGACCAATTCTTTCCTCCTGAAGGGAAAAAGAAGAACCGGTTTCCAGCGAACCCGACGATTGACGTTATCCCAACCGACGACATTATGAGATCCTTCCAGCAGGTTTGCAAGTCCAAGCATCCTCCTCCCTGGGGAATCCCATCGTTCTGCTACCGCTGCGAAGCCACAACCCACACGAGGATGAAATGCACCGCCGTCATCGAACAACCCTGCACACTCTGTCTGGCGGCCCAAGGACCGCGGAACAAGGGAATCAGGGCGAAGGCGAAACAGCATCGCGCGGAGAGATGCGGGTGGTCGGCTTATATCAGGTATGAGGATCCGCCGGATTGGGTGAGGACGCTGAGTAGGGTTCAAAGGAAGGAGTTTCAGATTGCCAAGAGTAGTGAGGATTATGAGACACTGGGGAGGCTGGTGTGCGCGGCGTATCCGAGGCCAATGAGGGATGAGAGCTTGGAAGACGAGGAGGGGGAGGCTCTCGCGATTGGGGCTTCTGAATCGCCGGAGGAGCGGGCGCAGGAGAGCAATGGGCGCTTGGATGACGACAACAACGCCGAGGAGAACCTTGCTATGCGCGGTTTTGGATCCCCGCGTGAGAGCGCTGATTCCAATTGCGTCGACGGGCACGAACGATATTAAAGACAAGGGAAAGCGTTTCAAAGGGAAGGATGTTCGAACCCGCAGTGTTAATGAGCGCGCTCATGGTGTCCAGGTACGCCGCCCAACGGTCATGAACACATCGTCGAGTTGCACTCTGTGGGAGAGCGCCACGATCAATAACTCGAGCGGACTGGCGTGATGGGCGTCAAGCTGACTTTGAGCGACGAGCTCTCCATCGCTGAGGAGTATCGCCAGGCAATCGAGCAGGTGTCCGCAGGTTACCGAGCGATAATACTCGCGATCTTTAAATGACCATGCGAGATCACTGATGTTCGGCTTATATGTTGCATATTTTGGCTGCGAAGGATGGAATTTTCGGGTTACATAGGTTTTGGTACCGAGGAGACACACCTCGCCTTAGGCGGAAACTGTGAGTTTATATCTGGAGGGAATATGGTTCTCTGTATGATTGGCTACATACGGGTGTTAATCTGGAAGTCCATTATACATAGTCATAAAGCCATGATTGTATTGCCTGAGTGAGAGTCTTAGCCAGCTACATAGAGACACCAGTATACCCGCATGCATTTCTCCCTCCTCTAATCCCAATCCGAGGGCTTAGAAGTCCTTTAGAAAACCCGCATGTAAAGTAGTATGAACCAATGAATCCGAAAAGAGAAAATCATCACCTCAAAGCCCAAGATCGAGTAGATCATCGACACTCCAACTCGACCGTACCAACCTAGCATCCACCAAGCGCACCGCCATCCACGCTTTTACCATTACCACCCTTCTGGCAATCCCCACTTGTTATCAGCAGGTGCCTTCGAACGATCCCTCAAAATCCTCTCTTTCTCCATCTCAATCCTGCTCTCCGATGTCATGATACCGCACTTTATCCTGGCTTCAAATAAATCGAACTCCCTTCTCGCATCCGCCATCATCCTTTCTCCCCTAATGATATCATCACGGAGGGCGGAAATCGACTCTGGTTCGTTCTCGGTGTCATTTCTCGCGCTGTTCTCATCCGTCCACTTGTCGTGAATGAATGAAAGCGCAGCAGCGAAGGAGGTCAATGACTGAAGAGGGTCGATCGCCTGAATGCCGGAGTGCGCGTCACGGAATTTAGTGTCTTTCTCCGCCGTTGTGGTTTTGCTGGGAACGCTGGAGGAGCTCGGAGTCGGCATATGCGAACCTTTCACGATTAGTATACACGTTAAACTTGGAGGATTCAAGGATTCTTACCAGTTTCAGAAGAAGATTCGTCGTCAGTGGAGCCAAAATCCTCGGGAAAGGCTGAAGAGTTGCGACCGCTCATAGGAGTCGATGATCCGGCGCAGGAAGCTTCTGATAGCGCACCGAGTGATTTCCCGTGGTTGGTTGCACTAGCTTTCACATCCCTAGCGGAGGCTGTAGAGTTACCATCCTCACTAGGAGTCGTGATGGGAAAGCAGGGCCACAGATTGAACGATGGTATGCCGAGGTCATTTGCAGGCTTCTCCACGTTCCAAGTGACGGAATTCGCAGCACTGCCTTTGAACGAACTGACATCTCCCCAGCCGGAATAGCCGTTGACGCGGCCGGGTCCGGGTTCGACATCTTCCTCGTCATTCTCAGGCCTATTGGGGGCGTGGGAAGGAGCACGCGACCTCTCGGAGCAAGCAACGTTCGTATTGTCGGTCTTGTTGCCTCGGGCGGATATGGGGCAGTCTTCGCTGGAATGACTGTGGTTCCAACAGTATACACAATAGGGGTCGTGCTTGACAGGTCGCTCCTTAGGGACAGCATCCCAAGTGGATTGGTGGAGGCGACTCTCTGTAGGCGTAAAGAGACGTTTGGATGCGGTTTCGTGAGGCTTGACTGCCGGTTTGGGAGTTGTGGCGGCAGTTTTCCATCCCCACGTGTCATAGTCGGACTTTGCTGACGGCTTGGGAGTAGTGGACCGAGACTCTGGTATATTGGACTTGCCACCGGTGGTACTCTCAGCGTGGCTTTCACAAAGCTGGAAAGGGTATTGGTGTGTATGGAATCTAACGCGAATATCGAAGACGGGGTAAACTACAGAAGAATGGCCAGACGAGCCGCAATAACAGCATGCCACTTTTTTCTGCTCATCCTCCGCGGATTGATCGTGCTTAGCATGTCCGTGATCGATGTTCGATGCAGTTTGCTTCATGGCTTGAGCAGGTGGTGTGCAATGTGGACGGCTCAAATGATGGGGACGAGTGACAGGATGAATGTAGCCGTAAATGTCCCAAGGATGTGGATAATACGCACCCGCCATACCTCCAAAGCCATAGCCCAACAGCGGGTGTGGTAGGCCCCACGGGTAGCCGTACAGAGGCGGCATGGATCCGTAGGTTGCGGCTAAGCTGCTCATCCTCCCCGGAAGATGAGAGTAGTTGGTGGGGACGGGCGGACGGATCGAAGAGCGGTTTTTGGTAGACTGTTGACGAGAAGATGGTGCATTGTCTGCTCCGCGTTGTTTTACCTCTGTCGAGGTACCGTGAACGTTGGCACTCTGTTCCAGGTGGGCGCGTTCCCACTGGGCGGCCGACGTGTCGCAATCTTCGAAATCGTGATCGGGATCATTACAAACAGGACAAGCCTTTTTCTTCTGACGTTGACCGTGAAGAGACAGTTCAGGTTCCGCTAGATGCTTCTTCGTTTTCGGTGGGTGGTTGGGAACTTCACTCGTCTCAGTAGCGCGAATACTCTCTCTGAGGGAACGACCAAACACGCTCTGAATATCTTTCTCCGTCACTTCTTCGGCGTGCCTCTGTTTCTTACGTGCTTCGCGAGGTTCTTTCGTCCACAGCATATCAGGGCAAGCCCGGTTAGCGTGATCCACCATGCCGCAATCGAAACAGGGAACCACCTCTTTAGGACAGGCGTCTCTACGGTGACCCTTCTCTCCACACCTGTCGCAGGTGATGGTAGCCATGCAGTCTTTCTCGTCGGGAGGGTGGACTTTGCCACACTTTTGGCACCGCCGGCAATCTTCCATCTTGTGCCCGCCTTTTCCACACTTTCCGCATCGCCAACAGTTCTCTGCGGTGTGTTTCCCCTTGCCGCAGTTCTCGCATTTCGCGTCTTCTGGCACAGGTTGCGATCGCTTGTTGGAGATCGGAGCAGCATGTTTGGTGTCGCGGTGACTGAGAAGCAGAGTGTTAGCACGTGGACAATCTGGAAAATGTTGGTATCGAAAAAGCGAAACATACCGGGTCTGGCCAGCCGTAGCTGCATCCGTATTGCCTTTGGAATCGCAAGCCAGGCTTCGTGGTTCAGATTTCCCGTTGACCTGCGGTGCAGCTGGAACATCGCGCTTGCGCTCTGCTTTGCCATCCGCACGGTTCCATGTATCTCCGTCACTGTTGAGCCTGCTGGTCACGGATGTAGCTCCCGGGTTCTTGTTGTCTTTCTTATCCTGCTGTGTCTCTGAGCGCTGGCGGTCACAACCCTTTCCGCCACAATCCAGGCCCCAGCACCATGAGCATCCCGATCCCCACACATCACCGGTCCTCGAATGCACTTCCCCACTGTTTTCGACCCGTTTCGATGAGTTGCGTGCCGCGGAGGGCCCTGGAAAGGTCTCCTTATCATGCTTCGTGTTGTCCGTCTTGCTCTGCTGTTCCTTTGAGCGCGTACTGTCAAAGCGAGATTCCGAGTCTCCGTTGGAAGGCCATCCGTAGTCTTTCGGACAAGACCCATCCAAGGCTCCGCTGCAGCTAAACTCACCGCAAGAGGGGCAACTTGGAGGTTCGCAACTTGGAGGTTCCCACTCGGTCTGGTGCTTGGGTGACCAAGGTAACGGGTTTCCAAGGGTAATCTTCCTTCCTTTTCAACTTAGGACCCGCCTTTCCCTTCACGTTCGAAGCTTCTTCAGCGTGACTCTTCTCACTTCCCTGCCCATCTTGCTCTTGCTCCCGGCGCCTCCTCTCACAGTCCCGCCCCCCGCAACTCCCAAACGCCCAACCAGAACAAACACAACCAGCCTCGCTCGCACCGTCTGCAGAGTGGGACATGCATTCCCAGTCTGCGGCGCTGACCATTTTCTCCGGCTTCACCTCATCTTCATCGCCGGATTCGCTGTGACGAGTTTTGATCGTGTCGTGCCGGGTTTCCCAAGGTTTGCATGACGCGCAGCCGCATCCGCTATCCAAGGGCGGAGAGGTTAGCATGGGTGAGAGATGTGCGGATTTGGGGTAAAAGGGGACTCACCTTCCCAGGGTTCTGGAGCCAGACGGAGGTGGCATCTTGCCGTACGCTCGCTCCGGAACCTTGGTCGAAGAAAACTGCTCAGAGAAGGTACTGTTGCTGGATTCTGGAAGGCAGGATTGTAGGTTTAGACTTCAATGAAAGAGGGATCGAGAGCTGGGATCGAAGTGGAGGCAGGAGTGGTGTCAAGTTAAAGTAAGTGTAGGGTGAGAAAGAGAGAAGGACACTCTCAAGAAGAACTCTCTTTATAAGGCCCCATTACCTCCAGGCCGGCCCGGAAGAGCTCCGCCCCGCCCCCCGGAACAGCGGTGAAAGCTTACAACCCGCGTGCCTCCGATGCTCCGACCCAAGACTTGAGAAGGCCAGGCACACTCGGCACGTGCGCGAAGCGTTCAGTACCTCACTTCTCCCTCTCCTAGCGGTATGTAGACAGGGGATGTCAAAGCCACGATGGCATTCAATAGATCTCTCCTTATTCTTTGTAAAAAGAAACAGCAATGTAGGAATGTTCCGTTCATAGGTTTCAAGGGGTAAAAAACAGCGTTTGCAGAGAGGGGGAAGCGGGATACGCGGAGGACCTTCATGGAGACAAAAAGTACGGTTCCGGAGCAGAGATAGTTTCCTTCAGGACTTTTGAATTCCAATAGACGACCATTTCTCAGTGTTGGTGTTAGTGATGGGATTCACTAAAGCTCGCAGTATTTTTTGGAAAAGAAAGACGCAAAAGGACGAATGTCCAGCAGATAAGTTACCGGGGACAAACGGTACTGTTTGCGCTAGACGTCAGCGGGATCCGTGGCATTCAGGAATCAATAGAGAAAGTTGGAAACATACAGCCCTTGGGGTAAATAACCGCCCTCAAGCCCTTTCAACTTCCCGCTAAACTACCATTCTCCAGAGTTAGACTTTCAAGGAAAGGAAAGATTAACTTCCTATATCTCCTGTCACGTCCAGGCAAATACGGAACAACTAGCCACCACACCCGCCCCCGCCCGCTAAACGAACGAATGGAGTCCGTGGAATAAGGCATTGGATTGACTACGAGTGCCATGCCCGACGAGAAGAAGCTATGAATGCTTCAGTCACGGTGCCTTCCCATCTCCAGATGATATGGCAGTGTGCCCAACAGTATCGCCGGCCAAGCGCACGGGCCTTGCGTGAATTGCTCCACCACGTGATTTCTCCGATCAAGACATAACTTTTGAACAAAATTGAAGTCTGGTACTGTGATTGAGCCAGACATGAGTGATTGCTTATTTCCAATCCACATGCAAATCCACTACCACCTCCTCACACAAACATACAAAACACCATAAGCCTGAAGAACCCTAGGCATTTGAACAGATTACAATTGGTAACTAGAATCTACACCTCATCACATCATCGCATCATCGCCCGTCACCTGTGCTACCATATAGTCTAAATAGCATTATGCCCCTGCCCACAAGGCGCCGCATGCGTCCCATGCACATGCGCCCCATCCCCATTCCTCGTCTGATATCGATGAATCTCCGCATCCCGCTTCCTCACCGCCAGATTCGGCTTGGGGATCCCCTTGAAATCAACTGCGTACTTGGCCACCGAATTGGCGATGCTCTGCGCATTAAGCAGATACGCCTCGTGCGAGAGATTGTTGATGTCGTCGCACTTCTTGTGGTAGCAGTGGTCGAGCGGTTCGCCGGCCTTGCCGCCGAACAGCTGCGCCTCCTCCTCGGTCTTGATTTCCTCGGCGCCCGTGAAGAGGCCGCCCGAGGGGATGCCGTTTTCCAGGAACGCGGCGTAGTCGGAGCGGCCGCTGAAGATGGAGGGGACGTAGGGTTTGCCCTTGGAGGTGAAGAAGTCCTGGAAGTCCTTCTCGATGGTGTTGGAGCCGAGGGGCCCCGTGAAGTTGAAGGCGCTGCCGTCGCCGTCGTAGATGCCCAGGACGTAGTTGGGCGAGGCGATCATGTCGAAGTTGAGGTAGGCGCGGATCTTGGCGGCTTCCTTGGGGCTGCCGCTGATGGTGCCGTTGATCGACTTGAGGTAGTAGTTGGAGCCCAGCTTGCCGAACTCCTCGGCACCCCAGAAGCCGAGACGGACGGCGTTCTTGACTTTGAATTTGGTCAGGGCTTTGGCGACTACGAGGGTGCCGATAGATCCGGACCCGTCGTCGTTGATACCGGGGCCGGCAAAGACCGAGTCGGTGTGACCTCCAATCATAAGGACATTGTTGTGGTCGCCCTCCTTCGTCTCAGCGATGACGTTGTAGTTGGTTCGGTTCTCCTGAATGGCGTTGACGACGATCTTGGCAACGGTCTCACCGGCCTGAACCTTTGCAAGAAGGGACTGGCCGATCTCGCCGCTGACACCAATGGTAGGAGCATAGTCTCCAGTTCCACCAAGGGTGCCGGAAAGGGTACCATTGATGTTGTTGTAGATGACGGCTCCCGCGGCACCAGCTGCCTTTGCGTTCAGGGCCTTCTGTTGGAAGGTACACTCTCCACGCTTGATGAGGGCAACATTGCCAGCAACTGCAGCAGGGTAATCCGATGCATTGCAACCGATGTTGTTGACAAGGACAAATGGTGCCGTGACGTTGCCAGATGGACCATAGGTCATGTACTCGCCAGTAAAGGGCTCCCCGTTGGCCGAGGATTCGACAGTAGCGGCAGTGAAGAGCTCGACGAATGGCTGCTTGTAGACATTGTAGTAGCCGGTCTTCTTGAGCTCATTGTAGAGATAATCCACGGTAGCATTGTGTCCTCCTCCTCCGAAAGCGCGGTTGCCACCGTTGGCATTAGCGAAGTCCTGCAGCTTCTGCGAACCAGCAAGCAAATCCTTCAGAGTGATGAGCTTCTGGAGCTGGGCCGACGACACCAATGGCTTTCCCTTTCCCGGGCCATGGCCGTATCCGTCCCCAGGGCCACCTGCGGCAGAAGTTGAGGCGGCGAGCGCCGTGACGGCCAGAATTGACGCGGACTTCATGATTGACGAGAAAGAAACCAAGCCAAGCGGGGTGAGAAGGAAAGGAAAGGAAAAGACGGATCACGGTGGGCATACGAGCCCTCATATATTGCCCAGGACTTGGATGGCATCATTATAGAGCATTAAGCCGCTAGTCCAATTCGGGCAGCTGGTAATGTTCCTACCAAGGGAGAGCGGGACACAGGAACGAGACGCCAGGGGAAATACAGCCACTCCCTTGGCATGGCCGAGCCCCATGGAAGCACAACCTTTGAACGGAAGGCGAGGAAACAGAGCGGAAGATGGAAGAATCCGCTGTTCGGTCGTGCAGCTCCGTTCGGTAAGGCTGACCATGATTGGAACTGGGGACGCCGATGCCAAGTTCTGGGCCGGTATGCCTTGCGATCCTAGATATTGCTACCCGCCTACCCATGTTTGTTGCCACGGAGGAATTGAGGGTGTTGAACGTTCTAGGCCAGCTGAGGCCTCCGCAATATTGCATACACGAGAAGGAGTGGCGCGGCGGATTTCTAGAGGAGGAAGGCTGTTGTCCGCACGTCGTGAAATAATCGACCTGACCGGTTGATGTAGCGGTAACGGCTGAGGAGGCGTGAGGAGGCGGAAGGGGATCGACGTGTACTCCACAGTAGGCAAGCTCCCGTCCGGAGGCTGATAAGCTAGTCCAAGTCGGGCAGGTGCCAAGGCACGCGGCTTACACTTATTTTGACCCCCTCTCTTGCAAGGGAGGCGAGTATCAAGACCACACGGTTCCGAAGGCGGTGTTAGGATATTTCAACGAGGAGATAAAGTGGAGGATCGCATGAGCTGGAAAAGCGATCCAGAAAATTGCATTATTAAACTCCACCTTTCTCCGTCCACTCCTTAGTATGATGCGTCTAGAAGTCCAGTTTACAGCTTGTCGAATCCAGCCTTGAGCTTCACGATAAAAGCACCCCTCTCCATGGTGTTGACCAGGATGTAGCCGCTCTTGAACAGAGCATAACTGCTCCACGTCCCCACAAAGTCGACGCTCCCTCCGCCAGGCGCATTGTCGTCTTCGGGATAGATGTCGAAGAAACCGACCTCCTTGACACCCTTGCCGGTAGGGTCTGACGGAATCGATCGCACGTCGAGGACGCGGAAGCCAGTGCCGTAGTTGGATTGATAAGCGAAGCCATTCGCAACGTACTGGTTGTGGTCAATACCCTTCGCTTCAGACTTGTATAGACCGGTTTGCCTGGGCTTCGTCAAGTCGCTGATGTCCCAAATGTAGGTGATCGGGTTGCCAGGAATCCCAGGGCCAACTTTGTCGTACTCATCATATTCATCGTCCAGGAGCAGGTATTGCTGGTTCTCCGGGTCCAGGACAGCGCCTTGGTGGGTGTATGCCGCACCCTCATAGGACGTGATGGAGAGAATTTCAGGATTCTTCTTGTCGGTGATGTCGTAGATGGTAAGTGTATCCTCGTTGTATCCGTAGCAGATCTCACGACCAGTGTACCGGGTGTCTGGGCCCTTGTAGAACAAGCACTGCGCGTCGTGGACATACCCGTCAGCGGACGCACAACCCGGGCTGGTGGGGTTAGAAGGATCGGAGATGTCGATGAAGATGATGCCAGATCTGCAGGTGTGGTTCCTCGGCGCTGCACCAACGGAGTAGATGAAGTTGCCAGCAGGATTCGTCACCACGTTGTGAGTCCTGCCGATGGGAAGGCCATTGTAGTGGCCTGCGAGATCTTTGTCGTTCGAAAACGTGACCGGGTTGGCAGGGTCAACCGTGAGCAGCTGTAGGGAATGTCAACGCCGGCACGAAGTAGGCTGATTTTGGGGTAAGGCGAACCTTCGTCATATCGAATATCTGAATGCCATGTTTCTCTGCCTCACTGCCAATAATCATGAGGTTGTTGTGACCACGAATCTCGCGCCAATTGCTGGGAACCGAGAATTGCGGCAGCCTTCCAAGGTAGATCAGCTTGCCCTCTTTCGAGATCTCAGCAAATGCTGTTCCGTCCGACTGCCCGATGGCGACGAACTCTCGTCCATCGTCCGAGGTCCATCCCCACGATGAGGAACCAAATCCCCGCGTACTCCCGAGCGCAGAGTGCGGAAGGAAGTGGTAGAGATCAATCTGCAGGAAGGTGAGCGAGGTTACCTTTAGTTGTTAGTAGGGGAGTGTACATTGTTGCACCTGAATGTGTCCTTGTCGCTGACGGCGGTGCCGTTGGTGCATGGGATAAAGTCCAGTTCAGCGTACTGCGAAGACTCGTATTTCCCCGCAGCCCTCTGTCGAGCGAACGTCTCCTGGGAGGCGTTAGTGCCAAGCTCGGAGAGATGTGGGAGTGCGGCGTAGTACATACCCGCTTCAAGGCGATATTGTTTGCATGTCTGATGCCGGAATCGTACAGCTTGGCCGCCTTTACTTCGTCCTTAGCAACCTCGCGTGCTCCAGCGATGGCGGCAAGGGAAAGTAGAGCAGTAGACAGAATCATGGCTGAGGCCTTCTATCGGAGAGTTTGCGATGGAGGGGCGAGTGAGCAAGTTCGCCCACGTCTACTGCTTTATACACCCTCTGGTTTGCCAGGAGCCATGCCCATTCTTGCCTTGACGCCTGCTCGCATGGCTGTTCCGGCAGGTAGAGAGCCATTCCTTCCTCTTTTCGGTCACCTCGCCCCGGAATACCACGAGCACCCGAGTGGTCGCAGCAGGTTCATGGGTGTAGCCGGCGTCGTCGTAGATTGAGTCTTGATGGCGAAACCGCGTGAGACATTGGCCCGGATAGATTAAGGAAAGCTTATGCCGGTGCTCAAGGAGCTCAAATGGGAAGGAGAGGCAATAAGCATTCCTTGGCACACAGCGATCCCCTACCCTTACCCTCGTTCCAGCAGGAGACGGAAGTGCCGAGCAGGTCAGCGATGCAGATCTGCCTTATGGAAGGTGACATTACCAGTACTCCGTAGTCCGTACAGCACCTCCGTAACAGTTCAATTCCGACGCCTCGATATTCTTCGCCACGTTAAGAAAAAAGCGGTCGCTTCCAATTGTGAAACGTAAAACTCGCCACCGTCCAGCTTCCACAGCAGATAGTCTACCGCATGGCCGTCCGACGTGAGACAGTAACCGCCGGTTCGCCATGCACAAGCGGAAGGTCAGCCTTTTCGGTGCAAGGCAGTCTTATCATGCAGTAGCAGAAATGAGGGTGAGCAATATATGAAGTCGCGATAACGCCATCTCATGGAACTGTTGACAAAGCGATGGTGCGAGGGGACGTTAATAAGGGCAGAGCTCGAAGAAGCAGGCGGCTCCGGAGAATTGGACGGCGGGTGCGGAGAAAGGATCATGAATGGCGGAGGGCAAGGCGCGGATAACGACATGGGGAGGTAGATGGCTCCGTTCAACTGAAGCTGTGATGGAGGGAGGGAGGTGGGATAGAGAAATGACACGACAGTGTGGGAGGGGACATTTGGCCAATTGGGGGTGTCGATGTGTCTATCCGTTACGCTAATCCACTTTGAGCACCCATAGTAACCACAGCCCTGCCATAGCGACATTAATGCTAGTAGTCCACTGGTGGGGTATAAAGGTACACAGAGCGAACGGCATGCAGACAATGTGGAACTGCGAAAACTGACATAGATGAGGATCCTGGCGCTAAGATTAGAGGCTGCTTGAAGCAGAGTACGTTCACGTTTGGCTAAGTTGTTTGATCAGGAGGTTCATATTGTGCTGCTCCAACTTTCGAAGTTGGTAATCAGAGATTAAATCTTAGTCTGTCATGCAGTCATATCTTCGTCTCTATGTTATGTCCTCATCATGAAGTTTGACCTTCCAGGGGCAATGCAAAGATTACCACCGTGGGGCATGTCGTCGGCCGCGTCTACAACTTGGCCTCGACCTTCTTCAAGCAGTCCTGGAACTCTTTCCAGTCGTACATGACAGCGGCAGCCTTGGTCTCCTCGGTGAGCAGCTTGGCCATGTCGTTCATCTTCTTCTCGTCGTCCTCAATGCCGTAGATGCCGACGTAGGCGATGCACGGAATGCCCGCACGCATGGCGGCCGTGGCACCACTCTTGGAGTCCTCGACAGTCACAGTCTCTTCAGGCTTGACGCCGAGCTCCTTGCAAGCATAGATGTAGATGGCGGGATCCGGCTTCGAGCTCGGGGGGTTGAGCGAGGTGGCAGCAGAGTAGACATGCTCTGGGGGGAAGAACTGGTCCAGCTTGGCCTTCTCGAGAGACGCCACAACACGGCTCTTGGCGGAGGTGCTGACGACGGCCATTGGGTAGCCCTGCTCCTTGAGCTTGGTGAGGGCTTCGGTGACGCCAGGGCACTCGACGGCCTTCTCGCTGAGCTTCTTGGTGACGGCACCGAGCTCTCGCTGCACAAAGTCTTCAAGCTCCTCTTCGGTCATGGTGAAGTTGTGCTTCTGTTGCAGACCCTTGAGCATGCCGCGGAAGTTGTGGCCGACGAAGTCCTCGAGGAGCTGATCGGTGGTGTAGCGGACCTCCTTGCCATGCTTCTCGAGCACCTCATTAGTCAATTCGGCGCAGGCTTCGAAGGCGAGGCGCTCCGACTGTACGAGAGTGTTGTCGCAGTCGAGCAGGATGTATTTGACCTGGGGTGATGGTTAGCGTATTGCGGGGTATGGTGGGGCCGTAGATAGATTGTGGCACTCACTTTACCCATTGTGGTGAGAACGGGAGTGATGAGAACTGGAAGCTGGTCGAGAAGCGATTGAAGGTTGTTGGAGAGGGTAAGTGAGTGAAGTTAGGAGGCCAGCGAGAGGTATTTATCGAAGGGAATGGGGTGAGATTGTGTGGGGTTGCAAGTCGTTGAGGGAGAGCAAGAAAGGTTCCAGGAATATGAGCTGGCAGGTTCAAAAGGTGTTGGGGCGCTCGGGCCCGGCCACTTCAACAGGCAACCCCACCCCTGGCGCGTCGGTGGCGGCACGGAAGCCACGACCCGCCCACTACCTTCCCCCGCGTCCTGTGATTGGCTGATGGGCACGTTTTCAAAGAAAAGGCCGCACCTGGGCAGGGCAACTGTATTACATAATATGGAGCCAGGAACTGCAGACTTCCATTCACAGCCAACGTCTCCTTGAACTGTTCTGAAGGTATCACTTTGTGTTGGTTCCTGGGGCGACAAAGCAATGATCTCGCTCTGTCTCCCTCAACATTCACCGACTACGATCTCTCGCCTGGCTGATCCCACGCCTCCCACCACGACACGGGCCGTGTGCTTCCTTTTGCTCTGCGCCGCATTGTCACACAAGCTCACCGCCGCCGTATCTGCGCATGCACAGTCCCTTGCAGCGTTCTAGAGTCATGAACCGCGATCAGTTGACCTCGACCTCTCGCTTGCAGAGCGTCAGAGCGGGCTTGCGTGGGCAACGCCAGGTTGACCGTTGACGCGAGGTTTTACACCACGTTCCATATATCTCTTCCGATAGCGTAAATCCATTTCTTGCTCATATCCAATGGCGCCGCGTTATTTGCGCCGATTGAACGACCCTGCGCGTCCGGGTACCCGCACAAGACATGACGCCACAAGCTTTCAATTGTTGATGTTGATCCTACAATCAGAGCTGCGGTGAGGGTGACTTACAGGTTTAGCCGAGAGCAGGGCTAGAGATGCCTATCCGTCTACCATCGAATATGTAGTAATGCAGCATCGCTTCAACGGTAGGATTATGTGGACTAGTGATCGAATCACAGGCGACTTTTTGGTCCCGAAACCTCCGGTCTCCACATTCTGTTCAGCAGCCTCGAGGCGTTGACCATCTCAGGTCGGACCTGGTCCAGAGAAGTAATGCCCAACAATCCCATACCGATTTGGAGCTCATCAGCAAGAACTACAAAGTTAGCTCTACCCACTGCTCGGGAACCAGTCACACTTACTGTCAACACATCTTTCCACTCCCTTCGACCCGTACGCAGCAAGCGCATACAGAAACGGTCTTCCAACTCCCACCGCTGTCGCTCCGAGACATAGCGCTTTGAGGACATCTGTTCCATCGCGCAATCCGCCATCCACATATATCTCGAGCTTCCCGATGATCTCAGGACAATATGTTCGAATCTCGAGCAGAGTCATCAATGCGCTCGGTGCGCTGTGCAACTGTCGTCCGCCGTGGTTGCTGAGCAATATGCCGGCACAGCCGTATTCCAGAGCCAGCTTCGCGTCCTCGGCACATTGAATCCCCTTCAAGACGATGGGACCCTTCCATTCTTTCTTAATCCATGCAAGATCCTCCCACGTGGTGTGCGGGCTGAGAAAACCGCCTACAACGCGGCCCCCGATTGATGGTACCAGTGGATTCTCGTGACCAGCTTCCCAAGCCGCAGTTGGCTCCTCCTCCACCCCGACAGCCAGAGCCTCCTCAGCCTGCAACACGCGGTCCGCAGTCCGTTTACCAAGTACGGGGGTGTCGACCGTAATCCACAGCGCTTTGTAGCCAGCCCTCTTGACCCGATGTAGCAGGTCGATAGCTCTGTTCCGGTCCGCGGGCATGTAGAACTGGAAAAAGAGCTTCGATGGGCTCGCATCATTCAGCCTATGCTGCTCCGCTACGTAGCTCTCCATAATGGCTTCATTCTGCTTCGTGCTGGCCGTACTTATGACAAGATGGCAGCCCTTTCGCACTCCGCCCCTTACCATTTCCGGCTCGGCACCTGGATGCAGGGCACCCATCGTTCCCATGGGAGAAATATAAAACGGGTACTTGGAGCTATAACCCAGAATCGAGCGTCTCATGTCCACCTTCCCGACATCCCTCATCACGCGCGGACGGAAAGTAATGCGATTCCAGTCTTCAAGATTTCCCTTGTGGGACAGCCCGTAGTTCGCCGAAGTCGAGGCGTAGACGTACGACTTGTGCGGTAAGACAGCCTTGGCCGCCGTTTCAAAGTCGGTGGTAGCGATGCAGAGACTGACGTGAGGTACTTCTTTTTCTGCGTTGGCTTCAGCGGCCGGAGTGGGTTTTTCTGGCTTTGGTTGACGGAGTTGGCCGAACGTGTGGGGGTCAATGGGGCCGAGGAGACTGTTGGGAGGGAGGTCGTTGACGTATGTTAGAGGGTGGTATTTTTTGAATTCGTTGGTTGCGTCCTGGAGGTTATTAATTTCTTGTTCCAATCTGAGATTCGACGAATAACCATGATAGATCGAGCATGTCTCTTCCTATCGATAACTTCCCCTTCTGGAACGAGAAGACGACAATAGTGCGAAGAGCCTACTGGTGGAGCATCACAGTGGGAAAATAAATAAACACTCACAGTCCCGCCCTGCTTCAACAATATCGCCGCACCCCCCGGATGCCGGGAAAGAAAGGATGTCACATCGTAAACTTTCGAATCCAGCACTATCCAGCATGAGTCCTTGGTGTTGTGCTTTGCAACTTCTGCGCCTTTCACTGATGCCATTTTGCGGTCCTCAACATGCGAAAAACAAGGAAAGGTGGAAGAAGGAGAACTTCGGAACGAGCGTTAAGGTAGCTGCGAAATCATTGGTGTTGCAGAGATAGCTGGATTGGTGTTGTTGTAGAGTGGTGGGGGGAGGTTCGAGCATCCCCGGCCTTGAACTGCCGACCGCGGCTTACGGAATGGGGCATTCCGATGAGCTCCCTCTTTGCTTATTAATACTCGGTACCGGCGTCGGGTGAGAACTTCATACAAGTCCATCTCTTGTCTCCTGTACTCCGTACTGTCAACGAGATGTGGTGCTGGTCATGCGTTCCTCCAGTCTTTTGTCGCACCAGTGACGCAGCCCAGGGCGCCCGAAGTACGAAACCCACTCACAGTACTATTGAGATATAGCAGACGTCGGTCTAGCCTGGACTTTGGATTTCTACTTTTGCGTCGTAATTCGTAAGATATGTACAGAAAGCGTTCGGCCGGTTTGCGAATACAGACTCCCAGATGCAATAACAACAATCATAAAAAACGAAAGAATTGCGAGGTGAAATCCAGGCATCAAGCGTAAACAGAATCAGAACTCCGACGGCTGCCCATGGCTACCACGTAAAAGAAGGTCGCAGCGGCTTAGGCTCACTACACATCTCTCGTCGAATCGATGCAAAGATCGATAGTAGCTGCGCAGCTTCGATGCCACCCGGCTCCTGCCAGAAGACCGAATTCGAGGCTTGCTGCATGGCAAGGTCGTAACATCTATCCAGCAAAGCGTTTGTGGCTTCCGTGCTGTCCTTGATGCGAACCTTCATTCCAATGGCCATGGCGAGGAAGACGTGAAATCGAGCCATGGGGACGGAAACCGGCGCATCTACAGACGATGCGCGACTCTTAGGGTCTGGATACACCATTTCACAGAATCTTGCAAAGAGCCTGGGATTCAACGTGTACGGCTTCGGGCCTTCAAAGGATTCCAGATGTTGTACAAATTCGGACGTCAATGTTTCGGCTTCGAATCTGCTGGGCAGTGGTATTACGCCTAGCGCTCTGCTTCGATCGGATGGAGCTGGGCTTCCTGAGTGAGCAGAGAAGACGCCTGGGCGTGGCAGCCGTGGGGCTGGGGCTAGGGGACCGACGTCGACATCGTCACTCTCGTTGCCGTCGAAGGGCGAGCTGGTTACTTCTTCGCTTTCGACGGAGGCAGAGGAGATGGATGAGCGCCGCGACAGGTCTCTACTGGCCACGGTTGAGGATTGTGGCTTCAGGTGGCCGCTAGCTTCGATAAACTCCCAGGACTGGGGATTAGGAGGCGCAATAGGAGGAGAAAACGGTTGGCTTGAGGGTGGTCTCACTAGATTCAGCGGCATTTGCGGTGCCGATGTGGGAAGTCGCTCGGGAGACGAGGCCCTTGTCGTACCAGACCAAAATGAGGGGACCGGGCTTGACTGCGCCTCAGTGATCGCAATCGAGGGTAAACTGCCAGCTGAGAAAGGCGCCAGGTCGACCTCGCTCCCCAGGCCATACGACGCCGGGAAACTTGTGTTGACCGTCAAAGGAGGCGGAGGACTTTGCCAGTCGAAGTTGGATACGGTGTCCATGAGGGTTTGGTCTATGCCTTCCAAACCGTGCATTGGAGCGCTTACGTGCGCTGCTAGCTGGGCCTCTAACTGGTGTATTCGGCTTTCCAGGGCTTGCTGATGTTCTCTGTTGGTGGGTCAGTGAATGTTGCGTCCACGTGACATCTCCTTGCCAATACGTACGATGCTAACACTTCCTTCGACTTTTGCGTCCTTATACATTGTAACGAGAATCGAGCGCATGTAGCGCATGGCGTGTCGCCATCGCATCGTATCTTCCGTCGCCTACATCGCTCACAGGCATTGTTCACTGTTGTTCCGGTTCAGTGCATTGCCTTTGGGGTCGGAACATGAGTATCATCTACCTGATTTCCTTCGAGGTTGCCATTCTTTGACAGAAGCTGGAGAGAAGCGATTTGGGCCTTCACCAGCAGGCAATGGAGCTTCCTGGCTATCAGCTACTGCTGTAGATAAAATATCTGGCTCGCTTCTCGACGTACAGAAGGGACACATGGGTGAAATGGGTTGTCAGGTACTCCGCTCCGGAAAGTCAGTGATCCGAGCAGGAGTAATTTCTGGGCAGAGAGATGATCAGAAGAAGCGAGGGTGAGCGGGATCTATGAAATTTGTGTATGTTTTGCTGTCCGCTCAAGAAAACGAGTAGTCGTGTAATGCTTGATGGATGGAGTGGCGCTGACTAAGTGCTCCTCAGTTTGGTTAGCACGCGACACAGTTGCGACGTTTGCTTCCGCACCACCTCTCCTCTTACACGTTGCGTGCGACTCTGCTGCTGGCGAGTCGCCGCACATTGGCCTGGTTGTTTCGTCGGTCAATCATGCAATTCGCGTGCAGTTCCCTCCGCGGAGTGGAATCCCCTGGACAAACGGCTTTCTGACAGGTTATAGCGGGCCAAGTCCGCACTCCTCCGCGTTCGCATCGGCTCTACCTTACCTCCCAGATCTCATCCCACACAGAAATGGCCCTACCGACAGCGGAGTTGAACGGCGATCTACCCTCCTATGCATAGCGGCTGGGTGCATGCATACACAGTATTATTCGGCAGCCTTCTGGAAGGTCCACGTATGGCCTTTATGCACTGGTCGCACTCGCTACCCGCCTATGTCCCCGCAAGGCTGCATTCAAAGAGTCTGCTCAGCCTCGCTATTGCTTGAGTCTCGTCCTTGGGATGCGGTGCCATGCTTCCGTGTGCATAGCTCGTCCTGTGGGTAGACGGGTTGCAGGGGATTTTCGTCGCTGATACATCCTCTACTACCCGCCGATCAATGTCCCCTATCGTCTCACAACGCTACTCGTATCTGGGCATGGGAAGCCGTGTGGGAGCCATGGAGGGACTTTTACTGTTTGACTTGGATTGAGTCCATCGTCTCGATGCACAACGGGAAAACAACTCGATGTGCCACCAATATGTCACTTGCAGGTGTCCCAAGAGACTCGTGATTCAACCGGTTTTGAAACGGACGGTTGCCCTTACGAAACCCTCACAAACGACTCGGCAAGGGGAAAATACCCACTTTGACCGTCAGGTACCAGCGGCCAAGGCCCCACCATCGCTTTTCCACCTCTCCAAGCTTTTATCGCGATTCTTATCCTGTCACAGTTTACCTCCCTCTTCCTAGAAGTGGTTTCAATATCCCGACTCGCAAACACATGCTTTGTGGCTGTGTAGGCGGTCTCGCCCCGTCAATTCCGCAAGCTTAATGGATGCAGCTGTCTCAAGCAAACCTTCAAGTGTTGTACATGCGGTTGTTGGAATGCCCAGATTCTGGGCTTTCTATATCGACGAGTCCTGTATGTGAACTTTACATCCATCACTACCATGCCGAGATCTCCAAGTAACGGGATACGGCCTTGGCCTCCGCCTTTGCAGTCCCTGGAGCTGAGACCGACCTCCTCCCTAGACGTGCAAACATCTGAGCCCAAGAAACATGGAGGTATATTAGAAGTTTGTGTATGCCCTTCCACTGTTTTTTCAGTAGGGCAAGTTGGGGATGCATCTCGTTGTGATACCCCCTTCACGCATACCTCAATAACTTTAATACCCTTTTCCCATCATTTCTCTCGCCTCTCTGCCTGTTGATCATGGCATCCCCTTCATCGAGCAACGCGCTGGGCCGCGAAGATTCCTCCGCTCTCGCGCCTCTCCCCGAAATCACAGTCGACATTCCCCGCTCGCCCATGCGAGCGAACACGAACGAGACCCTCGCGACCCTCACCGAGAATGCTTCACCGGCCACTCTTGTTCCAGAGAGGACCTTCGCAGCATCACATTCCAGAGAACGAAGTCTATCTGCAGCACGAAGTGGCCGAAGTCGTGCTGCGAGCGAGGCTACTCTGGCACCTCCATCCACATCTGCTAGTGCTTCGGTACATAGCGGGACCAGTGCATTCACGTTAGAGAACTCGTTACACCCAGATGCACTGAAGCCTGACCCGGGCTGTGAGAAGGACTTCGCCGTTTTGAACAACAAGTTCGCCTTCTCGCCTGGAATGTTGAACAAAATGCTGAATCCCAAGTCCCTCGCTGCATTCATAGCGCTCGGTGGCCTTCCCGGTCTCGAAACCGGCCTCCGCACCGATGTAGACTCTGGACTGAGCATCGACGAAACAGAGCTTCCAGGCTCGGTTTCCTTCGAAGAGGTTACGAAGCAATACCGAAAGCTCCGCGGCACCGATAATTCAGCACTCCCCCGGCCCGTCGAAGTGCGTCATGTCGATGTTACTGAGTCTGGGCCTTCCGGATCGGGCTCCGGATCCCACGCTGGTGAAGCCTTTTACGATCGCAAGAGGGTGTTCAGCGACAATCGGCTTCCTACGAAGAAGCCGGTTTCATTCTTCATGCTTATGTGGCAGGCTTATTATAAGGAGAGCGTACTGATCCTACTTACGGTAGCGGCTGTTATTTCCTTGGCACTCGGACTGTACGAGACATTCGGAGTAGACCATGGACCTGGGGCACCTCCATCCGTTGATTGGATTGAAGGCTGTGCCATCTGCGTCTCCATCGTAGTGGTGGTCATGGTCGGTGCTGTCAACGACTAGTACGTGCGACCTTCTATACATCCGCTCCTAATGCTAACACCTCGTAGTCAAAAAGACCGTGCCTTCATCCGCCTAAACGCAAAGAAAGAAGCCCGTGACCTGAAAGTAATCCGCTCCGGAAAATCCTTCACCATCTCAGTCTACGACGTCTTGGTTGGCGATGTGCTCCACCTCGAACCTGGGGATCTAATTCCCGCAGACGGCATCTTTATCTCCGGACATAATGTCAAATGCGACGAGTCTTCGGCTACTGGTGAATCTAACCAGATGAAGAAAACGAGTGCAGAGCAGGTTTTGCGGCTTCTTGAGCGTGGTCACAGTGACTCGAAAGACCTCGACCCGTTCATCATCTCGGGTAGCAAGGTGCTTGAAGGTGTAGGAACCTACCTGGTCACTTCAGTCGGTGTGAACTCCAGCTATGGCAAGATCCTCATGGCCATGCGCCAGGACATGGACCCTACCCCCCTTCAAGTGAAGCTGGACGGGCTGGCGAAGGGCATTGCCAAACTCGCGACAGCCGGTTCATTCCTTTTGCTACTCATCCTTCTTTTCCGCTTGGTTGCAACATTTCCAGGAAGTCCTCTTGGTCCCGCCGAGAAGGCTTCTAGGTTCATGGACATCCTTATCGTTTCCGTCACCATCATCGTTGTGGCTGTTCCCGAAGGTCTTCCCCTGGCTATCGCTCTTTCTCTCGCTTTCGCGACGACTCAGATGGTGAAGATGAACAACCTCGTGCGAATCTTGAAGTCCTGCGAGACCATGGGAAACGCCACAGATGTATGTTCCGACAAGACCGGGACCCTCACTCAGAACAAGATGACAGTTGTCACGGGCACATTCGGCGAGGATTCCTTCGATGACAAGAACACCGGATCTACTGCCGGCAGGTCAGCGGAATTCGCGCAACGACTGACTGCTGCTCAGAAACGTCTCCTTATCGAGTCCATTGCAATTAACTCCACTGCGTTCGAAGGTGACGGAGGAGAGTTCGGCTTCGTCGGATCCAAAACTGAGACTGCCTTGCTCGGTTTTGCGAAGAATGTTCTCGGAATGGGCTCCCTTTCTCAAGAACGGACCCAAGCCCAGGTTGTGCAGATGCTGCCTTTTGACTCTGGCCGCAAATGCATGGGAGCTGTGCAGAAACTGACCGACGGAACTTATCGTCTCTTGGTTAAGGGGGCCAGTGAGATTCTCCTTTCTTATTCGACTGCTCTTGCGCTCCCAACCGGCGACGTCCCCATGGACACCACCCAGGTCACGCGCATCACAGAGGTTATCGAAAGCTACGCTAAGCAGTCACTGCGCACCATTGGCATCATCTACAAGGACTTCCAACAGTGGCCGCCTCGTGGTGCAGAGAATCCGGATGATCCATCCACGGCGGCCGATCTCGGATCCCTTCTGAAAGGTATGACTTTCATTGGGGTTGTTGGTATTCAAGATCCCATTCGTCCGGGCGTCCCCGAAGCGGTTGCCAAGTGCAAGCACGCAGGAGTCAAAGTGCGTATGGTTACTGGCGACAATGTTGTGACTGCTAAGGCGATTGCTACGGACTGTGGCATTTATACTGATGGAATCATCATGGAAGGACCTTCCTTCAGAAAACTCAGCGAGTCCGATTTGGACGCTATTTTTCCCCGGCTGGAGGTCCTGGCCCGCTCATCGCCTGAAGATAAGAGGATTTTGGTGACCAGACTCAAGCAACTCGGCGGTATCGTGGCCGTCACAGGTGATGGTACCAACGACGGTCCAGCGCTGAAGGCTGCGGATATTGGCTTCTCCATGGGTATTGCAGGCACTGAGGTGGCGAAAGAGGCATCGTCTATTATCCTTATGGATGATAACTTTGCGTCTATTATCGTTGCGCTTATGTGGGGTCGCTCTGTGAACGATGCGGTGCAGAAGTTTCTGCAGTTCCAGATCACAGTGAACATCACGGCAATGGTGGTTGCATTCATTTCCGCTGTCGTTGATCCCTATATGCGCTCCGTCCTCACCGCAGTGCAGCTCCTTTGGATCAACCTCTTTATGTAGGTGCTCCCATGCTACAAAATCGATGTGCGACACTAACCGTTCCAGGGACTCTCTCGCCGCGCTCTCCCTCTCCACCGACTTCCCTACCGACGAGATTCTCAACCGCCCCCCAACTCCCCGTCACGCCTCCATCATCTCCCTCACCATGTGGAAAATGATCATCGGCCAGGCCATCTACCAGATTGTTGCAACCTTCATCTTACACTTCGCCGGCCCCAAGTTCCTGCCCTACCCTGAAAAGGAAATGCGCTCCCTCATCTTCAACATGTTCGTCTGGCTGCAGATCTTCAACCAGTACAACAACCGTCGATTGGACAACAAGCTCAACATCTTCGTCAACATCCACAAGAATTACTACTTCATCGGTCTCAACCTCATCATGGTGGGATGCCAGATCGCCATCGTCTTCTTCGGTTCCACCGCCTTCAGCATCACCGCGCTCAACGGCCCACAGTGGGCTATCAGCGTCGTTATCGCGCTCCTGTGCATTCCTTGGGGAGTATGCGTCCGTCTATTCCCGGACGCCTGGTTCGAGGTCGGCGCCAAGTTCGTCGGGAAACCGTTCGTCGTTGTGTACCGCCCGCTGTCCAGAATGACGAGTATCGTCATGGAGAGGGTGAAGCCGAAGAAGTGGCAGAAGGACGCGAATGAAAAGGGAAAAGATGTCGAGGGCAGTGATGACGGGAGCTATGTGGGGAATGGGAAGTCGCCTGCTCGGACCATCTCTGTGAGCGGGGACCCTGAGAAGGGAGTTCTGTAAATAGCCACGGGAATCAGGCTTGGAAGGAATGCTTTTGTATATATGAGCATATGGCTTGGTTTTCAAGGTTGCAATGGTGCTCGCGCAATGCGCTTGAGCGACGGCGTTTTGGGCGCAGGAAGAGGATGGAGCTACGAACAGGGGGGAATTGAATACTTAGGCGGCATAGGAGGAAGGACCATAGATGTCCACTCGTTAGACGATACCCCAATGTTATTGTTTGCAAGAATCTCTCAACTATAGTGTATAACTGGAAGTAAAACTAAACGGATGTAGTACAGTCCAGGCATCGGTCCAATCGTGGTTGATAGATAATGCCACGGTGAGCAGAATAATCCCCTTTCTGCTACGAAACCTCATGAAGCTTCGTCAGAATTTCTAGCACGATGGAATTCACTTCCGTGCAATTTAGCAGGCAGACATGGGCTCGCAGCTATATTGTCTGTTTTCGCGGAAATGTAAGACATGATTTCGGCGCCAGACCACTGTTTCCCGTATCTGCGTGTAACGTAATAAGACTGCCAACCATGGAGCAGATAACTGACATACGTCCAATCTCTGAAATAGTATTCGAGTTTATTGGGACAGGGGAAAGCACTGGCCTCCCGGACTTCTACTTTGATATCATCTTTGGAGGATGTTACGGGGAGCTCTGGTGTTCCAAACCATGATGTTCGGTCACCACGGCCGCCCAACATCAAGCGAAGAGCGTTCTCGGGCCGACTTGTCATGTTCACGTCACCATCCGGAATTGTCGCTGGGTGCTCAAGCTCCACGGAAGTTTCCGCAATGTTATGAAAAACAAGCATGCAAAGTACATATATTTATAAGTCTAAAATTTTTGTATTATTTAATGGTGAGATGGCCGAGTTGGTTATGGCGCCAGGTTAAGGTCATTTCTTAACACTAATTCCTGGTCACGAAAGTGGCGTGGGTTCGAGTCCCACTCTCATCAACATTCGTCCTTCTCATGTAGAAGGGTTTCGGGAATCTTTTTTTGCGCCTGGGTTTGTGTAATTTGATTTTTTGCTTGGGTATTTTATGTTGGATTGGCCTAGGGAGGACAAGAGTATCTTGGAGATCGACATAAGATGTATGCATGCAGTCAGTACCTACGGGCACCTAACTTGTCAAAACCTCAAGCTTGCGATGTAATGAATCATACTAAGCGTTCATGATTTAACCTTGTTCTAACTTGTCTTCGAATGTAGATGCGAGTGTTAGAAGTGAGCAGATGAACTCTTTTGAGACGGGCTGGATTGGTGTTCGTGGGCACTTTACATTCTATCTCACCAATCACTTTCGTTAAGTGCAAGCTTTGGAATATCACTCTTCCAGGCGATTTGATCTTTCCCCGCATATGGAACCTATCACAATCATTCTCAACCGTGAGGTCTCTCTTCTCGTGGCATGTTTTCTCCTCCAATACCCGGTGAGGAGCTTAAAGGCGCCCAACTCGTGAAACAGTCGTTAGAGTGGTGATGAGTTTGCTGTGAGTGTTGCTGCTAGTGCACGAGCAATAACTGCTGGGCCGGAGAGGCATTTTTGCGTGACAAAAAATATGAAGTGGTGGGCATCGAGCTAATTGCATCATAATTGCGAAGCAATACAGATACGTCATATCTGCTACTCAGAACTCCATAGGTTGAGACCGGTACACGCCCTCAGCTCCCGCGATGGTATTAACGTTTATATGAAGGAACAGTAGCAACTCGGCCCCTAACATGATCGCCTTCGAATGTTGCTTCCGGAACCCCCAGACAGAACTCCGATTTCCTCTACTCTACAAAAGGTTAGGAGTGTGACTCAGCTCAACGTTTCTGACGTCGTTAGCACACTGAAGCATCGTCATCTCCCACGCAAGCCGCAGATTTACCGGACCGAAGTATTTAAGGCGTTCTTCTCCGCACTCCCAACCTTCCATCGAACACTCACCTGGCATGGAACACCACAGCACCGACAACATCAGTTTCCATCAACCCGGCATCAACAGCATGTCCACGCCATCCACCAGCAACGTCCCTCAGGGTCTTCAAGCCATAAGAAGGCTAAGAAGCGCAATCATGTCGTCAGACACGTTGCCACTCGTCCTCAACGACCTCGCTGAGAATCATCAACCCCTCGCTCAGAATCATCAAGACTCCGCTCAGAATCATCAAGACCTCGCCGTGGGGAAAGCAAAGTCCGTCGTTCTCATAATGGGACACGATCTCTCCAGGCTTGAGCAGAGCGTTACACAGTATCCCATCCTCGAAAGCCTCGCAGCTGCGCTCCCCTTCAGAGACCTCTACAACCTCGCGAAGACGTCCAAGACCACCTGGGCGGCCATCAACGGCTCAAAACCTCTGAAATCAAGAACTATATGCGACGGTTCTGGTATCGCGTATCGTCTCAAGGCCTTCCAGAGTCGAGTCAACAACTGGAGTCCGAGCGGCTACTCTGCTCTGAAGTGCAACCCAGAGCATAGCAAGCAATGCAAACCCTGCGGCAAATATGTCTGCAACGAGTGCCGTGTCCACTGTTACTACTCCGGGAATGCATTCAAGCCGCCGCCCGTCTCCCATGGATTTGACCCTTATTATGGATCCTTGACTATAATCCTCAACCTCGACCAGAAGAAAATCAACATCCACCACGGTTGGGCTCCCCCCACTGGAGAGGGAATTAGTCATGATGACGGAAGGGTGTTCTGCTGCTATCTCACCTCCGGTCGCCGAGGCGAACACTTCAGATTCGACACCCCCGTTTCGGAAGTACTGGACATGAACCTCGGCCAAACAGAGCAGAAAGCAAGCGCCTTCTATCCCGTAATCCAACTGCGGAAACGATGGATGTGCAAGGACTGCTACAAGAAACCTGTAGTACGGGTTGCAGGCCTCGGGCAACCGACGAATGACGCAATTGCAGCAGCAGGCACTGGACTCTGCACCTGCACGCTCAGAAAGCGATTTTTGGACCGTTGGACTTGTATCGACTGCGCCATGGCGGAGTGCAAAAAAGACTTGGAGCACGCTCAAAAGGCACGAAAGCGTAACCAAAAAAGGTTTCCTTTCAAGTTGCCTCGTACGCCCACGCATTGCGGTTGCGGTGTCCCATTCAAAAAGGGCCAGGACGTTTATATCTCTTGCAACTGGTGTGGAGGGGAGGTGCGCTGCAAGGAGTGGGCAACATAATGGTGACCGTGGACCTTGAGATTGTTTGGGTTGTCAGTTTGAACGATCAAGCGCTGAGCAAGTCGATTTGGAACAGAATGGTTGAGCGACACAGCTGGATATGATGGTTGAGCAAGGCAATCTGGATACGCTATGATGGTTGAGCGACACGATTTGTATGATATGGATGAGGGACACGATCTGGATATAATGGTTGAACGACACGAGCTGGAGAGAATGGTTGCGGTACAAGATTGGATATACCCAGGGTAATGGCTGAGCAAGGGAATCTGGACTTGGAGATTTCGCAAGGCGAACTGTACTAGAACATCTGTAACCATAAGCTAATGTATAATATAATCTATCAAACCACCAAAGTGCGATACCCAGCCTCCTTATGTTGAGATGTCTTAGGAGACAGTCCTCCCGCCACCCTTGACGGCTCATGCACAGAGTACCTTCTAGACGTCGCGCAATTAGCCCTACAGTCACTGAAATCTTTCCCAATTGGTAGCTTATTTCGTCCCTCCTCACTGCCCTACTCTCTCAGCGGCGACGCGTTGGCGCTAATACCTCGTGTTGGGATATTTTCAGAGATGAGAGCGATTGAAATCGTAGGACGAGTCTCTATCGTCTACGCGGCGATTATCTACGGAGAGTGGGTGCGGGTTTGTCAGTCAGCATATTACCACAACATGCTCTCATCATTGCCAGTGAATAGGTGCGATACAGCTACATGGCCCGCACACTTCCAGCGTCCAGCAACTGGAACAACGCGCTATGCAGTACAGCCCCTTCGCCGCCCTTGCTTTGCTGCGTCCTCGGAGGGGAAAGCGTCATATTTACATTTTATGTACGCACAACCATACCTCCTCCGTATCATTCTGTGGTATGCAGCATGGCCAACAGTGAATCATTCTATCAAGAGGACCGCGTTGTGGACTCGTCCCGGGTTTATAATCAACCGGCAAGGTCGACTTCTCCTCGGAACTCGTGTTCTTTTGAGTGCGCGAATACAACACTATTTTGAAGCCAGGTGCGGCCGTCAAGGCATATCTTGGGAGCTAAGGGACACACTATGGTCTTTGGAGCAGTCAATTTGAAGGTCTCGCAGCATTCTAAACACGCAGTTCCGCTACAAATGGAGAGCATTTGCCTATTCGGGCGGATTACGGGGGCTGCAGAGTGCATTTGCAGCTGTGCAGGTGATGAGTCGTCAAAATCGCCCAGCAACATGAGTCATTTCCACTTGGTACCCAGGATGGTCTATGTTCTACAACAGTGTCCCTCCCTAAATGAACACTGGTGATTGTAACATGGATTCCTACATAAGTAATACCACAAAGTCAATTGACACTGAAGGCGAGATATAGCTAACCTCTAGACTATTTTGGGACGAGGAAATCCCTTGCTTCCAAAGGTTTCGTGTAACCTTGCACCGTAAGCTCCATGAATTGCCCCATTCATCATCCTTATTCCGCGTAAGGGGCCATGAGTGATCATTTGCTGATGCAACGTGAAAGAAAATGCACCACAGTTCTCTTCCCTTACGTTGCGCAGCTGTGCGTAGTTGCACCTTCGGGGTTTGGAACTTCGTAGTCTATGGTGAATTGATGCCCTCAACTGAGGGTTCGTATTCCACAACACACAACTTACATTGGTCGCTGCAAGCAGGATAGACAAGGGCGGCCGGTCCCAAAGTCTAGTTGTACGAGCGTTAGAGTGTGACAGTGACAGAAGGCATCCATGTTATTGCGGTTACCGCATCGCGAATGAGCGCACTTCTCTAACCAACGGTCGACATATATAAGAGGCACGTACCTTGCACAGTCGAGCTACCTATCGGTCAAAGCCTTCCGTTAGATGCCCTTGTCTTTATGCACAAGTCAGCGTCCGCACTTTAAAGAACAAAACAAATCAGAGCCGACAACTACTCCAAAATGCGCTTTGCCTATTTCTTGTTCACCCTGACTGCCAGCGGCGTGTTGGCAATGCCGAGTCCAACTCCAAGCAGTCCAGCTCCAAGCAGTCCAGCTCCAAGCAGTCCGACTTTAAGCAGTCCAACTCCAAGCGGAGGGAGTTACAGCACTTCGATTGCGTCGAGTCAATGTTTGCCCCCTTCATGTGCATCTTTCGGCGTAGTAATGGCTCTGTAACTATAGTGGGAGACTGACCACGGTGTTGGAAATTCAGTGTTGCTCTGGTAATTGTGGTTATTGGTGTGTAAGTGCTTGACCCAGGTCTCTAACCGCACATAAGATACACCGTCGACAAAACTAACGGCATTTATTTATTAGAGGGCTTGTGGTATTAGCTACACTTGTTAATGAGGCAATGGGAGTTTTTCGGAGTCTGGTTAGCGATTGGCATGGAGATGAATGCTCGTGCTTCCACTTCAACAGTGGGAGTACATTAGTATGTCAGCTGATAGGGTAAGAGGGTAGCGGTGGCTGTATACGCGTCTGCCATTTAATGAGAAGTAAGATGAATTCTATCTTATGCTAGGATCTGGCTATCATTCTGTTATTCTAATTGACCCCTTCCGCCGCCAATAGCGACTGTCTATGCCACGGAACGCCTGGGAATCATTTCTCGCGCGCACTAGCCAGGTTCCTGACAGTCTGTAGTCTAAATCTTAAACCTGGAAAGGATATCCAACAATCTGTTTACCCTATCTGGCTCCCCTGAAAGACTACCACGGGGTAGATGCAAACTAAACGGAGATGCTTGGGCACCGAAGTATTCGATATTTCCCAAAATTATCCGCAAGTAAATGAGTAGTCCAAGCAAAGAGGTTTCGGACAACATATACGATGTTCAATTCTCAAGAACCGCGACATGAACAGGATTTTATCGCAAAGCTCGAACCTAATAGCAAAGAGTGAAAGTGAGTTCCCAGGTTCACTGTGAATGGCCCAAGTATTCAGTCCACTACGAAGCGCCTGATCCCAGATAGCGGAAGCATACTCCTGTCACGTGACATATGACGGACTGCGTCTCATTAACTGTACCCAAGTTGCAAGTTCATTTTTCCAATACAATGTCCTATATCAAAATTAAAAAATGGCAGATTGAGTTACAAAGCTACAACCAGACAAGCCATTTGCTTGTATCACTGTTGTGGTCTGAAACACCAACTCTTGTCGTCAAGTAAGCTTCGGATGGCGTCACAGACCAAACGCCAATCACCATGTTGATTTAGGCGCGTCGTGGCACCCTTATCAAGAGCCTTGCCCCATCGACATTCAACATCCGAATGATGCGACCTGCTGACAATTCCATAATGTTCATCATCACTCTCCCGGACAACTTGACGGTTCAACTCCAGGAGATCACCGATATTATTATGGATGCATCAGATGGCATAGGCCACGAAGCTATCAATCCGATCCGTGTAACGACGCAATATGGCTTCCACCACGAGCGAGGAGAGCCCTCTTCTGGCACGCCGTTCATCCCTAACATCGACTTCCACTTCGAAAACAGTATACGGCAGCGATGAAGAATCCGAGCGGACCATTGCCCCAGGAGAAATCACTCGCTCTATTGAAGACGATGTTCTCCCCGAGACATCGATACTGGGAAGAAACATTACCTGGCCCAGCGCCTATATACTGGTTATTTCGCGCGTCATCGGGAGCGGCATCTTCGCAACGCCAGGTGCGATAGTGCAGGCCGTCGGCAGCGTCGGATTGAGCCTGACCCTTTGGATTGCCGGCGCGGTTATCGCAGCTTGCGGACTGGCGGTTTCCCTCGAGTACGGGTGTATGCTTCCCCGGTCTGGCGGCGAGAAAGTATATCTGGAGTTCACATACCGAAAGCCGAGGTTTCTTGCTTCGACAATCATTGCAGTGCAAGCTGTATTGTTGGGGTTTACGGCAAGCAATTGCATTGTGTTCGCGCAGTATACGCTCTTTGCTTTCGATATTGAAGGAACCGACTTCGTTCGGAAGGCACTTGCCATTGGGCTCCTGACTGCGATCACCATCGTCCATGGATGTTTTCTAAAGACGGGTATATGGATTCAGAATCTGCTCGGCTGGATCAAGATTGCACTTGTGATCTTCATGATTTTCGCAGGGACCTATGTGGTTATATGGCCTAGGAACAACGAAAACGGCATTCCAAACAGCCACTTCCCAACCCATGACGATATTTGGAAAGACTCAGATTGGAGCTGGGGTGTTATATCGACATCACTGTTCAAAGTCTTCTACTCATACGCCGGACTGAATAACATCAACAACGTGCTCAACGAGGTCCAGAATCCGGTCCGAACTCTCAAATCCGTTTCCGTTACTGCACTGGTAACCGCCTGCATTTTGTACGTCTTGGTTAACATTGCTTACTTTATCGTCGTGCCGCTGGAAGAAATCAAGGGCAGTGGAGAATTGATCGCGGCCCTTTTCTTCGAGCGCAGCTTTGGCCCGCAACTCGGAAAGAAAATCTTACCGCTTGCTGTGGCACTTTCAGGCGCCGGGAATGTCATGGTAGTGACCTTCGCGTTGGTGAGTTTAAATTGACACAACAATACTGATACGCCCTACTGACGTCTATCAGGCGAGGCTCAACCAAGAAATAGCGCGGCAGGGATTTTTACCCTTCTCCAGGATTCTGGCATCTTCGCGACCTTTTCATGCTCCCCTGGGCGGCTTGATCGTGCACTATATACCATCACTCTTGGTGATAGCGCTTCCACCCTCCAGTGATGTTTATTCTTTTATTCTGGAGGTTGAAGGCTATCCAGGACAGGTATTGGCCTTAGCCATATCAGCGGGCCTGCTATGGTTGAGATACAAACGCCCCGATCTAAAACGGCCATTCAAGGCTTGGATAGGAGCAGTGCTATTTAGGATTGTTTTGAGCTTAGCACTACTGGCAGCGCCATTCTTCCCACCGAAAGATGGAGGAAAACCCGGCGGCATCTGGTATGCTACTTATGCGGTAGTCGGTCTCAGCATGTAAGCAGTTTTGTTCCACTTTTTTCAATGGCGGATAAGGGACTGATGACCTGCAGACTCTTGTTCGGAGTTCTTTACTGGTATATTTGGACCCAGTTATTACCGAGATGGAGAGGTTACACACTGGAAGAGGAAGAAGAAGTTCTGGATGATGGTACGACAGTGACACGATTGGTCCATGTGAAAGCTTGAAGCAATATATAGAAACAGTGAACTTCCACACAGACGTCCGAATAACGACCACGGATTTTATTGTAAAATGAGTAGGGTTACAGATACCCATTCTGTCTTCGAAGGCCTCAGGGAAGCAAGCACCATGAGTCTCTTAGACCAGGGGGACATCACTAATATCAGGTGCATTATTTATTACTTGTCTATGTTAAGGAAGCTGGCACCAATGCTTCAGGTATTTATAGTTTCTCACTTCAGCGACGTCAGGATCATGTTGCCACAAATTAGATGCACAGGACCTGGAGCTTGCAATGCTGTACACCTCAGTAGTTACAAGGAAAGACGATCATGGTCTGGGCATACGGCGAGTATTTATCAGCATACACATCAGCGCGCGCTGCCCAGAAGGTTCTATCCAATCAAATGGGCTTTGACGAATTGATCAGGTGCGGACGAAATGCGCACGTCTATCAGATAGCGACTCTAAGATCTTCTAGGTGGTCACACATTGATGTGCAACGATGGCGTGCTTGCGGGGAAGCTTGTAGCTTACATATATACGGCCTACGGATTGTAAATCAACCTCCACCCGGGGTATATAAAACGCTGGAGTCTCTTCCAGCATACCAATCACCAGAGTTAACGCAAACTTCAACCGTATATTCTTTAACAACTCCCACTTACTTCGTTTGACACAAAGACATCATGGCCACAGCTGCAGTCCAGCTACCTCAGTCCGCTCCATCTTACTCACCCCAAACCCTCGAAACGACCATCTCATCACCTACCCCTAAACCTCAAGATGTAGAGACCGTTTTGAACTACTTCAAACCCAATGAAGATGGCTCACCACCGCACCCCACGTACGTTGATCGTCCCGAGACTTTTGACCGTCCCTTCGAACAGCATCCCGTAACGGTACGCGATGTGCGGGGCAGAGAGCACGAATTCACCCTCGATGGCAACGGCTTCCAGTTCCATAAGCACAAGAGCGAAGAGAAGGACTTCGTCGACGACGAAAAGATCAAGGCGCGGTACTATCCCGAGATAGAGCAGTTGTTGAAAGAAGTGTAAGTCCACTGTCACTGACCCTTGTGCCCTTTGTGCACTCAAGAGAAGAGGAGAAGGTGAACTGACATGTCATATCGCTTAGAACCGGGGCAACCAAAGTCTTCATCTTCGACCATACGATCCGTCGCCAGGCGCCCTCCGCGGGGGGAGACCCATCCAGGACGATCCGTGGTCCCGTGCAGCGCGTCCACATCGACCAGTCCTATGCCGCGGCACTGTCTCGCGTGCCGCACCATCTCCCTGAAGAGGCGGAAAGGCTGCTTCAGGGACGAGTGCAAATCATCAACGTCTGGCGACCGATTAAGACGGTCCAGCGGGATCCCTTGGCTGTCGCGGAGGCAAGCAGCGTTGATGATGGGAGTCTTGTGGTTACGGAGTTGATCTATCCGAACCGTAGGGGAGAGACGTATGCTGTGAAGTACGATCCTAAGCATCGGTAAGCGAAAACTGCTCATTTATACGATCTACCTTTGGCTGATGTGAATGTTTCGCAGGTGGTACTACAAGAGCGGTTTGACTCCAGAGGAAGTTCTGCTCATAAAGTGCTTCGATTCCAAACTTGATGGCAGGGCGAGAAGAGTCCCCCACACGGCCTTCCATGTTCCGGGTACCGAGGACAAGGAAGGAAGGGAAAGCATTGAGGTTCGGACTTTGGTGTTCCACGAGAACGACACTTTGGAGTAGAAGTCCCATAGCTCTTCAATTTCACCCTGAAGGTTTTGTTATGAACTGAAAGAATTCTCCACCATTGTCTCCCAATCAAGCCCCCTTAACAACCTTGCTCACTTTATACTCCACAACAACTCCCTTCTGTCCCGGCTCATTGACTATAAAGTGTCCCGCAGCGACATAGATGCCGTTCTCCAGCTCCTTGTACTTCTCACTGCCTGTCTCGAACGAGAAGGTAACGAAGGAGTCACCGTATGGAGTTGTCTTAGCGTCAGATGAGCCGCTCAGAGCTCCCTTGACCCCGTCGGTGAGAGCCACAGGGCCTTGGTAGTACATGGCGAGGAGAGTGCCATCCTTGTTCCTGCTGCGTGGTTAGATGATGTGTATGGTATCGAAGAGGGACGAGCATGGTGAAGGAAGCCCAGAAGCAGAACAGCATTTCACAGAGCCAAGCACTAGTCAGCTCATTTCATCTGCGGGGAAGATAAAGGGAGGACTTAACCCCATTGATCCAGCAAGATGGGAATGCAGCATCGAGACCTTGTCTCGGCCCAAGACTAGGAGACAAACGAGAACAAACAATAGAAACGACATCCAAACACCTACTTGAGCTGACTCCGCACATCCAACCGCATATTCCTCCCATCCGCATCATTCCGAATATAATCATACCCGGTTCCATGCCTACTCATCCATCAGTATCTCTTAGTGTAATGTGAGCGACCGGAGGCCACTGGAGGGGGGAACCTACAGTTCAGCATCAAGCGCCGGCTCAAACCCAGGCTCGCTCTTCACTGTGCCGGACACGATGGGCTACCTCGCTCAGCGTCCTCGGTAACGAATGCAGAGGTGAATGATTGCTTACCACAATAGTAAGTGCGCGACCATGTTGGGCGCCCACGGGTAGTGGTGCGTCGATGTTCACGCGGACGGTGAAGGCGGGTTGGAGGGATGGAAAGCCGGACATTTTGTCAATGGAACTTAACAGAAACGGAAATAGTCGATCTGTATGATGGAGATTGGAGTGGATTATAAAAGATCACTGACACGTAGCAGAGGAGAGGTGTCGTTGGAGTTGGCGGCTTACGAGATAGCTCAACTGAGTTCGGAGAGATGCAAAGTGCTACCCCGCCCGCGTCATTGTCATTTCATTTCACTTGCCCCACTTTCTGATGATGCCGTTGCAGCTCCGAGCAGAATGTCCGAGAGGAGAGAATTAGTAGTTTAGCCAAAGGTAAATCGTTGTCGAGTTATGATTACAGTTATGTGCATACTATTATGTCCACTCCACAGCCTCCCAGCTAAAAGCCACTAACCCTGTTCTTGCCCTTCTTTTTCTTCTTCAACAGCGGCCTTCCTCCATGTCGCCCAGGCTCAACCTGACTTTGAACGAATCCACCACTAATGGATAGCCCCTGATTTTGAGACTGGCTCTGTGATCCATTCTGCGTCTGACTACTCATGCCCCATCCCATGGCTGGAGGTGGCGAGCTATTCACACCAAACACGTCCCTCCCTAGCACAGGTTGGCTTTCAACTTGTCTGTGTCCGACGTCAGATAGTCCATCTTCTCGCTTGAGACGCCGCTCCGCCTTTCTCCTGCGCCTGTCCCGTGTTTTCTGGCCCTCATCATCATCAACTTCTTCGCCATCTTCGCCAATGTCAAACTCTTCATTAACGGCTTGTGTTGTGGCTGTCCAGTCGTATGTCCCAGGGTGTTTTCCTGGTTGCCAATGCATGAGGACTTGCTTGATACTGCTTGACGATGTCGGCGAAGCCTTCGTGAACTTCAAACGATGAGAGAGCCTTGAGACGGGATCAGCAATGTCCCTGCTGTGTGGAACCACGTCCGGTTGAGAGGCCGTAAGTTGGGAGGAAGCCGTACCCAAAGGGACGGGCAAGCTACTTTGGTTGTACTCATCGGCCATGAGGGCCGTCGTCTCAGCTCCGACAGAACCCGAATGGCTGCCCCTGAAACTGGCAAGCATTATCTCTGCCGCAACACGACGCGCAATTTCTTCTTTGCTACGTCGCATGCTGCTGGGCACCGTTGGAGGAAGAGAGGCGATCCAGTGTTCAAGAAGACCGTCGTAGATCTGAGAAAGCGTCGGACTGACCGAATCAGGGGTACCTAGATGAAGGGTTTCCGTCCGGGCGATTTGCTGTAGTGGTCGAGGAGCGACAGGGGAGACCAGTGCTTCTAGGAGGGAGGAAGCATTGTCAACGTCCGATACAACAAGGTTGCTATCTGGTAACTCGAATCTACTACTGTCAGAGTGGCATACTTCCAAAAGGCGAGTGGACTTACAGAGTGCCTCGCGACAGTATTCCTGCCTCTCCCTCGTCAACCTCTTCACCAAGGAGCAATCTGCGTACTCGGTCTATAAGAGTATCTATGTCTTGTGACTCCGTTGGAGAAATCGGTGCGTTTGATGTTGGGGCTTCGCCATGAAGGACGTTGTCATATATAGAATCCAAACTCAGACGTGCGCCTTCATCGGCGGACTCCGGCATTTCTAGGAAGCGTGGCCCAGCAAAACGCCTCAGCCTACCATTTCGATACTTGGACGCCCGAGCCGTCACAGCTTCAATTTGCAGCCCGTCCAACGTGACAAAATCATCGTCTTCCTTCACCAAAGTAGCCGACTGAAAATCACCTGCATTCGACTGCACAATGTAATTCCAGGAAAGAGGTTCAACAAACAACGGAATCTGGTAACCGGAATTCGAACTCGTGGGAGTAACATAGAAAAGAGCCTGATGAATACTGTAGTCCGAAAGCGTTACTGATATACGGTAGAATGTCACACCGCGCTCCAGGTACATATTGCCCGGTCCAGTTGAAGGCTGTCGCACGTCTTGGCGGTAAGGAATGAGCTCCATATGAAGATCCATGATATGGACTCGGCGTTTGTAAGATATAGGTAAATCCGCAAGAACGAGACTCTGGGGATCCGAGCTCGATATCGTACAAGCTGGATCCAGCGCGTGTGCTCGGAAACTGAAGATTGTAATAAGGGTGTTCAGCTGCGAAAACAAGAGCACTGTAGACTCTACTTTCTGGTTAGCGGACTCAACCAATATGGAGAGAATGCATACCGTCCTCAGAGAGCGCTGGCACAGATAATCTGAGGGTAATATCATCCAGCCCCCGGAAATGAGTCCAGGAAAGGACGATGTTGGCTCCTGGAACAAGATCGCTACGCCCGACAACTTCGCCCTGACAAGTCACTGCCATGAGAAGAAGGTGTGTGGATGTAAGGAGGAAAAATTGGTGTGCATTGGTAGCGTGATTCCGGACGTCCAGAATCCAGTCGTCCGAACGTACCGCTATCGGTTGCGGGCATTGCAGGCGAACAGTCTCACCACCTGTGACGCCATAGAGCTCTAATCGTCGCCTGTTGCATACAATGATGGTGTTAACATCACCAACCCACAGGATCCTAGCCCAGCCATCTTCTCGAACTCCGGCTTCTTCATCTTCGGAATCATCCTCTCGATTAGAGAGAAGTCCCCTGGTAATCGTTTTCAGTGTGTATGGAGTCCCGTATCTGTGACCTCCTTCAATATCCCAAACGCTCCATCTTCCTTTGCGATCCACCATGCCGAGTTGACGCTGGTAGCCCGGATTGAAACTGATGTCTGCATGAGGTTCACCTCCGGTTTGCCGTAACGATATGGTAAGTATCGGATTCGAGTCGACGCGTGAAGGTGGTAACTCGTAGAATCGCGAGCGGTTGGCAGGCTTTGGAGACTCTCGAATCATCGGACGGAAGACCACAGTTTTGGAGTTGAAGCGGACAGCAAGGAACGCGGATCGATCGTCGCCATGGGCGAAGCACACCTGCTGGATAGGAGTTGCATCTCCAGACCAGTATCCACTCTCCCCTTCGCTTATCGAGGGCAGTTCGAGCCAGATGCTTCGATCCTGCTCCCAACCTTGGCGTTCCTTTTCAAGCGATGTAAGGCGGAGTAGGTTCCCGTTTTCTCCAGCCACGACCGCAATAACCCTCTTTGTATGTTTGAAGCGCCCTTCAGTAACAACCGACCCGAAGGAGTGCGAATCTCCTACCGCAGGATCGAAAGTCTCGAGACTGGAGGTGACGGCGGCCGACAGCAGAGCAAGCTCAGGGAGGATATCTATCGAAGGAACCAAGTCCGGGTTTTCGCGACCGATGGCTCTCGCGGCCTGTCGCACATTGCGTGAGTTGAAGGTACATCCGGAAGTGTTGTCATGGCTGGAACCAGGGTCCCCGCAAGGCTGCTGCAACTTTTTCCAGGACCCCAGTTGGCGTATAATTCCTCGGTGTTCAGGTTGCCTGTCGAATATCCATGTGCCGTGCTCACTGCTATAAGTTGCTTGGCCATAGTGACCGTAGTTCAGGGCGGCAGGCCCAGTGTTAGCCATTTGAGTGTGGAAGATAGGAAATAGGATTGGCCGGGTGCTTCAAAGGCAGGAGCATCTCTACCGTGAGGAGATGGAAGCAAAGCAAGCGAGGACGGTACGATTGATGAGACGAAGAGACACTTTTGTCGCAACTGGTGATGATGAAAAGGACCCCGGGATCATCACACGAAAAGTTCCACAGTTCCATTTTCACACTAACCAAAAACGCGAGCTCACGTGCGTGGCGTGGGGTTAGTTCCAAGGTTGTTTACAGGGCAACAAACAACAACACAACTTCGTAAGAAAAGCATCAATACCGTCTGCACGCCGCATATCGCAAACGACGCCAATAATTTGCGATACACTCCTCTCAAAATGACCACCTTCGAACCCTCGCTTTCCGCAAGCATGATGCGCACTTCCCTCCACGATGCGCCCAGCATGGCTGACCAGCTGCCCTCCATCAACTTCGGCTTCGACGATCTGCGCAGTCGCATGAACCAATTCACACAACGATTCGACGAGTTCATAGAGAAGGGCAGGAAGAGGGTGCTAGAGGAGCGGAATCAGTTCCGCATGAACGTTGCTGAGATTCAAGGTACTGGGGATGGAAACAGGAAAGCAACACTCTCGCTGACAACAACGCAGAGGACCAGCGCATGAAGAAGCGAGACATCGAAATCCTCACCCTCCAACAACAACAACATTCACAAACACTTGCGAAGGAATCGCTCGAAACCTCCGAAATGCACGCCTCCATAAGTACTCTCACAGCGCAGCGCGACAGTCTCCTCACACATCGCGATGCACTCAAGTCGCAGATTGCCGAAGTCCAAAAGGCTATAGCCGCGAGACGGGAAGCCCAGCTTAAGCACAGGAGGTACTTAGATGGGCAGTCGCGCTACAACGAGCCGGAGCTGGAGTTCTGGGAGAACTATCTGGGGCTTAGAATAGAGGGAATAGGAAAGGAGGATCGCCTGAAGTTCGTGTATACCAACGTGTGCGAGAGAGAATGGGAGAGGGAGGCTTGGTTCGAGCTGGACACGAGCGATCGGGACTACAAGGTACTCGAAGTTCGGCCGAAGGTTGACAGAGAGGAGGTGGACAGGGTTCTGGAAAGGTTGAACGAATCCCGAGATCTTGCAGCGTTTCTAAAGGGTATGAGGGAACTGTTTGTAGAAGCCATGAAGTAGCCACATCATGATTTGCGCATTTGAGGGAGTTGAGGTGTTTTGGAATTCCGGGAATGATATCCGCAGGCTTCAATGTCCATGGCTTTTTGCTTTTCAACAACTGAGACGCCCATGATGATGCAGAACGTGAGGTCGGGAATCCGAGATCCTTTTCATCTTTGCCTTACCCTGTAATACTCTGGTGCATATTCCACCAACCAATCCATCTCAATCGTCGTCAAATCTCGGATATAGATCTTATTTTTTGTCTCCATGATCTCGTGATAGATGACCCAATCGGCCTTCCGGTGCTACGAGAGTCAGCGTCAAATCATATCAGATCAGGTGCCACTTACAAAGAATATCGAACTCGGATGCACATACAACGTCGCACTCCCCGACGGCGTCTGGAAAGTCCCATCCGGTTTCATCCTTGCAGCATGCGCGAAGAAACCCGTTGTCAGACATCGCCGTACTCGCTCCGTCATAGACATGGGTCCCACGCGAGAGACATGCGCAGCTGGAATGCTCACAGTTTCCGCAATGCCCAGACGCTCCAGCTGATTCTTCAATTGTTTGCGGACGCTCATAGCCTTGACCAGCGCTTTGAAGTTGAGCGAATGCTCCCGGCACCACTGCGCGTCCTTTTTGCCTTGAGATACGAAAGCCTCGTAGACATTGTATAGAGTTATGTGATCGCCTTCTTCTACAGCGAATCTGCGCTTTGCTTTGTCCTCTTGCTTCTTGTTTCCATCGTGGGAGACGAACGTGGTCCCTTGAAGCGTCATCATTGCGGCTATGGTCAGCATCTCCGGAAGGCAGCCGAAATTGGGCGCATTCAGCAAGGCCTTCGCGAGCATCGGCTCAAGAGGGAGGTCAGCCATGCGGGCGCCTAGTGGCTTTGTCAGACGTGCCTGGTCGTCCACTGCGCCTAGGGAGTAAAGCGTATCAATTGCCCTGATGACAAGTTGTGAGGGCGGGCGAGATAGGTAGTCGAATCGTACGACATTTTGAATACCCAGGTTCGTAAGTTGCAAAATGACCGGAGCAAGATTGCTGCGCTGAATCTCAGGGAAGGTCGTCTCCGGGAGCGTGGAGTAGGCAGACTCGGTGTACAATCGGAAACATTTCCCAGGTCTCGTCCTACCAGCACGACCAGCACGTTGGGTTGCGGACGCCCGAGAGACAGGGCAGACACTGAGACGTTCGATGCCGAGGCCGGGGTCATAGTTGCGCAGTTTTACGAAGCCGCAATCGATCACATAGCCGATACCATCAATGGTGACTGACGCTTCCGCTATGTTGGTTGAGACGATCACCTTCCTTGTGTTCTCGGCTGCTGGCTGGAAAACATACATTTGCTGGTCAGTAGACAGGCCTGCATATAGCGGAAGTGGCTGAAGAGTCTGATATCCAGGGCCGAGGTCGGGGATGCGGTCCGTAATCATATCGATTGCATCTTCGATTTCCTCACGACCTGTAAGGAAGAGTAAAATATCCCCTTTCTCCTCGGTAGTATGGATATCCAGTACGGTCTGAACAGCTCGCTCGACGTAGTCTGAAACCGGTTCAGCTAGATACTGAATCTCGACCGGATGCATTCTCCCTTCAATGCTTATAATGTGGCCAAAATCCGATTTCGCCTGCTTGTTAGTGGCTTCTTCCTCTTCGGGTGCGAAGAACTCCAGGAATTTCTCCGCTTCGATCGTTGCGCTGGAAACTACGACACGCAACTCAGGGCGTTTCCTCATGATCTTTTTCAGCAAACTGAGCAATATGTCGGAACTCAGCGACCGCTCGTGCGCTTCGTCGACCATTACTACAGAGTAGCGCTTCAACAACGGATCAACAAGCATCTCCCGTAAGAGCAGGCCATCGGTAAGAAATTTGATCTGGGTCTTTGCTGATGTGACATCTTCGAAGCGTATTGAGTATCCAACTTCTTGACCGAGTTGACCTGAAATGAATAAGAAAAGAGGTTTGGCCTCATAAGCAGTAGATGTCACTTACATCCAATTTCCTCGGCGACACGGGCGGCAACGCTTGTGGCGGCGATTCTGCGAGGCTATTGTTGAGCAGGAGCACATATTTCCTTTAGAGCGAAGTACCCGGAGAACTTACTTGCGTCACAGCAATAACCGATCCGTCCGATGTCCAACCAGCTTTCAGCAAAAACTGAGGGATCTGTGTGGTCTTCCCACTCCCTGTTTCGCCGACAATGATTGTCACTGGATACGTCTCGATAGTGTAGAGTAGGGCATCCTTTAATTGAGCTATAGGAAGGAGAGCAGGGGGCTTATAAAGCTCTGGTATGAGGCCAAGCCCTTCATCTTCATCGTCCGCCATCCTGAAATGTCCCGTAAAGGAGATGACAGGTAAGGGAGAAAAGGGTTGTAGCTGAAGTACAATCGATGAAGGTGAAGGTTGCCCAGGTGGATGGGGAGGTTGAGCTAATGCGGAAACGCTAGTCCGAGTTCGGATTAGCGGGTTTTCTAACCACCACCTCACTGCAATCTGTTTCGGCCTTCTTTGCTTGAGACCTGCGCGCATCACCCTAACATCGCTTGAGAGACATCATGTCTAAGGCAGGAAAGATTGATTCCTCTAGCCAGCGGGCATGTGACGCTCGACCGAGCCGTCAAGCTGCCCCGCAAGAGCCCTGCCAAGTCGTGGGGCGCCGGCATATTGCAATAGGATGACAGTGACTAAGACTGAGCGTTCTCCTGCGATCTCGCTTCCTATATCTACGTATACATTCGATTAATGAGTGCCTGATCCAAGTACTGTCGTCCGCATAAGTTCTTGTTACTCTCATCATGACGAGTCTCTCACCAGCCGAACCCAGTCCACCTAGCTTAAGGTTGGCCAGATATTCGGATCTGGCAGACATAGCACGGTGTTGGTACCATGCATTCTTCGACGACGAGATTATTGGAGACATGATGCATCCGAACCGCAAACAATATCCCGAGGATGTTTATTGGTTTCTCTTACGAGGCATACGTGAACGCTTTTGGGAGTGGAGGCATCAATTCATCGTTGTAACCGTGAAAGTGGGTGATAAAGAGCGCATCGTCGGTGCCGCGGACTGGAGAAGAGTGGGGGAAGGAGGGAAGAAGATGGAGATGTTTTGGTGTGATCCCAGTAAAGCTGTGCCGCTCTCCTTCATGTAAGGCATTCACTAAGACCACGATAGGACATCTGATAAACCCTTCTGTACGGCTCTACAATCGCCTATCCCTTGCTATCTTCCCCAATCGAGCGGCAGATCCATCCCGTTCATCTTTCCTTGACTCGGCAGTTTCAAACGCTAGCAAGTACTGGACAGGCGAGCACTCCGAATGTTGGGATCTCTATGTCTGCGGCGTGGATCCCGACTTTCAGGGAAAGGGTATTGGGAAGATGCTGGTCTGCTGGGGTACGCAAAAGGCAGATGAAGAGCATGTGAGTGCGAGTGTGCTCTGCGGTGAGAAGAATAGAAATTTCTATGGCAAATTGAGGTTGGATCAGCAGGTGGGGGGATCAGAGCACGGAATTGCGTTGTTCAGAAGTCCGAGCAGTTAGTACATATAGGACTATTCCTAACCCGCTTTCTATATCCTATGTACAGCTGGGCTTTATAGGTAAACGGTCAACAGGATGACAGCATTACACCGCTGCAGCATGATGTGGCCTGGCATACCTGAATTTGACACAAACCAAGTCACCATTCTGCTAATTTGCTATTTTATGCTCATTACTTCGCGTAAGACCCTGCGTTGTTGTCATATCCATCTAGCTTGAGGCGAGGCTCTTGATACGACCACAAGGAATAGAGCACCCCATGAAGCCGCGAAGATGACGAGCATGAGCGTAGGCTTACATGTTTATCTGGTCAATAGTGTGAGAAAGGGTTATTAGGCACGTAAAAGTCCTGACACATAAGGCGAACATCGCCAATTGCGTCAAATACACGGCACGATCAAGATGCCATTTTTGAGCGGGATGGTTATCAAGATGAGGGATTCGGATTTCCGTCACCATGATGCGTGAAATCCTGTTGCCAGCACTTTCACATCGTGGCGACCGTGATGGGGATCTCCATTGAGATAGAAACAAATTGCGAACCTTGGAAGAAAGCGATGGAAATACAGTGCGTACTCACATAAAAATTACAGTCTACCCATCGTCCCATGAAACAACATATTGCCACAACGCCCCCATTAAGCTACATCCATCTACCCTTCCCATAACTCTAGCGAATCAACACCGACTTCACCTCCTTCTTCTCCGTCTGAATCCACTCATCGATACACACCCCAATGATCCTATACGGATCAACGGGATGACTTCTCATGATCAACAAATTGCCGCTACCACCCGTGTCCACATAGCCGTAATCGCGCATGCCGTCCATCATATCGTGTTTGAAATCCTCTCTCACCAACGCCCGTCCAGTAGGCCAGGGCTTCTGCGGTACAACTTCTTTGTCGACTTTCGCCCTTCGGCACTGCGTAGCATATGTCTTATGTGCCTGGACGTCCCCTCCAAAAGCGACGAGGTTGAAAGTCCGGCCTACGTCGCCGACTTGAACGAGCCCGAGCCCGTCATGTAAAATAATTCTGTTATCGTCGTCCAACTCGGCGGATACGTCGCCCAAGAAACTTTCCTGGCACGCGGTGATGCCTTCGAAGATAAAGGCAAACGGCGCAACGACAGTGCATCCGCAGTTAACGCGCACTTCGCATGTCAGGTTCTTTGTGCTGTCATTCCAGAGACGAGACTCGCAGTCGTAGATATCCACCATGTTCCAGTTCATGGAGAGATTGTGCACGCGGACATAATTCGACGGCGCGTGCTCCCAGAAAGTTCCGGAAACACAGCGGTCAACCCAGCCTAGGGGTTTTGCAGTGAGGTCACTGACATGCCAGTCGGGTTGCAGTTTCCCCAGTAAGCGGCGGCGGAAGTCGACGAGGCTAAAAGATGGGTCAAACAGGCTACCGAGGATGGTTGCGGCTTGGACAAGCGATCTGCCCGTTTCGTCGCGGACGATGTTGCGTGGCTGGTCGTGGGTGGGAATAGGCTCACTGCCAAATAGACCGGTGCTGACCTTCTTACCGCAGTTACAGCCCTTGAAGATGAATTGAAAGCCGGGAGGTCCGCTCTGGCGTGTAACGTGGATCGTCATGTACTTCCTTGGGTTGCCCTTTATACCTGTGCGTGCTTGGGCTCTTGCCCACCCCTTCTCGTCCTTTTGCTTGAGCCTTCCCAGCCGTACTACTCCGGCAAAGCAGTCCGTCGTCCGTATGCTGCTGGAATTCTCCACCATGGGTATCCAGTCCCATTCGCCTCGTTCTCCGCTACTGATTGCGAGTTTGGTCCATGCAAAGCCAGTCTTGACTGACAGCTGCCTGAAGAAGTTGAACGAGATCTTCTCCATGTCATCGCCAGACATATCTCGAGCAACCTCCTCAGCCGTGAAAAGACCATTGAAAATACCCAAAAGGCCCCTGTAAAGGTCTGCCTTCACGGTGCATTCTCGTGGCATGATCGATATTGCCGAAAAGATGTTGCTAACCCCTTTGTAGTTCTCGTACCACCAGTTAGGGCCACCATTGATGATGTCGGTCTTCGCACTGTGAATACCCAAGACTTGCAGCTGCAACACTCTCAATATGGTGTTATCCTCTTCGATGAATCTGGTGATGGCGCTGACGGCTCCGGTCTTCAGCACGCGGGAGTTCTCGATCCAAGCTTGAAGTTTGTAGGCTTTGTCCTTTGAGTCCGTCGCGAGATCTATCCAGTGGAATAATTCGCCTATGGGTGATATGCGCTCAGGGTTGATCGCCCACATTGCCACCCGTTTGCCCAAAATCAACTCTTGAAATGTCCATACCCTTGAGAAGTAAAGATTGCGGAACAGCGAGCGCACATGGTTGACGCATGTGGAGTAACAATTCAACAGCCCCATATCAATCGCCGCGGCTTTCACAGTCTCTTGGTCAACCGGAAACGTCCAAGGCTTAGCCGCCCACTCGTTCAAGCGTTGTCTCACGTAAGGTGTGATCATTGCTTCCGAAGTGAGGGCCGCCCCATCCATGTGCGACAGAACGTGATCGACGAATTTGAGGTCATCCACGATTCGCTGGGGATCCCAAACCTCCGGCATTTCGAGCAGAATGTGACATTGGCGCGCTGTCTTGTAGTATTCGAACATCTTGGTCACCTCCACGGCCTTCTCGGTTTCATCTCCCTGGTTGATGCACACGCAGTCGACCCAGAGGTGTTGTATGTTTGCGGTGATCATCAGCCTCTTGATTTCGTCCAGTTTCTCCGGCTTCAAGATTATGCCCCAGGTCACGCCGGCTATGTCGCACGTGTACGCAGGTATCGTGGGACCCCATGTGTAAGACACAATGTCGAATTGGACGGGGTACGGGCGGGGGTCGAAAACATCGAACTGGCCGTCACCCAAATGGCGGAGCAGCCGAATTGGCATTCCAGACATGGCGAGGCTTGCTGTTGCTATGGCAGATGGCTAGCACGCGGCACTTGAAAGTGGGATGTATACCTATGTAGAAACTGCTTCCACTCTTCGGAGTGAGGAGTCGACCAAGAGATGAAGTAGGAATTGCGAGCACATATTTGGCGAGCTTCGTATAAGCATCTTATATCTTTGCCTTTTTTCTCGTTGCCCTTCAGCCTCGCGAGATGGCCCAACCTGAGGTGCCTGCAGGGGGGTTGGCTTGCATGCGAGCGGCAGCTGGACGTCGAAAAACCAATGGTGTAGATAATAGGGGCCGGGATTATACTAGGAGATCCCCATCCGTTGGGGTCCAGAAATTCCAGGGTCTCTCAGGGCCACATCCAAATGATAGCGTCAAGGACGACACATGAGGGGCATACTTTCAGATCCAGCTTAGCAAGCCTTGAACGGTGTGTGTGTGTGGGTATACCTCCACTATCGGGGTTAAATATGATCTAAGGGTTGGGTGAACCCTTCTGGGAACCCTTGCGAAGTCTCGACTCGCAAAGGAGGGAAAGGCCACCATAAGCCCGGGATTCTACCTGTTTGACAGATGATTGGCTATATCCTTCATCTGCCCATGCCATAATGCGCCTAGAAAGCTCCTTGTGAAACCACAACCTTTTTATTTTAAGCTTCTCCGTCGGAAGCAGTCTTTTCGGACCCCATGGGCGAGGCGGTTTCTTCACCGTTGGCCTATCAGATGGTGCAGTCAATACTCAAGCGCCAATGAGCTGAATGCGTATTCCGTACATTTACGAAGAAGGTCAGCTTACACGGGCGTCTGCACTTGAGCTAGATGTACTGCTTCTTTTCACATCCCCACTGCACTTCCTCTATAGGTAGTGCTGCTTTCCTCATCCAATTAGACAGCTTACAGGCGCTGCAATATAGGAGGTTTTGCAATTAGCTTTGTAGCGCGCCTCTACGTATAATAAGTTCGAAAACGAAACTCTACCTATCGCATTGTTAGGTTATAGCTAATTGACTTGCGCCAGGTAGGTAATTCCACCTACAGAGGAACTGCAGCCGGCTGTTCTGTCCGACGTGGAAAGCTGCAGTACTAGACTAGGAGCGGCGTACTTCTCCCCGTGTCCCGTAACCTACTACTGTATAGATGTTCGCCTCTCGGTCTCCGTCAAAATCTCCGGACTTATCCACTCGATAACTACGACCCAACAAAACCTTCAACGGTTGTCCACATCTTTCTCCTTCTCTCAATCCTCACAATAACGGATATCAACTAGTTTGAATTTATCTTTTCCTTTTCTTTTCCTTTCCTTTTCTTTTGCTTCCTTTTTTTCCTTCTTCTTTTTTTCGCTCTTGCTCATACGAACCGGTACGCCCAAACCTACACTGAGCATTCTGACTTCGATCTATATATTTTCTATGAACGTCATTCTAATCACCACCCGGTTCGTCTTGCCTCTGCTGCCTCTGGTGGGCTTGTTTGAATTGCTGGTTTCGTTATTGCAGTTTTCGCCATTACTGGTTATGCCGCGGCTACCTTTGCTATTGCTGGCTATGCAATGCTAGCATCCCTGTGTATTAATATCGTCGATCTACAAACCTCACCTTCTTCCCTCGCTCCCCTAGTAGATTTGATAACGGTCGCACACCCCGCGACGGAGCGAGCATGTCAGCTCGAGCGCGAAGCTTTTTGGTTGAGGGCCGAAAGGCGGACGGTGGCAATCTGAGGACAACGGTTCCATCGTGACATTCTTCGTAGACAGCGGCAGCGCCATAGAGCCACAAGGAGTAAAACAGTAGGAACAGAGACGCAAACGAATACTACGCCTAATAGATCGCGCTCGGACAGATTGCGCATAGTGTGGACAATGTTCACTGGGGGTATGTTTCTTAGGTTGAGGCTCCGGGGCCGTGGGTTTCAAGAGCGCCGTGGATGAGAGAATCAGAAGTCTCAGTGGATCAACGCAGCGAGAGCAGAGGACCGGGGACACTACAACAGGTTAGAAGCCATGATACTACTAGGCGTTTGCAAGTCTAGATCGGAAAATGGTGTTGATCCTATCCTCGACTTGTCCGATGGCAAAAGCATCGTGGACACTACGCAGATGGACACTGCGGCCTGCAATGACAGCCCACCGATGTCACATCGCCATGAAGTCTCTACAACACACAAAAGTAGCTCTCTCTATAAACACCCCAAGTTTAGCACATTAGCTCACGTAGGCACCCAAAAAACATCTGCATAGGAAAAATCATGCGGCCTCCGGGGGCAGAGCAGGTAGAGTTCGGATAGCCGTATACCGACTAGGGGTAACTGCAATTAGGAGGAACGGGAGCCGTTGGGAATGGCGATGCGAAACCAGAGGGCGAGTCGCTGCAGGTAAACTCGACGGAACGCGGATACGAGAACAGGGAATTCCTGTATATCTTTGGAGATCCGGATATATATACTTTATAGTCCCGTTATGCATAGAGATACAAACGACGCTGCGAAGCCTGAGCTATAGAAATCATTCACACTCCAAGGGAAAAATGGTACATCGCACAACACCACTGTCCACTGTCATAGCTACCTTTACCAGGACTTAGCCGAGGAGCAGCAAAGCCGTCTAGTTAGTCCCGCTCCTGCTCGGCCTCTTCAAACATGTCCAGTACATTTTCTGGGTTATTTGGATCCAGCGGGTCCATGCCATCTAAACTCGCGTCCATTCTCTCGCGCCTCGACATCTTGAAGATGTCGTACTTGTCTCCTCCCAGCTTGCCATATCTCGAGGTCATGTGCCGCCACTGAAGATCCGATATTAGCATCCCGGTATCGAAGAAGTCCAAAGAAAACGTAGTGACAGTCCCGGACGTACCTTTCTCTTCCAACCCCACCGATCCGCAGCCTGCTCCGGCTGCCAGTTATTCGCTTCGTCCTCATCATCGTATTCCTCGACGAATTCCTCAATCTTATGGACCCCTTTGATCTCGATCCCGTGTTTCTTCGCATACTGCACAAGCACATTCGGCCACGCTGCCTCCTTCCCCATCATCGCATTGCGCGGCACACAAGGCACATACCCGAGCATACCACTCACATCTCCGAAAAAGTCACATAAAAGCGCCAGCACAAGACCGATATCCCTGACCGGCGAGTCCGGCCGCAGCAGGTTCGCGCGCTCCAGCGCATTCAGTGCCGTAAGAGCCGCGTTACCGATAAGCCCGACCGTTTCCCCCACGCGATCCGGGTCGTCAGTATGTAACCAGGGACCTAGATCCTGCGTAGGCAGGAAATGCGCAAGGCCGCTGAGGTGCATCCAGAGATCGACGGCGTTGGGTTCGCTTGGCCGCATCGCTTTGTTGAACGCGACGAGCTGGTTCTCGAGGACCTCTTGGAACCCGTAGCCCGTGAAGTCGTTGTAGATGTGCATGCCGAAGTTGTCCTGGTCGCGCTTGGCGGCTTGCAAGGTGTATTTGTGGACGAGGTCTAGCGCGGCTTTGGAGGCGATGAAGGGCCAGGTGGGGAATTGGGAGGCGGGTTTGTTGGCGTATTTGGCGTGTTCGGCTTTGAGTGCTGCTTTTCTGGCTGCACGGGCAGCCTTTCGGGCCTCGACGTCGTCGTCCTGGCTGTGCTCGTCGTTGCCATCCTCGTCTGCGTCTTTGCTATGATCGCCATCGTTGTGGTCGTCGGCATCGTTTTCTTCGTCTTCGTTGTCGTCGTCGTCGTCCTCTTCATCGTCATCGTCGTCGTCGTCGTCTTCATCGTCAGAAGGCATGCTGTAATGCGGCCGAGCAAAACAGATATATTCAAGCCTCCGCGCAGCTTCATCCTAGACATTCGTCACTACACGACAAGGCCCATAATTGAACAGCACCAGGCAGCAAATGAATACCTCGATAGACGCCCCGGGCCCGGCATCAGGCGCAATAGCTGCCGACGCGTTGTCTGCGCCCTCAACTTCGACGCGTTTCGCCTCATTGCTCGCTGTGGTGCTCGCTTCACGTTTATGAGGAGGCATAGTTCAGTCTTGAGACAGCGTGATTGATGATATGGTTGGTAATCGAGGCAGGTTTGGGTGATATGGATAGAAAGCTGGATGATGGGAGGTTGGCCTAGCGCGTATTTATCGCGTAGGCACGTGCAAAAGCAATTCACCACATGCAGAGATCAGGATGCCATAAGGTTTGTGCACACTTCGCTGTGTGGTAGCAATTGCGGACTTTTTTAGTGGGGCTAGGCAGGCCATAAGCGAGGTATTGTATTATCATCCCATTCAAGCATGGACTGGGTGACTGGTACTGAGACTTTGGGAGAATGACTAAGGTACGTCATTCGTGCTCTCGCATCCTTCTCTATGCGGTTATACGAATTCTCGCAAAGTGAGTATCTCTAACCTGTCACGTTGCTTGTTAGCTATACAAAAGCAAAAGCCTCTAGTTGCTCAGCTCTCTTCCCCCTAAACAGAGGACTTTGGCCCTTCCACTCAACTACTGCCTTCCCAGTATTAGCCACTGCGGAAAAGGAGAGGACGATATCAAGGCTCACAGATGCAGTCGCAGAGGCGTCTGCGGTCGAAATTCAAGACCCACTTCAACAACACGCTTCCATGACGCTATTCTTTATCAGGCAAGGTGCAATCCACAGCCGCACATCATCAAAACCTTTCGCCGACGACATCACATCAAACATGGCACTGCGCTTCTCAAATATCCCTGTTATTCTATCGTCTGCTGTCCAGCATATCGATGAAGATGGTACCAGAGTATATGGTCCTTGGCTGCCATCTCACCTGGCAAGCCACCCAAAAGATACCGAGTATATCATGAACCCGCGATCATGTCGCCGCTCAAAAGTACAGCATAGCAGTCGCTAAACCTCCACACTCCACGCATTCCAGGCTTCGCAGAAAGCTAGCCTTCCTTCGTCGACGGCAACGAGCATCGCCCTTCCCTTTCGGAGTCGTAGCCAGCGCTCGAGTGCGCACCCGAGACCCGCCATCGTTGATGTTCGGATATCGAATACGTTCGAGGCTGGAGATGGTTGAATAGAGGGAAGTTGGGGGGCGAGTCATTCACTACTCGTCACCACCCTTCTTCTTCTTCTTGGACGGCTGCTGGGCACCTTCCTTCTTCAGATGTACGATGAACTGCTGGTAGTTCTCTTCGGGATCCCACTCGAAGCCAGCGAGGATGGGGAGGTCCAGTTCGTCGTCAGCCTGGGTGGTTTGTCAGCGGGTGTTACGGACAACATGAAAGAGATGGGAGAGCAGTAACAAGATGACCGACGTCGAGATGCGATCCGGGGGCCCGCAATGCACATCAGCTAGGGGTAGAAGCAAGTCACGTACCTTCTTCTTGAACTGCTTGTAGATGGCATCTAGGGCATCCTTGATGGTGACACCCTTGAGGTTCCGTGCGGTGACGGTGAGTCCGAGCTTGAAGTGGAGGTCGATCTTCTTGATCTTGGGCGTGCAGAGCGGCTTCTTCAGCACCTCCTTGTCGTCTAATGATGCAGGCGAAGTGTTCAGTTTCCTGGAGGAGAGGGTCAGCTGCTTCCGGTACCCAAAACAGCATACTGAGGCGATGACGTCGGCATTGCTCGAGAGAGAGCAATGGATGCTCGCGACAGGTTCAGCATGAGACTCGACTTACCAGTTCAGCTTCTGGGTCTCGGGGGCAATCTCAATCTTCTGTCCTTCCTTCTCTGCACGGTCGAGTCAGCCCCACACCCCCTCAGTGGATCACGCCATAGCCGGCGGAGAGCAGCAACTCACCCAGGTCGGCGATGTTCTTGACATCGGCAGCGAGCGAGCTGCCTCTACGGTGGCCCTTCTTGGCGGGAGCCTCTTCGACGAGGGAGTCGACCTTGGAGAGGGTATTCTCAGTCTCGGCGGACATGATGGATTGCAGTGGTACAAGGGGTGGCTGGTGAGCTGGTGATGGGGAACAAAGGGAGATGAGAGCTGCGAAGCTGGGAGCTATCGGAGAGCTGTGTAATGAGCTAGGAGCAAGTGTGAGGAGAGTAGGAAGAAGGTGGTGGGAGGTGAAGAGGAGTGGGAAGTAAGAGAGAAGGAGGGAAGGGCGGAGCAGATGAGGGGTTCAAATGGGCGGGCTTCGGGAAGGCACGAAGCAGTCACTTGATCCCGGACCACCTCACACCTGGGCAGCACCACCTCACCAATGAATGGAGCCGCGCGAATCGGGTTAGTCCAGAACAGCCCGTTGGTGCACGGACGCGCGTTCCTGGGGTAAAATGCGGGGGTGACTGGGCAGCAGCCAGCCATGATCTGATAGGGGGAAGGGGTTACAAGAGGAGTAGAGATACTCTTTGTATATGTACTTTGGTGCATCTCTTCTTCACGACCTTCTACAGTATTAATTGCTTCCATTTCCGTGGTGGTTGAGAGCTCCTTCCTCACCTTCAGAGCTCGGTGAGATGACCCTCACGCGACCCGGCTGACGACGTCATCGGCCGAACCACCAACGCCCGTACTGAATACCCAGCGATACGATGCCGCCATTGGACGGGCAATCAAACACCTTGGCCGCCAGGCGAGAGGGGAAAGTCGAGGACAGTCAGGGACCCGGCGGATGTTGAGACGACGAGTCAGCGAAGGGTACCTGATGATCAATCAATCAGCCTGAAGGGGTCTGAAGATCTGTACTGATTGCAAGTAGACATCCTCACAGCAAAGACTTTGTTGCGTACCACAATAGATTTACCCTTCCTATGTAGACATAAGAGCTCCTACTGCGGTGTTCCACTCCCGACCCATTCCTGCAATTCCTCTGCAAGCAATTAGCATTATACGCAGATAAAGGCGCCATAAAGCTGCTTGCAAAACATATGTTCTATTGCTGCACCTCCCATTGATCTGACCTTCAGTCGCATGTGGAAAGAGGCAGTATGCTTAGGTATATATGTATCTTCCCATATACCCTACATGAATCCCTACGAATGCCCCACAATACTCCTCGCCCGGTACAACTCCTCCAAATACCTCTCCTCCTCGTCGCTCAGCTCCTTGCCCCTCGCCTCGAGCGCCTCGTCCATGCGCTCCACGCTGCTGAACCCAATAATCGGACTCGTCACGCGCTTGTTGATCCACGCCAGCGCCACCGTGCTCATCTTCCACCCACGTTTCTTCGCCACTTCCTCGACGCGCTGGATGATGGCCCGGTCCGTCTCGTTGTCGCCCGTCGTGTGCGTGCCGCTCTCCTTCTCGCCCGCCGAGCGCGTCGTGCTCCCGTATGCGGAGAGCGGGCGCGCCAGATGGCCGCGACAGAGGGGTGCCCACTGAACCAACACGATCGGCATCAGTAGTAAACCAAACAAGAATCTTCCACAACTCACCGGAATCAGCCCCACGCCCGTCGCATTGCAGAACCGAATCATCTCCCTCTCCTCCTCCCTATACAACAAACTGTAATGATTCTGCATGCTGATAAACTTGGTCCACCCATGCTTCTCCGCCACAAACTGCATCTGCGCAAACTCGACCGCCCACATCGAACTCGCGCCAATGTACCTCACCTTGCCGCTCTTGACGAGGTCGTGCAGCGCCTCCATCGTCTCCTCGATCGGCGTGTTCTTGTCGAAGCGGTGGATCTGCAGGAGGTCGATGTACGGCGTGTCGAGGCGTGCGAGCGACTTCTCCACGGCATTAAAGATGGCGGCGCGCGAGAGCCCGCCTTGGTTGACGTAGTCTTTCAGTTGGGGCAGCTCCGTCGCGTAGTTGATGGTGCGGAGGCCCGGGTCTTCGCCCACGTAGCCGTAGCATTTGGTGAGGATGACGAGTTTCTCGCGGGGTAGCGAGTACTTTTTGATGGCTTTGCCGATGAGGATTTCCGAGACGCCGTTGGAGTAGACGTTGGCTGTCATCCAGAATTAGTCCGGTGAACTCGAGGTCAACTCATCTACTCACCCGTGTCCCACGTTGTGATTCCCCGGTCATACGCCTGCTTCAATAGCGGTAGGGCCTCGTCCTCTTCAATGACCCACGGCTGCCATTTCTTGTCGCCGATGCTCATCGCTCCCAGGACGGGGACGGAAATTTTTAAGCCGCTCTTTCCGAGCTGCCTGTACTCGGCCTTGGACTCCTTGAGGAGTGCCTGTACGTCCGTCATGGTCGTGGTTCAATTGGGAAAACCGAGTCGAGGAGAAGGCGATGCTGGGTCGGGCCGCAAATCAACGGGATCCTCTTGCTCTTTATGCATCCTTCGCTCCATATCCTCTCGGCCTAGCATGACGCAAGGGCGGCTAAACAACCTTGGAATTGTCAATGATGCGGATTTTGCGGCGTTAAGTTGGTTAAATCGATGCGAGGTGAGGTGGCGCGTCTACTAGCTCAATGGAACGTTGGTGAGAATGGTCCCGGATGCAGCTTCCGTTACAAATGATCTATCTTCAACGTCACGTGGATCTGTCGAATTCTCTACACCTGCCCAGGTGGGCAGGCACGAACAGAACTGATAAGCATGCCATCAACCAACCTAGAGACATCACACAGCGGCAGCATACAAGTTGACGCCCGTTCATGGCAGCCACCTGGAGCGGCGGAGCTGGTGGTATTGGTTTGGTTTAAGAAACACAGTTTTCGAGCCTAGTCTCCCGTGGCGCCCCCTCTCGTCCCAGAATGCAGAGATCATATGCCCGTGAAAGAAACCCCTACTCCAGGCCCCCATTTAGTCCTCGATGATGTTGCCCCTCTCCGACACGTACAGACCGTCCAAGAACTTCCGGATATCCTTGTTGCGCACACGGCAGATCTGCTGGATGTCGGCGGCGCTCTGGGAGACGTCCTCGAGCGACTGCAATCGCCAGTTAGTAAATGACCATCAGCCACACAGGAGCTTCTCACGTTTCCGCTCAGCAGAAGCTCGTCCTTCTGGGTCTTGGAGATCTCAACATCGACACCCGGGCGCATCAGGACTCTTCGGACGATCTTCTCGCCAATGAAGTTCCTGATCTCAACCTCGTACTGCTCGCCCTTCTTCTCGATGTTGACGTTGATGGGGAAACTGGTTTCGACGTCAGCGTAGTCCTCGCTGCAGCAATCGCTAGCCAAAACCATGCATGATATTCGAGCACGGACTCCACGACAGAGCGAATGGCATGGCTCAAATGAAATATCACACATCCTTCCTAAGTGGTATAAACCAAGAGAGCGTGCCATTCGTCGTCGTTGGAGTTTTCGGCGCGGGCGCTCATGGGGGAAAGGTGACATCAAGCGGGGATGACCTACTGTGCGTAGACATAACGCATCCTGTGAAATATGGTTAGCTTTTCCAATCCACGCATATCCATTGAGAGAAGCACATACTTGTACTTGTATCCCTTGGTCACACCAATAATGAGGTTGTTCTGCCGCCCGTCAGTATCCTCTCCCACGCAGCCCAATAACCCCGGCCAGAATTTCGTTTGCAACGTACGATGAGAGTGCGGACGGTACGGAGGGTGGCGACGCTCTTCCGCGATCCGTGGTGGAGCTCGATCTTGATGAGGTTCTTCTTGGGCTGCGCAGTTTTTAGTATTGGTGGTCGAACATCTCGAATGCGAAACCGGAACGTACGTGAGAGAAGCTGACGGACAAATGACCGAGAGACTTGCTCAATTTTCCCTGATATAATCAGTGTCTGCTCGTCGATGCGGATTACGGTACGCTTACGCGGGGGCCTATTGCGCAAACGTTAGTTTAGAAAGGTCCAGCCGCTTTCAAATTGAATAACCCACCCTCGACGACCACATTGCGGGTCTTGATGGAGACCTTGACTCCCTCAGGAATCTCGAGCAGTTCCTCCGAGTGGCTGTGTTGCGATTGTCAGTTCAATGGTCACAGAGCTTGCAGCATTCAAGCTATGGTCGGTTGAATTTCCAGCGAGACGCATTGCACCCGAAATATGGGCAAATTGTCCGTAGAGAAATGGAATCATGATGCGATAGCAGAGGGATTACGTACATGTACTTCATCTTTGCGGTTGTCGAGGCGTCGGTCGGGGTTGTCGTTGTATGATTTCGTGGTTGAAGGTTTGTGTGGGCGTCGGAAAAACTCTAGCCGCTTGCCGACTAGCTCGCGCTAAGCCGCTTTTAGATGAAATCCAAGATATGCCCTGGAACTTTTTCTGCGTCCGGAAATTTCCAAGTTCCTCAACCAGGAGTTCGCTATCCAGCAGTTCTCCTATTTCTTTCGCTGATTTCTCTAAATCTGCGCTATGGGACCTCGCAGGAAGCGCCAGCGTCTCTCCGCAGACGGCGCAGAAGCTGTCACGGCCACTGCCGACACAGAACAAGCTCCGAACGGCAGCTCCGCAACGAACGGGACACCCAGCAAGGAAGACCACAAGCACCGTCGCTCCCTCTTCGTGCGATCGCTGGCACCCACGGTAACGACAGAGGACCTTACCGAGCACTTTTCCGAGTCGTATCCTATCAAGCATGCCACTGCTGTGCTTGACTCCACCACGAAGCAATGCAAAGGTTATGGATTCGTTACTTTTGCGGATGCGGAGGATGCGCAAAGAGCGATGGAGGAGCTGAATGGCTCGGAACTGAAAGGCAAGAAGATCAAGATCGAAGTGGCCCAGCCGAGGCATCGTGATGTGGAGGTTGATCCCACAGGTCAGCTGAAGAGCGTCTCAACCGCCGCTGCTAAGGCGAAGGAAGAGCGCGAGAAGCAGCGGAAAGAGCAAGTACCACCGAGGCTCATAATACGGAATCTGCCGTGGAGTATTAAGGAACCGGATCAGCTGGGTATGCTCTTCAGGAGCTATGGCAAGGTCAAGGCTGTCAACCTACCCAAGTCGCATACAGGACAGTTGAAGGGGTTCGGATTTGTTCTGCTACGAGGGCGGAAGAACGCCGAGAAGGCTATGCAAGGCCTCAACGGCAAGGAGATTGATGGCAGGACAATTGCTGTCGACTGGGCCGTGGACAAAGACACCTGGCAGGAACTTCAGAAGAAGGAACAGAATGGGGAGGTGCAGGACAAGGATGGTGATGAGCAGGCCGAGAGTTCCGACAACGGATCTGCCGCTGCTTCCGAGTCCGAGGAGAACAGTGAGGTGGATGAAGACGAAGACGACGACGATGAGGACGACTCGGCAGAAGAGTATGATGAGAACGATGAGTATGAAGACATCTCAGACAGCGATGTTGGGGGTGTGGACGTGGAAGATGAGCCGCCGAAACCAAGCAAACCCCAGTACACTCTCTTCATCCGCAATCTCCCCTTCTCCGTTACCGACGAAAGCTTAAAGGAGCATTTCACGCAATTTGGACCTATACGCTATGCAAGGATAGTCATCGATCATGAAACGGAAAAGCCGAGAGGCACAGGTTTTGTGTGCTTCGTCAATGAGGAGGATATGATCAACTGTCTGAAGGGAGTCCCGAGGGTAAGGTTAACCCAGAAGACCAACGAGAAGAAGGATGGATCTTCCATCACAGTGACGCACTCTGTGCTCGAAGACCCAGATGCAGATGCGACTGGCAGATATACCATCGACGGCCGCATCCTCCAGATCACCAAGGCCGTCGACCGCAACGAGGCCGCACGACTCACAGCCGAAGGTGCGGAATCTCGCTTCAAGCGTGACAAGGACAAGCGTCGCCTCTATCTTCTCTCCGAAGGCACCATCACTCCAGGAACACCTCTCTACGAGCAACTACCCCCCTCTGAAAGGGCGATGCGCGAGGCCAGCGCTAAGCAGCGTCAAAAGCTGATCCAAAGCAACCCTTCCCTTCACCTCAGCCTCACGCGTCTCTCGGTCCGCAACATCCCCCGCAGCATCACAAGCAAGGACCTCAAACAACTAGCCCGCCAAGCCGTCGTCGGATTCGCAGAAGACGTCAAAAACGGAAAGCGTGCTCGACTCTCCAAGGAGGAGCTCGCCCGCGGAGGCGAAGCCATGATCCTCGCGGAAAAGATGCGCAAAAAGCAAGGAAAAGGCATCGTCAAACAGGCCAAGATCGTCTACGAGACGCCTGAAGGTAGTAAGGTATCTGAGAAGACGGGCGCGGGTCGCAGTCGCGGCTACGGCTTCATCGAATACTACACACATCGGAATGCGCTGATGGGTCTGCGGAAGCTGAACGGGTATGCCGTGGATTATCGCGTCAAGGGTGAATTACCTAAAGGGAAGAAGGCGGCCAAGGAGGAGCTGGAAGACCGCAAGAAGCGCCTCATTGTCGAGTTTGCGATTGAGAATGCGAACGTTGTGAAGAGGCGGTCTGAGCGCGAAAAGCAGACTCGGGAGCAGCCCAAGGGGAAGACGGATGAAGGTGCCACGGCGGCACCGGGTCGGGGCAAGCATCAGAAGGACCGGTTGAAGAAGCGGAAGCGCGAAGAGGACGATGCAGTGCAGGACGGGGGAAGCGGGAAGGCGGGGAAGCGGGCGAGACGGGGTGGAACGAAGGGACAGAAAGGTGCGGAATCGGCTGATGGTGCTTCCGAGAAAAAGGAGAAGGACGAGGGCAAGGGAAGGGTCAAGGATGAGAAGGTGGCGCTACGTTCGCGTATCATACAGAAGAAGAGGATAGCGAGGCGGGCGAGGAAGGCTGGGAAGGCATGATCCGTTGATTTTCCTAGCTAAACGAGGAGGGATATCGCAGCATGAAGCTGTTTGCTTCTCAGTCCTCTCCTGCGATCATGATGGTGGGGAGGCGTTCATGTTGGTGTGCGCCACTTTCGTGCTTGCATGTACGCTGTGTCCACTGTTCTCCATCGAGTCAACCGCCGGCGCATACCTTAGGATACACAGGCTCCATGCATACTAGACGGCAGGACGCAGCGCTCGTCTCTTCCCGCAGCTAGCAGGAGCCAATTCCCCTATCCTCCGACCTGTGCAAGCCCGAGTCGCACAGCTTCAAGCCCAAGCTCGTGCTCGCTGCAGTGCGACATCTGTATATTCGTGTGTCATACGAACGGCGCGGGTCGTGTTCTGCTGGATTGACAGACTGGGGATCCAAGTATCTGGTTCGGCCGTGTTTTCTGCTCGTGCAAAAAGAACGCTGGGTTGTGGAGGTGGTAGAAGTTGCTGGGTAGGCGAGCGCTGTATTCTAGGATGGGCAAATGCTTTTTGTTAGTTTTTATATAGAGTAACCGTCGCTGGCACGTAGAAATGTGGTGTACATAGGGGAAACGGAGAGTTTGCGAAGCAGTCAACGTTTTTAGTCGTTCTATTTAAGGGAGTTGGTTCACGACGGAGTACATGTACATTGGGTCAATGGTGTCGAGAGCAGAAGGAGAAGAGCGCAGTTCTGGACGACTGTAGTACTATACTACCAGAAAGTGTCTGGGCTTTTGTGATAGATGTGGTGATCATCACTCCCCACATGTACACAGTTTGTATGTCGACAACTGGGGCCGTGGCAGCTTTTTGGCGCTACATATACCGGCATCACGAATCGATATCGAGGCGCCTTTCGGTTACAGCTCTTTCCTTCCCCACAAAAGACTCATGTTACGAGTGTAGCTTCATTCAGTCACGTACAAGATATTTCACCAGGGACATGGTTGGGGCTACGAAGATGCAAGTACGTCTATCTTTGTCGGTGTTGTCACAGAAGCATGTTCTACAAGCCTTAAATCATGAAAACGGAAGCGCACATGTGTTCGGGGCAAGTGTTCTGAGACGGGGCTTCGTCGAACAAATCTGGCAAGGGGTTCTTCCACCGCTGGGTCCAGATTGTTGCTCTGACAGCCCTGCACGCAGCACGAGCTTCCTCGAGAGTCGTACAGAAAGTACTGCGCCAAGGTGAGCGCAACAAAGGTCCTCCTTGTCTCTAGTGTCCAGCTATCGGCGACGGGCATGCCGTACGCGCGGGGAGAAGGAAAGGAAGCCGAAAAGAACCGCCGCATTGTCCGGAAGTTCCCATCTTGAAGTGAAATGAAGTTGGTCCAGGAGCAACAAGAGCCTTGAAGGAGCTCCGAAGAGTAGTGCATCACAACGATAGCGGTTGCGGCACATGTTTCCCTCGATTTTGGTAGGTGTGCGTCCTCGGAATTGGTACAGCAAAATCGACTTTCTCCAATTTTTGAAGTGCAACACAGAGAATCAAATCATGGTTGAGGATCCAAGTGAATTTCTAGACAGCAGGCGTATAACCAAATTTACCAATGACCATGGGATAATAGTCATCCTGTAGTAGAAGCCTGTGCATGTTTTTTGTGCCCAGTCCCGGAGTGTTAGAGCCTTGTAGCCGCGTCCTCGAGAACATGGCACATCGTGTTCATTCGAACAATCTGGAGCCGACTGTTTTGACATCAACCATAAACGGCTCTCAATCTGATGGTGGCTGATCGAAGGCATGCGCCGCAGAGAAGCTAGCCTATCGGAAACTATTCTTGCGGTAGGAGGCGCTCGGGCAAAAATCCTTCACGGCAACTGCAAGAGCGTGGGCCAATGCCTGCATGTGCCTGCCCAAAAGCCTCTGAGTTCATCCTTAAAATGTGACCTGTCAGTTTTTACTTACTTTGTACTCTAGCCTGAACCCACTCGTGGCTATCAAGTCCAGTTATCGTACAGCAGGAGACTGGACCAAAGACGTTCGTGCTATCTGCCAGTGAGACGTTGCGATTAAGTATAGAGGATCATACGGAAGAAAGCCTACCGCCAATCGGTAGACTGACGATTCGCAGCCAAGTGCTGCCGCGCACAAGGTATAGCTCTGTTGAGTCTTTACTTCCGCGGAGTGAAATATAGCTGTAAGAGTTCGAGACGCTTGCGACGAAAAAGTGCTGACAACAGGTGTTGGTGTCTTTGATGGTTGTTTTCATAATTGCAGGGTATGTCCAGTCATGGCCAGCAGCTGAATGGCAGCTCCATGCACCGGCGTGACAGTTTTGTGAGCCTCAAAACCTCAAAGTTATCATCTCGATGACAGTCGTTTATCTGGGGTCCCAGAGGACTGGGTTTGTGGCTCACAAACCCTTGCTGAGTGGGCTGAGAGCATCTCGTCCATTTGTGCATAGTAGAGTCGACCAGTAGCACATGTGGCAGAGAAGCCTGCAAGATACGGGGTGGTGATCGGTCAGTCCAGTAGAGAGGCAACACAAAATATGGGGATGTGGGGGTTGTCTGCTGAGGAGAAGCGGTTGTGAAGGGCCTGTAGAAGCAGGCTCGCGGTGCTCAGAAGGTATAAAAGTCTCCTTGATGCTCGTTGAAGAGTCCTCAAGTCTCATCATCAGAAAACCCCTTCGACAGAACTGAGCGCAAGCTGACCAAACCGCACCGAACTGTTTTCCGACGGCCCTTATCACTGTGTATCAAGTTTAGAGAAGCCTACACCACCCTCCTGCTGTGCAGACAAGGTACACGGACAATGCAACCGTTATCGGCCATGTAAACCAAAACTGACTCCATCCCAGCGCACTGCGATCCTAACCATTGGACGTTGATTCGGACTCCGCAACAACGAGAATACACCATGTGTTATTACGAGAAAATCCACTATGTGCCCTGCGGCCACGAGGACCATCGCCTCATTCAGTACTGCCACTTTGCGCGAAACGATCCGCTACATCAATGCTTCGGCGCATGGAACATAAAACGAGAGTGGGAACAACGCGAGGTTGAATGCAGTCAGTGTAGTCGGATCAAGAACCAAAGCCAGCCGCATTTCGCTAGAAGATGAAGGGAAATGACTGCCAGAATAACTTATTCTCACGCCATCGTTGGGGCCTTCGGGTGGAAATCTTTGTGCACTGTTTATCTAGGTCTCTTCAAGGAGAAGTCCTGTTGATTGGAGAGAACATCCGCGTGGGCGCCGTGTGGGCGCCTGTGTCCGCATATCTAGAAGGAAGTAATTGATTTCAAGTGCCATTTCTCAAGTCCAAGGAGTTACTTCACGATGCCTTGAATCTCCATCCAAGATGTTGCATCCACTTTGGAGAGTCCTGGCTGGTTATGACCAGCCCCTGCCTTACAAAGACCTTTGGAAGGGGTGATACGGACTGTCGGTGGGAATTCTCGGAGCCCAGAATGTCCATAGCCCTTCAAAGTCAACCCTATGCAAAATGCGTTCGGCTCCCACTTCGGAATCCGGTCCCAAGCCCTCCCCAGAACGACAGACCAGAGGTAAGGTGGGTTACAACCTGTATTGGTGCTCAACTGTGCAGTGGGTCGCTCTGACTACGACGAGACATTGTCAGTGTAGGATATTGTAAAAATAGAGTGCCATTTCTCCGGGTAATGAGCACCTAGTCTCTACCTGGTCATGATCTGAATTGAGTGAACATCAACAATGGCTGTAGTTACGCTTGCTCCCATCGACTCATACCACAATCCTCGACTCCCGGAGTGCCGATGGAACGATGCCTCCGGATTTGTGGTAATGGCTGATTTCCGATTGTACTTGAGTTTTCTATAGGCTTGAGCTGCGTTGAACCTTGCCGACTTGGTTATACCTTTTCGAAAAGAAGGTATACCAATCGTCGAGCACTTTCTTCTTATCGTCAGGTAGATCATCGTAGTCCGAGCGCTGTGCATCTTCTTCTTTCAGAGACGAGAGGGCCAGTGCCCTGTTCGGCTCTTTCCCCGCAAACACTGAAAAGGGACAGTCAGCCAGTATCCACTGACGCAAACATTAGATCCATGTCAACGCACCGTGGTACGACTTTCCCGGGGCATATGTATCTTTGCCGCTAACGTCAAACACAGTCCCCTGTTGCACATAAGCACGGTTACAACAGGTCTCGCTACCACGAGCAGCTAGATATCCGACTGGGAACTAACCTTGATAGCAACATATGTGGGATACCCCTCATTTGTGCCTATAATCTATATGTCAACTGCCAGTTGTTCCTCAATCGTTGGGGAGGGGCAGGTTTACCATCACATTTGGCGAGGTACTCCAAAGTGATTGGGTCATCTTTGGGTGGAGCCAGTTGGACAGGCTCCTTGGGCTCAAATTGACCCTTCTTCTGTGTATCGGACATGGTATTGCGAGTATTGAGGAGATGCAATGAAGAGAGATGATGGGATATATGGGGTTGTGTAGCAAGATAGGAGATTACTAGCGTCACCACACCAGCCACAGCCCGAAATGACTAAGCCGTTGATGACTATTCTGCGCTAATTTAACTCCCATTTCTTCAACAACCTGGAATACTCCAACCATGTGACGAAATAGGACATGGTCTGCATATACACTGATCGAATCGTCCAATATATCATAGCTGGGGTGTCTGGGCAATACCCAGCACGGAACAGCTGCTAGTCACGCAAACGCATATGCACATTGAATCCAGGCTTTTAGCCATAGGGAACCAGACTACGGCTACCCTGATCCTGGATTGCCTCGTCTCGATTAGACTCCGTGCATGCTATTGTGTGACGGACCAGTCTGCCCAACGGGTGACAGGCTTCAAGAAGCTTCCGGATGTACCATCAAGCCGATCAGCGATTGGACAATTTCCGCCGCAACCAGAACTGTTGTCTCGCCAGGATTGTCATAAATAGGGGCAACCTCGACTACGAAGAGGTTAGAGCGTGGTACCGCAGCTACAGAATGACGATGCTTACCAACATCAGCACCAACAATGTGAAGGCCGGATAGGCCATCGATGATGGAGAGAAATTCTCTACTTGTCCATCCTCCTACTTCCGCAGTTCCAGTACCTGTGTGAGAAGATTAGCAATTGCGCGGCAGTGAATGCACATGTGGCTTCGCAGAGTCACTTGACACAAGTGACGTTTGTCCCATCTGTCTGATTTTTCTGGAGCTCAGGGAAAACGGGACCTAGGAATATCTCACCTGGCGCAAAAGCAGGATCCAGAACGTCTATGTCGACGCTCACATAAACCGGGGATTTGCCAACCCTTTACTTCAGCCTCTCGATGATTCTGTGAACACCGATGCGATCGATATCCCTTGCACTGATCGTGTCGAACCCACATCTGCGATCGTTTTGCATATCTTTCTTGGGACGATTCACCGGGGCTCGAATGCCCGCATGAATGGAGGTGTTGCTGATCAGCCCTTCCTCGTGGGCAATGTGCAAGAACGTCCCGTGATTCACGCCACTGATAGGACACAGACTAAGTTAGCATGAGTTAACCAGCTTCGATGATATGCTTCGACCTACGCGTAGTGCGATATTCCACCCCCTAATCTGTTCTCAGCATGACCCGGCAACACTCTTTGCAAATCTTACCGAGCACTTTTGGATTCCAGGTGTCTGGTCGCGCAGACTTAGCGTGAGTAACACATATCAACGGCCTCACTAACCTATGTGACTATCGAAGTGGATCACGCTCACCCGGCCCCATCTCTTATGCACCGACTGCAAAGCACTGAGAGTCGTTGTATGGTCTCCACCCAGTGTGATTATTCTTGGAACATCGTACTTGCTGGAATTGGTCGGCCGACCAGACACAATCTTTTCATGCACCAAGCTCAGAAAGGCTATCAAGGCAGAATATTGGTGCTCACATTGTGCGCCATGTCAAGCTGTTTTAAGGCCGCGGTATTGTCCTACAGGTCGATTGTCAGTACAAAGCCACGCTCACTATGAAGTGGTGTAAGGTTACCAGAAAGGTAAGCGGCGCATCCCCGCAGTCAACAATCTTCGCCCAGTCCAGGAATACGTTCCTCCCTATTGGATGTAACATGTCAGTTCGCTGTCAGACCTCATCCGGACTAGTGATGTGCTATCGCTAGGTTCTAGCAAAGGATTCTAGTGGGCAAAGCCTCAGTGTAACAAAGGGAGGAAACATAACAAACCCATCAAGGTCTCTTGAATACACACGCACCTGTCTCAACATTCCACGCTGCTTCAGGCACAATCCTTCTAGAGCCACGGCGAATGCCGCTGGGACCAAACCTTGGCCCTGGTCTTCCAGTCGTTCCCTAATATACAGTCAACGTCGGTCTGCGGCTATGTGCCATTGGTGCTGCAGTCTTCTGTGTTTTGTCTTGTAAGGCGTATCTTGTACGCGATAATCCCAGCAGGGATGAAAGCGGACGGACGCACACAGCCGCGTCTCTTAACTAGAACTGACTTGATGTGTCCCTCCCGCTCGCAACCCACAACCAAACTTCTTCACCGATCAGATAAGCGATCTTTCCTGAACGATACTCCATAGCATTGTGCTCCGGTCTCCAATCGCACAATGGCGCTGCTACCGCAGAGACAGTACGCTGAGGCCAAGATCTTGCCGTCTGTGCAGTTTCGAGAGCTTAATCTGGGCTTGCCGCCATGCCATTAAACAAAGATTGGATCGTAACTCACAGTGTCGAAAGGAGCGCCCAGGATCGCGATGTCGTACTTCTCCACCTCTTGCCACTCGGGAGCCAAACAATGGACGTAGGGTAGGTTCGCGTATGTCAAAAGCCCCGAAAATGCTGAGCCCGTTCTTATATCTATCTCATCCCCCATGACCATAGCGTGCTGCTGCTCCAGAGGAGAGACAGGAGGAAACATGATATCTCGAGCGCATACGACATTGCATATCGGAGGGCCAAGGTGAGCAGTAAAGACAGACGAAGTATGCGTGCAAATGCCATGCCAGACAATTGAGGCAGAAATATGTAGGATGCCCTTGGTGGACAACTTAACAACATGAGGATTGTACTTGCATATGTGCGTGAAGTGCGATTCCATCCGTCGTGTGGCTGAACGCGTACCCCCACTCTGACGTTGAAGGAGGCGCTAAACCGAAAATGGAAGTTTGAACGCGTTATGAATCGAGGCCCACTGAGAACGACTGCTGTGCTGCAACAATATGATTAGATGAACTCCGTACTGTGTTACTGGTATTAGCATGCGTCTAACTGAAGATTCAGGATTGAAACGAGGTGCTGACGGTTTGACTGCCCGTTCAAAGTTCGGTGACAGAGATTGAAAATGTCGTAAAACTGATAGTGTTGGATGGGTAAAGACCCTCCAATCTCCAACACAAACAATATGTCACAGATGGAGGCGGGAACCAAAAACAGCATGTTTCCGTCGGCCTTCCGCCGGTTCCTATCCGTACTTAGAGGACTTCCCAGGGAGGAAAATAAACGGCTGGGCAGAAAGATCGCCGGAAAATGGAATCATACAGCGAGTAAAGCGCTGGATTAAGCCCAAAGATATCATAACATGGTCGCGAGATTCGGACGAAGCCGGCGCATTCATATCATACCTCTCACCGTCAACTCTGAGAGTGAAAATGGGTTTCACTTCCACTGGTGGCAGTGAAGGGATTATACGTCCAATTTGCAGTGCATGATTCTTTTATAAAGAGGCTTTCCTCCTCGACATCTAATCATGGACATACATACTATCCAAAACTCCTAAGCCGCGCAGCGAGATGCAACCTCCCACCATCGGCACAGAAGTTTACCTTACCCCGAAAGGCATTCTCGCCAAGGCTATCCTCACCTGCTTTCCCTCCGAAGTGCGAGACAATATTTACAGCTACTTGTGGGGCACAGAAGTTTCGGCCCTCTCTTGCAGCTCCCAAGGACCTCTCTTTCTGACACCAGTCCAAAACCGAGTTTGGAAATGAACACCGCAGTTACCGATCTCAATAGACGTCCTTTAAGTCGGAATCGTCAGGGAGATTGTTGGCCCACACCTCGTATGGTGCGCACCTAGCGAATCCTGAATGGGCTTCGGTAGCCATTGGGTACTTCGTGGTGTTCCAAGGCGGTCCCAACAACACCTTATGGCAATGCATCACATGCTCCATGGACATCATTTCCTCCACCATGGGAAGTCGGTTTCGCAAAGCATGAACCATGTTTTCCCACGTGAAGATGCAGTGGTGTCTGTGATAGCTCTCGTCCATGAACGCCACCTCTTGCTCACCCAAGCGCATGACGCTGTCGGGGATTTCTATGGTGGCCTGGATATCCGCGTACCATTTCCATTTGTTCTTATAAAGATACGCCTCCGAGTTCTCGCGATTGTAGCATGCTGGCGGGAGCCACAGCTGCATCATTGGATCGAAGAGACAGCCTCTGACTCGCGCTTCGACGGCAGATTCACCACATTCGAGGATTTCGGGAGAGAAGGCGCTGTTGGAAGCTAGGCCGCCGGATTTTGCATTATCGTGGTGATGGTGCATTCCACCGGACGGCGAGGCACTCGAATGCGAACCCGGCCCTTCGTGGTGGATGTGAACGGAGCTGCCGCTGCGATAGCTGTCAAGAATGGCGAAGACAGCGACTTGGACGCCAGCGAAGACGACCAACAAAGCCACGACCGCTAGAAACCAAAGAAACCAACGGAGCGGTGGCCTGCGAGACTTCAAGGGCAGCATCGCAATCTCATCTTTGAGCGCACTGATGGTATCCTCGTCGCTGCTGCTGGATAGTCTTTCGTATTCTTTGCTGGGCTTCATTGTCGACCGAGTGGGTGATGAAGCTACGTTATTGCTGTACTAATATATCGCTGTTGGTACTGAGTTCGATACAGTTAGACTGCAGTAGCTGACTTAGAACAGAAGAGATGCTCCTGACCACGAGGCGGTCCTTAGCTATATTATAACTATGCATCATCGGAATGTACCCTATGTGCTGCGGCATGCGCCCTGACTTCATTTGGAGGATGCGATGGCTCATCGAATGCTGGTGGGTTGTGAGAGTTGACAAGCCTGACTTCCCTTGGAGACAGCCTCTCGGGCAAATTCTGCCAAGACGATGTCATCGCCATCATTGATCACCAGCACCTTCATCCACGCCGCACGATTTGCGATGCAATAATTATTGGACGGGGGGGCATGGAATAATGGTGCATGGTCAGCTTACGGCTTGGCCCTCCCTCCACTTCCCGGCTGGCTGATACCGAGAAGACATTCCTTTCTTGGCCACCACGCCTGGTCTCTTGAGAATGGCATCCGTCTGAGCTCAGGTAGAGTGCTCAGGAACGTCCTCACACATTCCATTCAAGTGTTGCGATTTGCTTCAGTCTTCCCCCATCGCTCCGCCATTTGTTTCCACTTTTCCACTCCCCGCTCAGCCAAGCCTGGAACGGAGCAAAGGATGGAATGCTCGCTGGAGGCGGACAGGGTCTTCGGTCCAGCGGTTTCTCCGTGTCGGCGAGCATTCGATTTCACACTTTTGTTCGAAGAAATTGTGTTCACCATAATCCCCTCGTCCCTGTTCATCGTATGTGCCGCTGTGAGGCTGTTCTATTTGGTCAAGCAGTCGGCCAAAGTCAAGCTAGGAGCCTTGCATGCCTTCAAATTAGTAAGCACCTCCAGCCAACCCTTCTGGATGATACCGTATTCATCGATGAATGCTAGGCTTCTGCGGCCGTATATTCGAGTCTTGAATTGGCTGTGCTCGTACAAGTCTGTGTCCGGCGCAATGGAGCCACACATGCTTCTGTTCCCTCTGCCGCGCTGGCATTTATCGCGGCTACTTCTGTGGTCATACTATCTCACTATGAGCACACAAAATCCTATCGGCCCTCTTTCCTAATCGCGCTTAACCTCAGTGTTACCGCCTTGCTTGGAGCGGCCAGAACCCGGACGTACTGGCTCATTGAAGGGAAGGAGAATCTTGCGAAGACCAGTTTGGCCGCTCTCGTCGTACAGCTCGTCGTGATAAGCCTGGAGAGTGCTAGTAAAAGGAATCATATCGTCGATGTAATTGGCGTTTTATCGGAGGAATTGGCTGGCTTTATGAGCCGGAGCTTGTTCATTTGGCTCAACCAGGTCATGATAACTGGGTACCGAAGATTGCTCACACCAGCTGATGTTCGTCCAATTGATGTTTCCCTTTGCTCGGTCCGCCTGAAGCCAAAATTTGACCGCATTTTGAAAGAGACCAACTGTAAGCACTTCAAAATGAAAGGTGCAAACATGTCCCTTGCAGCTAATCATAATAAATAGACGGACGTTTCGGTCTTCCAGGCTTGACGATCCGATACCTAGGATACCACTCCATCGCTCCTGTGATCCCAAGGATTTGCCTCACCGGTTTCACTTTTTCACAGCCCTTCCTTGTCTCATCGATGCTTGAGTACCTGGAAGACCGGGAATCTCGGTCTATAAACGACGGGTACGGATTGATTGCAGCATGCGCTTTTGTTTACGTGGGGATTGCGGTATGGCGACCCCGCATCCATGATAGTTTGTAGAATCTTATTGTGATTGCAGATATCGAACAGTTAGTACTGGCAGCTCAATTACAAAGCCGTCATCATGGTCCGGGGCGGCTTGGTTGACTCAATCTTCGAAAAGATACTCAAGCTAAAAGAAGACAAGGACCTTGAATCAAAGGCACTAACTCTCATGATATCGGACGTACAAAGGATCGTAAGCAGTGGTGCATATTTCCATGAACTATGGGCCGCGCTTGTCGAAACTGGTATTGCGACTTGGCTATTGTGGCGGCAAGTTGGTCCATCAAGTCTGGCGGTGCTCGGATTGGCCCTCGGTACGTTGCATTTCACTAAATTTAAGCCACGATTGGCTCAACGTCCCCAGTTTGCACTGCCATCTCAACCTTAATTGGACGATCTGTTAGTGGCGAGCAACGAGTCTGGTTGAGTGCCACTGAGCGGAGAATTGCGGCCACGAAAAAGATGCTCTCTTCCTTGAAGGCAATCAGGATGACTGGTTTGGGCGAAAGAGTCGGGGCTACAATCGAAGACCTACGCACAAAAGAATATGCAGCATCCAAGATGTTCCGTGTTCTACTGGTAGGATCCGCGCTATCATGTAATGCAAACTCCCTTAGTTCCATCGGACGGGACTGACTTCTGCTATAGCTTATACTACGCTGACTTTATCGCCTGTACTCGTTTTTGGAGCCTACATCGGTTCCACTCAAGCTCAACATGGAGATCTTAACGTTACCAGACTATTTACCTCGCTCATCCTTATTACACTGTTGGCCTCTCCCCTTATACACATCCTCCAAGTCATTACAACTATGGGCGCAGCTAAGGGATGCTTCGATCGCATACAGGCTTTCCTAGACATAGGAGAAAGGCTAGATTGCAGAGATTTTGAAGACGAACAGAGGTATCGCCTTAACCCTGCTCCGCAGTCTGAGAAGACACCTTTGAAGAATGCAAATCTCTCAGAGAAGGCACTGGAGCCAGCCGATGGCGAAGATCCAGATCGTCCTATCCTGTCAGTGCAAAGCGCTGATATTGGTTGGACCTCTCAGTCTCATCTGAAGAACATAAATCTTGATGTTCGAAAGGGCGAGCACGTTGCTATCACTGGCCCCGTCGGGTGCGGGAAATCCTTACTGCTGAAGGCAATTCTGGGGGAATCCGAGTTGCTCCAAGGCGCTATTCGCATTTGTACAGCAAAGATCGGATACTGCGGTCAAGACCCTTGGCTGGAAAACCTATCTGCCAGACAAAATGCATTTAGATGTGCACCCGTTGACAACGAGTGGCGTGGAGCGGTGATAGATGCATGCGCGTTGGAAGATATCTTGTGTATCGACGTGTCCGAAAAGAACGTGGGCAGCGGAGGTGCTAAAATCAGTGGTGGGCAAAAGCAGCGACTGGTAGGGTATCCGCTCAACACGCCATTTGCGTTCAACATGGAGAGTATGGCGGCTCACAGGTCTACTAGGCACTTGCACGCACAATTGCATTCCGACCAGATATAGTCCTTCTAGATGATGTCTTAAGCGCACTTGATAGAAGGACTCAAAAACGGATATCAGAGCGCCTCTTTGGACCACGAGGCATCTTTCGCCGACTCGGCATCACAGTCATTTTTACGACGCAGGACCGTAGGTGTCTCCTTTCCTTTCTTTTCGTTTCGATTTTGGGAATGAACTACGCTGCACATGCCCCGTGGCTAATGTCTTTATCCAGAAAATGCGGCAGCAATGGCAGACAAAACTTACAACTTTGACGAAAGTGGAAACCTCCACCAAGGCGGATTCGTGAATTTTGCGCCAAAGGCAAGGGAAATGATGCCGGAATAAACCCAAAAAACTCTGTTGAAGCGTCTTCGAATAGAGAGGGCAGCGGAGCGATCACAGAAGAAGGTTCCGAGACTTCAGGGACGGATGATCACGCGTCGACCCACATCACTGATAAGGCCGTTTACAAAGCTTATTTCGGTTCCATCGGTCCCGTCAGCCTTGCACTATTCTTCGTCGGCGGCATTTCATTTGGCTTCACCCTAAGATTTCCAGGTAAGGCGCATATTTCAGCATTACCACAGAATGTACTAATACAGGTGCAAGACATATGGGTGCAATGGTGGTCCAATGATAGCAATGGAAGTTCCTCCAGGAGCACCGGCTACTGGATTGGCATATATACGCTACTCGAAATATTGCCTCTTATCGTCATGTGCTTTTGGCTTGGGTAAGAACATGTGGTTCAAAAGTCGTCATCGACGCTTACCGTTCGTAGGCATCTCTTGCTCCGCATCGTACCTAGTTCCGGTGGTACACTCCATCTAAGATTGCTACAGGCAGTACTAAGAGCATCATTTGCCTTTATCAGTGGCGTTGATACAGGCAACCTGATGAACCGCTTTAATCAAGACCTGATGCTTGTTGATATGACCTTACCGCTGGATCTATAACACTGCGGCTGGATTGTTTACGAGCGTCATGCAGGTTGTACTCATCATGGTTGCTGCTGCATATGTACTTTCCGTCCTTCCTGTGCTCATTGCCACCCTCTACCTTATTCAACATTTCTATTTGAAGACTTCGAAGCAACTCCGACACCTTGACTTGCAGTCAAAGTCATGTCTTCACACAAAGTTTTCTGAAACATGTGCTGGCTTGGTCACAATCCGAGCGCATGCGTGGGAAAATGTTACCCGACAGGAGTTCGCAGAGAAGCTTGATAGATCTCAGGAGCCTTTCTACTTGCTCTATTCAGTCCAACGCTGGCTGCAACTAACATTGAATCTGGTGGTTGCAGCGCTAGCTGTCATAGTAGCTGGCGCTGGTGTAGGGTTGAGAGACAAGATAAGTCCCGGCGCTGTCGGTGTAGCATTCTTAAATGCGACCACCTTGGGCGAAACCTTAACAAACTTCATTACGGCGTGGACTTCGCTGGAAACGTCCCTTGGTGCTATCGCGCGAATAGAAGCGTTCGCGAGAGATACGCCGGTTGAGCACGAAGCAGAGTCACCGGTTCAAGTTCAACCCGAATGGCCAGAGCATGGAAGCGTAGAATTCGACAATGTCTGGGCAAGCTATAACCCTGACGCCGAGAATCCGGTGTGGGCTCTTCGCGGAGTAAGCATGAAGATACAAGCCGGAGAGAAGGTGGCGGTATGCGGTCGCAGTGGTTGTGGGAAATCGACCCTTCTCTTGTCACTTCTCTCCATTATTGAGACCAGAAGAGGCTCGATTACGATTGACGGTGTAGATGTCTCTCGGGTACTGCACTCCGTCTTGCGATCTCGGTTTCAAGTGATTTCGCAGAATACATTTGCCCACGGTGAAAGCGTCCGAGACTGTCTTGACCCCGAAGGCAAGTTAAGCGACGAATTCATGACAGATGCACTCGCCGATTGTGCCATCTTAGACAAGGTTAACACATTCGGTGGGCTATCAGGTAAAATCTCTGATGCGAACTTCTCGGCCGGCGAGGCGCAACTTTTCTCGTTGGCAAGGACCATTTTGGAGGGCGCATCGGGCAAGAACGCTATTGTATTGCTTGACGAGGCTACAAGCAGGTAAGAGGACAATAATATCTCTGGTACAAACCTCAAGCTCACATATTCTATAGCATCGACACCAGCACTGAGCAAAGGATGATGAACGTGATTTCAAAAAGGCTGAAGGGTAGAACGATTCTATCTGTACTTCACCGGCTAGAAGCAGCACTGGAGTATGATAAAATCGCGGTTTTGGAGAATGGGCAGGTTTTGCACTTTGGGGCTCCCGCAGAAGTGGTGGAGAAGTCTGAATTATTTGCAGCCTTGATGGGGCAATCTTGAACCCCAAATGCGATCGATGCAACGGTGCAGAATCACTTGTTAGACCTGATTTTAAAATCTCCTAAGACAACTGAATACAGAGTTAATTCGCTCAACTCCAGTACAGCCCACTACACATCGATAGTCCTTCTATTGGATATTCCTCATTACTCAGCTTTTCAATTGCTCCGTCCCATGGGCGGACGAACGCCAAAGCTTCCGCTTACTGCTCTGTAGTCAAGCCCTTCCTTTGGACATGTTCACGGAACATGCCCATCCGCACATACTTGGACGCTCAGCGGCCCTCCATCGCGTTTGCTCCCGGCGCAAATGTACCTTGCCGACACACTTTAAACTCGGCAGCTCCGGCAGCTTCCATGATGAAAAGGTACATCTGGTGCTGCTCCAACGTTTGGCTCGCGAGTACCATGCTCTCTAGGGGCTTTGTCTGTGTGAAGCCGTGCGTGTTCTTTTGCCGCAAGCACATGCGGCACCTGCTCAGGAAGCGAAGCCTGGAAGGAGTACTCGCGAGTAGACGCGGGAGATGCTGCCAGATGCAACACTCTGAAAGATCGAATGTATACTCTCCCGGCTCGGCAAGTACCATAAGCTGTGGGACGTTGGGATGACAGTGGGCAGTAATTATCAGAGTGGCCAGTTGAGGTAAAAACTTACCTACTCATCCCGATCTTCGCCAGGGCTCATGCATGCTGGCCCTGCACGATGACCGCGCTAATCATCTCAGGTGTCACAGCCCGTAAAGCCAGGACAGCCACTCGGATTTTGGGAACCCTCAACCTTCCTTTTGATATTGAATCAATCGACCTTGTGAAATGTTATCTTGGCATTTGATTTGGAAGCGTATCTGTAGCTTCTCTCCCCCGCCGGTGACAGTATCTCCAGCCTTTTTCTTTTGACCGTTATCATTCGCCATGTCCTCCGGCTCAGTTCGCGACGAAGAAGAAGAAGAAGAAGAAGAAGAAGAGCGCTTAATCAAGAAAGCTTTAGATAGCAAGAAAAATACCACACCGTACTGGCGGCCCGTGATTTTGATCACGATGATGTTCATTATCCACGGCACGGGTTATTTCATAAGCGCTGCATCGCAAACCCAGCTCCTCGAAGACATCATATGTCGCAACCACTATAGAGGGCAGCGGCCACAGCCCGAATTGCAGAGTGCTATCTCTTCGAAAGAATCCTGCAAAGCCGCTGCAGTGCAGGAGATCCTTGCCGAGTTGCTTGGAATGCAGACTTTCTTCGATGGCATTCCTGGGTTGCTACTTGCTATTCCTTACGGCGCGCTGGCTGATAAGTATGGACGGAAACCAATCCTTATCATGAGCATGTTCGGGCAGGTGTTGGGCTTTGCTTGGGTCATCTTTATATGTATGCTCCGGCGGTTGACTTATTGACTATTTATTTGTGAAAAATCTAACGTGCATGGCAGGCTGGGCGGAACTGCCTTTGAAAATAATATGGCTCTCATCAGCTTTCACAGTGGTTGGAGGTGGTAGCACTGTTGCTGCATCCATTGTCATGATGGTGATCGCTGATGTGATTCCCGAATCTGAACGGTCAGTCTGGTCACCTAATATTCCATGGAGAACATTGCACTGACGTTAAGGTAGCTCAAAATTATTTTTTTATCTTCAAGGAGGCTTTATATGCTCCGAACTCGTAGGGCCTCCCTTAGGGTCAGTTCTCATGGGAAAGAGCCCGTGGATCGCGATCCTACTTGGATTTGGATTTATCGTTGTTGCATCAAGCCTAGCCTTATTCGTCCCGGAGACCTTCGAGGGCCGCAAGATCTCAGAAACAGCTACTTCGCCGTCAATGGACACATATCAGTCACTCCCCCCTGACGAGGAATCTCTGGATGATGAGCTCCTCGGGCCAAAGCAACTTCGTTCCACTGCCACTTCCTGGTTTCGTCACTGCCTACAGACATTTATGTTTGTTCTGAGCCATGGAAGTGTCGTATCATTGGTAGCAACCTTCTTTATCGCCGACTTTAGCCGGCAGTCTCTTTCACTTCTCGTGCAGTATGTGTCCGAACGATATTCGTGGTCGCTAGCTAGGGTATGTGCTTCCCATGATGAAACTGAGAAGTCACTAACAGTACTAAGGCGAGTTGGCTGACATCATTTCGCGCTGGTTTCCAGCTCCTTTTCTATCTAGCAGTTTTCCCAGCCACTGACGCTTGGTTAATACAGAAAATGGGCTGGCAAGCTAAGATCAAGGATCGCAGGATGGCAAAGCTTACCATATTCTTGATTGCCATCAGCTTTATATTCCTTGCCCTGGCCCCACAAGTGTGGCTTATTTTAATTGGTACGTCACTTCCCCGATCCTACGTAACTTCCCCGATCCTACGTAACTTCGCCGATCCTGGTTCACTGGTTTGGAAAAGGTCCCTCTCACTAACACACTTTTCGAAGGCCTGATCATCTACGCCGTTGGGAGCGGGTTTAACACTTTTACACGCTCGCTTGTAAGCTCCTTAGTGGACCCTGCGATGATTGGTACGCTTTATTCTACCTTGTCTGTCGCCGATACCACTGGCTCGTTACTTGCCGGGCCGTTGGTTGCAACGACTTACAAATTGGGTATGCAATTGGGAGGAATATTTCACGGAATGCCCTACATGTTGTCATTCGGGCTGTGCGCCATTGCTGCTTTAGTTATGAGCAGGTTGAAGTTGAACGATGGCACGCCCAAGGATGATAATAGAGCAGTTCCCACCGGAAACTTGGCCGTTAGAACTAGCGCAACTGACATTGAAAGTCTATCCGATGCGTTAAGCTAGCTTTCATGTATGAAGACTCAATAAGTCAATGCTCTGTCAATGCACGATAAACAAGTCTGAGTTTGCAGTGAAGGAGACCAAGTTCCTAGGTCTCATCATCAGCACAGAAGGAATCCGCAAAGATCCTGAAAAGGTAGAAGCAGTCCATGATTGGGAAGTTCCTACAACCCTCAAGGCTCTCCAATCCTACCTTGGCTTCTGCAACTTCTACCGGGACTTCCTCAATCAATTTGGATGGGTAGCCCGCCCTCTCACCAAGCTACTCAAGAAGGGAGCCTGGAAACCCTTTGGGGAAAAGGAACTGGCCGCATTTCAAGCAACCAAGGATCTCATGCTATCAGATGAGTTCCTGGCCTACTGGTCCCCTTACAAGAAGACCCGGATGGAGACAGATGCCTCTGATGGGGTAGTGGCTGGTGTCCTTTCACAGCAACAGGAGGACAGCATCTGGAGACCCATTGCCTTCTTCTCCAAGACTATGAGCTCCGCAGAGATGAACTATGACATCCATGATAAAGAAATGCTTGCGGTCATGAAAGGACTGAAAGAATGGCGCCATCTCTTAGTTGGACTACAAACTGAGGAACCGTTCACTGTACTCACAGACCATAGAGCACTGGAATACTTTGCTACCAAACGCGAGCTGAATCACCGGCAAGCTCACTGGGCAAACGACATTGCGGACTTCAATCTCAAGCTCACATACCGTCCTGGGACTGCCAATATAGCTGCAGATGCACTGTCCAGGAAACAAGAGATGTTGAAGACTCAAAAAGAGAAAGACCGTGCAGCACGCACATGCGCTCTCCTGTCGGAAGAGCAGCTTGACATTTCCACCTTTGAATCAGTGATAGCCCAGCTCTGTTCCCTGGCAACTGACGGATTGAACTCTCCTCCACCAGAGCTCAGAGACCGTGACACCTTCATGGATGCTCCAGATGACCAGGACCCAAACACAGTGATTGACCGCATTCTCCATGCCAATCGGACAGACCAGATGCTTCAGATCTTCCGGGACAAGGTCGAGAAAGATGTCAAGACTAGGTGGTCTCTCACTGAGGATGGTCTTGTCCTATACAACAACCGGCTGGCTGTTCCTGCCACCAACTTCCTCAGGACCCAGTTGATTCGTGCTGTGCATGCTACGCAAGTTACAGCACACCCAGGAAGCCGAAAGACTATCGCTCTGCTCCGTGAGAAGTACTACTGGCCTGGCCTAGCCAAGGATGTAGCTACATATGTCTTGGCCTGCAAAGCCTGCCGTTGGAGTCACGTTCCAAGGGACAGGAAACCTGGACTTCTGAAGCCTTTGCTAATACCGAAACAGGCCTGGCAAGATGTCTCCATGGACTTCAAGAGTATGCCAAAAGACAAGAAAGGATTTGACTGTGTTTTTGTAGTTGTAGACCGGCTCAGCAAGCGCTG